GAGCCATCCTGGTATAGGTGATTCCAAGATCCCTGGTACCACTAATATATCGCACTAAGTGCATAAGATACTGCCAATGGACCTTTCGAGGGTCGTGAGCGAAACGACTGAGAACATTTGCGGCATGAGCTATATCTGGACGACACACGGCAGCACCAAATTGAACGGCTCCTAGAATTTCTCGGTAAGGCTTTTCTCGCATAAATTCGATGTCGTCGGTTGAAAGAGGGGAAGTTCCGATCGAGAGGACTGCGCCATTCGGGAGGGGAGTAGACTTTGGTTTCACATCTTGAAGACCATGATGACTGAGAAGGTTGTTCCAGTAGGCGGGCATGGATAAAGTTGCTATTCCCTGGTCTCTGTCATGCGTAAGCTTCATGCCGAGAGCAAACTGAACGCTGTCAGTTTCTTTGATTCTATACTTCGACCCAATCTCCATTTTGGCCTTTATCATCTCCTGGATTGACGAGGATCCACCAAGTGTATCATCCGTGTACGTACCGGTCATGGTCTCCCCTGACCCAGATACTCGACTCCTCACACATTGGTCGGCTTGATTTCGAATATACCCAAGTTCCCTGTATGTCCCGTCAAGAGTCTTCCACCAGTTCCTTCCCGCTTGCATCATACCGTAGATAGATTTCCAAATTCGCATGACTTTCCCAGTATTTCTCCCGGGGAACCCTTCGGGGGGCCACGCGTATATTTCTTCATCGAGATCAGCATTGAGATAGGCCGAAGCGAAGTCGATCTGCCATATATGGTAGCCAAGAGTAACCCAGAGTGCGATAAGAATTCTGAGAGATTTGAAATGAAGTACCGCAGCAAATGTATGGTGGTAATCTCTGCCCTCTTCCTGTGTCCTCCCGTTTACGACTAGGCGAGCCTTTTCTTCCACGATTTTTCCGTCCCCGTTGAACTTATGAGCTAATACCCACAGGGGAACCAGGATAGTGGCTCCAGCTGGAGGATCCTGCAAAGGTCCGAAGACACCGAATTCTCTCATGCGTTGAATTTCCTTTTCAATGGCTGGAGACCACCTGTCAGGATCTTCCATTGCTTTGGAATAGCTCTTGGGGACTGGTGTTATGCCAATAGCCGTGAGTGCGGAGTTATATTCAGATGAGACTTCGTTGAATCCTTGTACTACAGATGCTAGGAGAGCTCGGTGTTGGGTAGGTTGATTTATCAGAGGCTGCGTGGAATGTGGTACTGGCTGAGAAGTGGAAAGCCAGTTTGAGCGACGAAGAGGGATGTTAGGGTCCGGCTGGAATTTTGTTCGAGTCCGCCGAGTTGGAATTTGATTAGGAATTTGAAGAGACTGATCGGGTTTAGTCGGCATCATTTTCTCCGAGGTATCTGTGGCGTCCGAGGCATCTGTGGTGTTAGGTGGAAGTATTGGAACGTGTTCGTTGTTCCCTTGATCCTCTTCTTCCTCCCCTCCACCTGGCGCCAAGGTACGCTGAGGAAGCCCTTCCTCAAAGGTAACATCCCGGCTAGTGATAACCTTTCCATTTGTGAGATATAATAGGTATACCCCTCGTTCTCCATACCCCACCATTCGACCTTCGACAGCTCTCAGATCCGTTTTCCCCAAACTCCCATTCACAATTGTCACCCAACCTCGAGACCCAAATGGACGCAAGTGAGATATATCCTGGCGTACCCCCCAAAAAATTTCAGCTGGGATATGGAAACCATTTCGCGTCGAAGGTAGGAGATTCTCGGTGTATATGACATATGCCGCTGCCATAGCCCACAGGTTTTCGGGTAGTTGGGACTCGTGGAGGATGGTACGGACTTTCGCAAATGTAACACCGTGTTTCCTTTCGGCGACACCGTTGGCTGAGGAGGAATATGCCGGAGTTTGTTCAATTCGTATGCCATGTAAGTCGGCCCACTTTTTCCATTTCTCATTTATAAACTCCTTCCCTCCATCAACCCGTACACATTTCAGTCTCTCCCCAGTCTGGTTTTCAGCAAACACTTGGTAATTCTCCACTGCTACAAGTGTCGATTCTGCTTCCTTATTCGCCAGGTAGTAGTCTTTGGTAAACGCTGAGTGTCCATCGACTATAGGAAGTGAGTAATAGTAGCCTCCCCTGGACATAGTTCTCATCGGTCCGGTGAGGTCTAGGTGAACTCGTTCCAGCAGCTTCTTCTCCACCTCAACGTGCGCATCGAATGGTCTTCGTACCGCACCCCCCATCAAGCAATTCTCGCACTTCCCTTTACCCGCCATCGTATCCTTCGCAACCGCGAATCCGTCAACAAGGTGTTTGTCTTTCAACAGGTCGAGTCGGAAATGACCAGCATGTGCAAGCCGCCTGTGCCATGTGCTGAGATCTACCGGGCGATGTAGGGAGCGGGATTTAGTGGTAAGCGCAGTGGTTTTCGCTTCCTCGAGTTTGTAAAGACCATTCGATCCTTTTCCAGTTAGGAAATGAGTTCCTCCTGGCGAATAGAACTTAACACATCCATTTCCGAAATGCACCTGGTAACCTAGTTTGTCGAGGCGAGCTATGGAGATGAGGTCAGATGAGATGTTGGGGCAATGGAGTGCCTCTTCAAAGATGAGTATCATGACCTTCCCGTTTTCCACGACCGTCTTCTTTGCCTTCCCAACTCCCTTAATGATCAAGCCTGTAGATATTTCCGAAGATTGACCCATCCTATCACACTCCGTGTAGGTCATGAAGTCATTTCGATCTCGAAAGAAGTGGTCTGTGGCTCCCGAGTCTGCATACAGCTCTCCAGTGGGATGTCGCAAATCAGATGCTACCATAGCATAGTGCAATGTAGGTTCACCAATGGCCATGGATGACATGGGATTCTGGTTAACTGTTTCATCTTTCTTCCCTCTCCACCATGATGGGTATTGTCCTTCTTTCCCTCCTCCTTTCCTGAAGCACTCATCCTTCAGATGGCCGACGCGTCCACAATTATAGCATTTCTTATCTCCATTTCCAGATCTCGCCATCTTCCCCGCAATCATCGATTCCAACTGTTCAATTCTCGACAATAATGCAGCGTGTGGGGAAATAGGTGTAGTGGACGCTGTATGCGCCTTGTAGATACGATCACCAGATACAACAGCATCAGGGTGATTCTCTACCCGAGAGTATTGGAAGGAGATCTGTTGGATCACCGACGCTGCGGTCGAGTAGAGGGATGTGTTTGCCGTTATATTCTGGATGATATTGTCGAACGCATTTGTAGGAAACGCTGCTATGGCTATTTCTCGGAATTGGGAATCGGTGATAGTATTTCCAGCCTCGACCGCATCTTTTCGAAGTGCACGCAGTTGATTGAAGAATTCGTCAATTGGGATGGTCTCGCGAAATGTCAGGGATCGTAGGTTTCGCTCCGTAAGTACCTTGCGCATCCCATCTTTCCTAGCAAATTCATTTTCCAATGTCTCTAGGACTTCTTTCGCTGTCTTCTCATCTACGTCGGGCATCAAAGAAGGTAAATCGTCAACGTGAGATTCTATTATCCCTCTGGCGCGGTCATTACGAAATATCCATTCCTCTAGGGAAGGATTTAGGGAGAAGATTGCAGTCGCCTTCGTTGGTTCTGGAGATGGAGGGGAGACTGTCCCAGCTCCTGCATCAAGGGATGGAGATCGAGTGGGAGGGGAGATAGTGATGATAATTGGGGGAGGCTTGGTGATGGTCCCATCGGTATAACCGAGAAGGCCTTGGGTTTTCAGTGAGTTCACAATCCTTCGTTTCACGGGGGTCCAGCTGACTTTGACCCCTCCATCAAATTTTAGATCTGCGGAAACCTCTGGAATAGGAGGCGGAACAGCGCCGTTTCTAGCCATGATTTGTTTGGTTTCAAGATGTATGGATGCGGTGAACGTAGTGAGCTTTAGTAGCGCAGCGAGGTGTTATCTTAGTCAATTTAGTTCAACAGCGGCGGGGCGTATAACCTATCAAATGAGTTATCCTCAGCGTTATGTAGAAAGCTCTATCTTATATAATAATACCTATCAAACGAGTTATCTACACAAGAATAAATAAAGTCAGAGTGGGAATAAGTCAATATTTAATGAACTCACCCTCAGCGTTATGTAGAAAGCTGAGGGCGGGGAATTCTCGAATCTACAGAATATAAACAAAATAGACCGACGGTAGACTAAAGTTGAAACACAAGATAAGAAGGAAATGGAAATATATGTTCTTGAAGTGTACCTGACCGGACTCGTATCGCCTGCTTTGGCTCTAGGTCCATATTCGTTCAACATTCAAGTTGGCTAAGAGCTTGAAAGTGTCAAGGTTTAACTCAGTAAAGTAGGTGTTCAAGGCATTCCATTGTTGTCTACATAGGTACTGTATAGTATAATGTAATAATGCTGTCTTGTAACTTTACAAGGAGAAGTCTCAGGTATGTACAGAATGGGCTCGAGCACATGGAGTATCCCTCAACAGAAAGCAGCTGACAGCACTATCCAGCTGGGAAAGTGCTCCCAGCAGTACTGAAGAATTGCTGGAAGCTGGACAGTGCCTCCATTGCTCTTGTGAACATCCAGGTTTTGCAGATGTTATTTAGTCTTGATAGCTATTCAAGTTCTTTGAGCTTGCTTGTTCTTCTTAGAAGAAATGCTTATGCTGGAGTTTACCATATGAGCTCTGAGTCCAAGTAACAGGCACTCTGTATCACACCCTAAGTAGGACTGCATGACCCCAATAAATTGAGGATAGAGGTGTGAATTCCTTCAAAAATTGTAAATTGAGGGGAGACATGAATACTCAAAGGGGGATATCCATCATCCCTGAGGTAACTAGAAGGCAAAAGATGACAGTGTATCTACCTCAGAGTTTGAAGGCCACAAAAATGCTCCTACTGCATGCATAAAAGCATTGAAACTCAAGGTATGGTGCGAGAAAGCTGATATCAAATATCCGACGGACCGGCAATAAACCGGCAACAAATCATCAAATTTGAAAAATCAACCGTGCCCTTCCCGAGTGCGTTACTTTAAAATTTGTTGCAGCTGACAAACTGCCACTTGAACATTTCACAAGGAATTTTGTGTATATATATATATATATATATCATATCAAAGCTGTTCATAATTCACTAAAGATGTGTAAGTCATATATATAAAGCGGGATCACTGTGACTTTCAATTTTTCCCCCCCTTGTTGCGACCTCCATAGTACCCAATTTCGCCTCGCCATGAACAATTCTGATTCATCGAGTTGTCTCGAGTCCGAGTCCAATCCTCAGAGTGATCGCGGATCTGTAATCTATGGTCCTGGCATACGGGTGAGTGTCCCAAATCCTTCATACTAACAACTACTTATCGGTATTCTCCCATGTAACAGATTAGCTTCTACCTACAATCTTTTTTCTTGGTAAGGGTCAACTTCATTCTTGCTTGTTAGCAGCCCGTACCATCTGAAATCCGAATATCCTTTTCACATTTTGCCTTGATCTAAACCTCGTAACTCACCCCAATTATGTAAAAGTCATTCTCGCCAATCGGTCTTCGGAGGAAACTGCATTTCCTGTGTGGATTATCAGTATAACAAACTGCAGTCTATTCATCAGTGCTCTTTTACTTGATGAAGAGTCCAAGTTTCCTCTGTTGGATGCACTGCATTCTTTGAATTTACTATGGTGCGTACTAGGTACTAGGGTACATCGAAATCCTCCCCCACGAGTCCCGGAGTGTTTCATGAGCAAACTCTATTGCGTGAGCTCAAGAAAGAAACTGACCTTTCGCTGACATTGGGGAATTATTAATCCCTTACTAGCTTGGCCAATGTTACTATATTCCTAGTCTTGTCGACCCATCTTCATCAAACAAAGCACTCTTTTCAACGCGAATCGCGCTCACTGACTAGAGAAGCAAGGATTATAACATTGATCAAATCCCTATCTCTTCGTCTAAACTATGGGTTCGCTGTATTACAAGCATTCTTCACTATGGCATTCACGTTGTACTTTTAGTACGTCGTCTCCGAGCATTCGATTCTCATCCCATTATACTCATCGTAGGTTGTTACCTCTCTCTCTACATCTACTAGTGCAACAGTCAAGACGTTCAATGAGTGTCTCAACACTATCACCTATACCATCTTCATATGGAGTGTCCCTCTACTTTCTGGTAGAGTCATCGGCCTCGTTTTTTCAATCATCGCTACCTGTGTCTATGTTGCAATCGTTGCCCGCGCACAGTGGATACTACAGTCTATGAACTCATGGATCTCAGATGCTGATCATGATACATCGCCACTTCCGAGACTTGTCGTACATTTCCCAAGAGTTTTCCCAAAGCATGATTCGCCATGGACGAAACCATTTGCAACTTGGTGGTCGCACTACCTCGATGATCGAATTGGAATGTCATTTGGGAAACTAGGGTTTGGAATGACGGTTTGGGTGTATATGGTTGTCTCCAATGAATTCTTGCTAAAGGAGAATCATGCTGTTGATGCGTACATGTTCGACTTTGCTCAGGTCTGTGCATATTTTGTCGCGTCTGTTACCCTTGCGTACTTGTATGTTGATCAATCCCCCCCCTCCCTGCTCCAGTATAACGCCCTTTTCGCAGCCTTTCCTGCTGCATTTGCTGTTTTCACAGTCTTTTACAAACCCAAATCCACCACGAATAATTATGATACGACTTCGGATACCCTTACCTATACCGATCTGCTGTTAGCAAGACCTAGCACTTGACACCTGAAATTTTTGGCAGCGTGGAGGCACTTTCTATTATCGATCCCTCTCAAGTTCGTTCAGAGCATTCCTCGAAGAAAATTAAGACCCTACTAGATATTTATACATGCTGCTCTATACTTTATTTTACTAGCAAGAAAGGTATACATAGGTTGATAAGGTTCACTAACAGGAAACAAAATAATGATAGGGGGTGCAATACTTTTTCTACTTTCCAATAGATCCCAGGAACTTTGACATATCCAAATCTTGATATTCCTCTTCTGGAGGCAGATCCTCTAACCCATGTAATATGTTCTGCTGACTGACGGGTCCGTGTCCCTCTCTCGCCTTCTTCTTCTTAGCTGCCGCAGCAGCATCTTCCTCTTCTGACGTACGTCGGAAAAGGTCTAGCACTAAATCAGTGTCCATCGACGAAAGACCCGAATTCTGTTGCGTGACGATCGAATTGGCAATGTTCAGTTTGAATCGTTGAAGGCTATAACGACGAATTAGACAAAAAAAAAAACAGATGGCAGAGGACTAGACGGGTTGTCGCTGAAAAACATACCCCATAATCTTTTCTTCCAGAGTACCCTTTGTGATCAATCGATACACATTTACAACCTTCTTTTGACCGATACGATGCGCACGGTCCATCGCCTGAAGATCTTTCATTGGATTCCAATCGTGTTCGACAAAGATAACCGTGTCGGCCCCAGTCAAAGTCAAGCCCAGACCGCCCACATGTGTCGTGAGCAGCAAAACGTCGATACTAGGATCTGAGTTGAACGTTTGTACCACCGCGTGTCGTTTACTGGTGTCAGTACCCCCATCGAGTCGCATGTATGTCACCGACGGCATATGGACCTTAAAAAGGTCGGTTTCGATAATATCCAGCATTTGTTTCATTTGACAAAAGATGAGGACGCGATGCTGTGAGAAGGTGCTACTGGTGCCGTCCGCGTCAGGATTGGTATCTATTAGTTCACTCTTGCTTTGATCTGACGTGGGAGCGCTGCCACCACCTATGCCGCAATCCAAAAGCAATTGCCTAAAATGCAAGCATCAATATTTAAAAAAACAGGTTCCCTTTATAATGACCCACCGTAAGGCAAGAAGTTTGGGAGCATGTTGAATATCTGATAATCCTTCCGTTTTCTTCCCGAATTTTTCCAAGGCTGTGTTTATATCTTCCGGATCTTTCAACACCAACGCAGGATGATTGCAAAGCTTCCGGAGGTACTGCAGCGACTGAAATATGTGCTGCTGACCCCCCTCCTTATTGGAAGATGATGAGGACGAAGAGGTCGTCTTCTGAACAGCAGCTTCGGCATCTTGACGCCCAGAAGATTTGGAGAAATTGTCATAAAGGTGCTTTTGTAATTCTGAGAGATCACAATAATAATCTTGTATGATCTTTGGCGGGAGATCGTTAAGGACATCTTCCTTGAGCCGACGAAGCAAGAACGGCAATACTTGCTTATGAAGGGCTTCAAGTGCTAGCGCAGCTAGTGAAGGGTCCGGTTGGTGAGAAACTATCTATAGGTATGTTTTGGAATTACACACCAGCTTCGCCATTTTTGGATTTTCCATCACGATTGGACAATATTGGTTTACTAAAGCGCTCGTTAAATGATGATTCGGTTCCCAAGAAACCAGGCATAAGAAAATCGAACAAGCTCCACAGTTCCAGGACATTGTTTTGTATAGGAGTCCCGGACAGTATAAGACGATGCTGAGCCTGAACCGACTTGACGGCCTTTGTCAATTTCGTCTTCGCATTCTTAATAACATGGCCCTCGTCTAGAATGCAGTACAGCCAACGCATCGACTCCAGGTTACTGATGTCATTACGAACCACCTCATAAGAGGTGACTACAACGTCAAATGTTTTGAATTTCGGAATTAGCTTCGCTCGCTCTCGAGCGTTCCCGGTATACAGAACGGGCTTGAGATTCTCGGCATACTTCAAAATCTCATAGTACCAATGACCGGTCAGAGTCGGAGGGCATATGATTAAAGAGGGAAGATGGACAGCGTCGGGTGACTTGGTTTCCTTGTATCGTTCGGCTCTTTCAAAGTGTTTGCTAGAAAGGATACATATCGATTGGAGTGTTTTTCCCAGTCCCATGTCTATATTCGTGAATTCATGAATGAGACTTCATGCGAGCATACTGCGATTGGTAACCTCACCGTCACATAGAATACCATGAAGCTGATATTTAGCAAGAAATGCGAGCCAATTAACACCGTCTTGTTGATACTTGCGTAGTTCAGCGTTGATGGCCACCGGAATGGTGTACTGTTCGACCTTATTGCCATCAAGCAATTGAGTCAGAAACTGACGTTCTTCTTCTCGACGTTTCAGAAGCTCTTCTGGAAAGCCAGGAGGGTCCGGCAAACCAGCCTAGAATTTCGTAAGATCAACGACTGCAGATTTATTCGGACGGAAATTCTACCTCAAGAGGGATCATCTTCACCAGAGACGCGAAGGTGTTGGTTGCCGTAGCGCGAACATCTTCATTGGCGTCGCTCATTCGCCCAAGGACAGGAATCACCAAGAAGATAACATACGGAAGAGCTTTGATATCCAACTTTTGCACAATGTCTTGTAAACCGTGAGAAAACTATCGACGAATAAAAAGTTCAAGAACTTACGATAGATGAGTTCAGTGGCGCCTTGTCGGTTTGCCAAAATCAGAGAGTCGCCGATTGTAGGCACCACCTGCTCGATGACAAAACGCATAGCGTCTGCGGTTATCACTTCGCAGATGGTAGCAAAACACCTCGCGGCGCATTGACGTATGATTGCAAATTTACTCTGCAAGGCCAGATGCATCATGGGAAAGGTCTCCGCAATCTTTGGCCATAGTTCGGGGTGGAATGTCGGCACGGCTGCCTCAAGTACACTGAGCGAATCAATGACATCTTGACCAAAATGTTTCTCCATACTCGCGTCGCACTCTTTAGGATTAGCTTAGAGAAAAAGTGAGCTTACAGCTTGACCAAGCGCAATGCAAACATACCTGACTGGAATGCACTCAGCAAGCCTCCGGCCATCGATTGCCACATGTTGGGTATAGCATCGAGCAATCGACCTCCAAACTTGGAGGAAAGTTCGTCAAAGGCAAGGCCAGCACCGCGACGAGACAATGGACTTTGACCCGTCTCTTCAATGGGGAGTTCGGACTTCTCCTTTTCTTTCAGATTCTTGGCTGGAGAGACTTTTCCGACTTTATGGAACGAGAGGATGCCATCGAGGACCTTACGTGTATATGCAAAAGTGGGTGTCTGCTCGACGTCCTGGCACAGGAAAGTACAGAGATTCTTGACAATCTTGTCCGGTGGTTGAGAAATCTGATGAATAGAACAGAACTCGATAAATGCTGCTACGGCTACGGCTGAACGGCTTTGAAGATCAATATTCTCTTCATTCTGAAAGACGACCGTGAATATACCGTCCAGAAGGAAAGTTTTAAACTCTCACCTTGATTCCATTCATAATACCCTTCACGACTGGGCTAACCTTGTCGGGTGTACTACGAAGCGCCACAAAAGCAGCGGCAAACGCAGCCGCGACTCTGATCTCGTGCTGATTCTTCACTTCGAGATATCGATCGATGCTAGCCGAAACAACAGTCCGCTTTTCCTCGATAACGGCAAGTTCACGTTTCTTTGTCCGACCCAGCATTCCCTTCAGTTGATTATAACGTGGGCCGATAGCTTCCTGGGCCGTCTCAATGGTAAAACGGTCTGGATTGATGCCTGTGATATCGATTTCTGTACCAAGGAACGGTATAGAGGAGATAGGAAGCTTGCAGTCCGTAGCGAACGAATGAAGAAGAGAAACCGAATCAACGTGGATGCGAGCGAGCGCAAACGCCATTTCATGGTACGCTGCAGGAGGATTTCCTTGCAGCCAAGCAAGCGTCCTGGAGCTAATTTCCTTCGCAAGGTGGGAGGAGTCGATTAGAAGAGGAGAATCGGTTTGAACTCGAGACGAATGTTCCCGCGCCCATTCTTCTGATATTATAGCAGAAAGAACCTTCTGTAGCATGCTCGTAGAATCAATGTAGTGTAGCAGTATCGGTTGGAAGACTTCCTCCATCGATGTGGTCTAAAAATTTTTCGATCAATTTCACTCTCTAAGCGTGCAACAACGACCAACTTACGCTTGTAGGCCAGTACGTGATCAACAGAGCAAGAGCTGTTGAGCCCGCTATGCGAGCTTTCATGATCACCTCGGTAGTGATGAGAGACAAATCTTGCGCAAGCATATTTTTATCCACGTTGTGGCGTTCGGGCGGGGACTCGCCCTCGACCACGAGTACAGGATGGTAGAAAGCAACAGGGTCAATGGGTAAACCCAGAGGCGTCATCACAATAGCATACCAGTCTAGGATGAGCTGTTGAGTAAGATTACTTTCCATCCAGCCTGGTATGGCTGATGTGATTTCGATTGCCGTTTTCCAGGCCTCGAGGCTAGCGTCGCGAATTTCTAAACGTTCTTCGACAATCATGTTTTGATATAAGAGACGGAGGAAAGGCACCGAAATCCAGTCCCGAGGAAGTGACTCTACAGTCATGAATGAATGCAGTGTTTTTACAACGGAAAGACGAACGTTGGCGATGGTATGTCGAAAAAAGGGGAATAATGTTGGAGCAAGGGTAGTAAGAGGTAATCTGTATAACGATACTTCAAGATTGAAACACGATTAAAAGAAGGGTCTACGTACGATACAGATTCGTTCGCAAGAATTTCGATTACTTTGTCATATGCTACAAGTTTTCCTGAAGGAAATTGAATATCGTTACTACCTGAAAGCGCAAGAGACCCTCACCTAAAAGTTCCATCACTGCTCCTACACTGGAACTTAAGTCGTCCTTCATATCACTGAGGCAACTCCACAGGACCAATAGAACCCGATCTAAAGATTCGGGTAACTGTTCTACCAAATGTCCGGCGACAGGAAGTAAACAGGAGGCAGCAACGGCACGAACATCGTCGTCTTTGTCCCCAAGGCTAAGCAAGGGGTTATGATAACTAGATGGGTTGAGAATGGCTGAATACTTACCCTAACACTGCAGCGTCGACAACATCGCTAAGGATAGTAACCCCAGTTGCCGCACTAGACCCATTCTCCTGCTTCACTTCTTCCTGTAAACGATCGAATAGATCATTCCGGACAGCAACTTCGTACTTGATGCCTAGCAAACCTGCGTGCCGAATTTCCCATATGTGGGTGACTTTCTGCTCCGCACTATCTTTCTTCCTACTACCTTTGAGTTTCGGTAAAGGTAGAGTAGGCACTGGAATTAAGAATTGCTGACGGATCATCTGAAGCAGAATAGAATGGACGTGTAAAACCGAGCGTTGAGGCATGTGAATGAGTAAAGAGGCGAGAGTTTGGGAAATCATTTCGCGGACAGGTGCAACTACCTGATCAGACACGAAGTCTCCAAAGCGATCCAGGACGAGCACGCATAGAAGTTTAGCAGATAAATCGTTGCACCATTTTTCATGCGCCATGAGGTTTTCTTCCCAAGATGAGTTGTCTATGAAATAGACTGTCGTTAACACACGTGAAAAAGGAAGCAAAACAGTCCGACCGGCACCTTGCATTCCTCCGCATTTGCCTTGAATTTTTAAGAGCTCGCGTAGAGCCAATGCGGCTCCATGTCTAACTTCCCAAGCTGCGCTGAAAAGGTCAACTTCGAGGACCTGTACTACGCCGTCCCAGATCCACACGCCAGGTTTGACACCTAAAGCCTTCGCCTCTTTGATAGCCTTCGGTGAGACTGCACCACCTTTAGAAGGATCTACAACGACTTTGTCAGAAGAGGGACTGTCGAGGCGAGACGTGCCTGTGGGAATTTCGTCGGTAGTAACGAGTCGCGCCCTTGAGTGAGGTTCCCATTAACAATTTTTACGTTTCGGAGTGACGAACTTACTTTGAAGCTCCTGCTGCAGTTGCATTATATTTGGACCCAGAAGCTTGCGGGGGAGGCTGCGGCGCGACGAATGCAGAATTCCCGGGCTTCCTTTTGCGTTTCAAACGATTCCTCTCTCTGGCAGACATTGAGCCCAGATCTGTTTCAGCAGCAGGGGTGGTCGGTGTTGTCGAGGGATCTGCCGGCGTGGCAGAACGACTTGGAACAGATCCTTCCTTCTTAATGGATGTAGGAGGACAAACATCCATTGGCGATCCAGACGGCGTGAGCTCTTCAGCTTTGATATCCATGTCAACATCTGCGTTCTCTTCGACATCCGCACCCAGTTCTTTATCTAAGTCCATTTCTTCAGCGACATCATCCAAGAATTCAAGGCCGAGTCGACCCATAGCCTCTTTACGCGCCTTCTTAACCTCCGCGGGGCTAGATAGAACGGCAGGCCGAATGAACTCCTTTCCAGAAGAAGCGAGGAGTAATTTGCCTTGTATAACAAGCTCTTCTACAGAGAAATTGGTGAACTCTGGAGCGGGGAGTGAAGAGTCGTCTGTTTGCATCGTCGAATCTTCATCGTTGGAAAGTGGGTGCCAGACCGGTGTAGAAGAGAATACCTGGGAAAGCGCGACAGAGGCAGCTGTTCGAGTTTCGTGAGATTTAGAATGAAGGTATGGTATTATCTGAAATAAACGTTCCACAAAGGCTTCCGGGGAAGATTCAGAGGGGACATACCCGCGCTACTACTGCCATTAATTCACCCCAAGCTCCTGGATCTCTGAAGGACACATGTTGACGATTATTCTTGACGTCCTCCCCAACAGATACACCGACATCGCTTATAATACTTTTTACCGCTAATTGGGCCAGCTGCTTGGCAGCAGTGTTTCTGACTGACGTAGAAGAGCCGGTATCTAGTAAAAGGAGGAGCCGGTCCAACCTGAATTAGAACCGTATTAGTTCTTGATAAGTGACTTGGTGAAGAAAAAGATACCTTGAAGTCATATTGTACCGTGACTACCGGACCGATTATGCCGTGTGTGTGTAAGAAGGGGGCTTTTGTGACGATTCTTCCCAGAAACCGCTGTCTCTTTATCTGGGTTTCGAAACTGCCCTTGAAAAAAAGCCTCTAAATTTATGTAAAGTTTACAGAAAGAACTCAATACAAATTCTCCATTTATATCCTACATTTCCCGGAAATCAATTGGCTTTCAAAGTCCGACTTTTGATTCCGAATCCAAATTGATTCTGCTCTTTCACGCTCTTCATTCGCCTTTCTCTCTCTATTTTCTTTCTTTTCCCCTACCTGTATGTTGTGGAGAAACGAATGCTTGCAACTGCTATTCCAAGAATTGTCTGACGATACACAAAGGACCACATCCCGTGCGCGGAAATTTACATCGTCGACTACTGCTATCTGATCGTCCCAACTTGAAAACAGAGTTGCTTGGATGTGGTAAAGAAAATGTTGTATCCCTTCTGTCAGCCCTCAGCACCCTCGACAGCTGCACATATGAGTCCTGCGGAGCCCTTGAGTCTCTTATTAACATTTCCTATGAAGAAATGTCGCATGGTGCTTCGGGGAGTTGTTGGCCCAGGTTGTACACTGACGCATCTATCATCCGATCTCTGGCATCTCTCAACAGTTCCTCCTCTCGTGCCGCTATTGACAAACTAGACCGGGTGATCATAATTGCAGGTGCTGCTGGTGAAGGTCGCCTCGACCTCGTACATACTCTCATCCGCCGAATCCAAACTGAGTTCCTTTCGTACACTGTTGATTTGACCAGAAGATTTTCGAAGCCAGAGGTTATTGCGTCTAATGATTCCTGCTCATCGATATCTTCCCTTAAAACATCCTTGCATGTCATTCCAGTTCTTAACTCTCCTCCGTCATTCACGACGTTTCATACAACCCACAATCACCATCCCTTTGTGTTACCTAAATACGCCAACTCCTGGCCGGCTATCAACGAACATCCATGGTCTTCTGCAACCTATCTTCGTTTCGTCGCAGGACCTGCAAGAATTGTTCCAGTTGAAGTAGGAGCCGACTATAGGGCAGATGACTGGACGCAGCAGTTCACAGACTGGGACAGATTTCTATCAACACTCGAACTGGATGACATTGATCTCAGTGCAGATCTAGCATCTCCGTCTACAATCAAACCGAAAAAAGTTCTGTATCTTGCCCAACATAATCTTATCAGGCAATTCCCTGATCTAAACCGAGATATCGTGATTCCGGATTATGTGTATACTTGTCCTCAACCTCCTTTGGACTATCCCCAATACAAGCCCCCGGGAAATGATGAACAGCTCGTAATCAACACCTGGCTAGGTCCTCTCGGAACAATCTCACCAGCCCATACTGTAAGTGCGTATGTCAATCTGTTCTTGACATATTGAGTTCTTCCGAAGAATTTCAATTAATATGTTCATGGATCTCTGTATAGGACCCTTATTTTAATCTTTATGGTATGCTTTAATCTCGTAGCTTATGCACGAACTCTAAATTGAATGATTAGTTCAAATTGTTGGACGAAAGACCATCTGGCTTGCGCCGCCTTCTGTCAACAGATTTATGTACGCATTTGACGGCGACGAGGTGTACGAATCTCCGAATCCTGCGTCAAATAAGGATAACCCATCTATGGGCAACACGTCCCGAGTAGATGTATTTACTACACTAAAAGACGAAGGGCGCTTTCCCGATTTTTGGTCGAATGTGGTTCCGCAGGCAATTTCTACGATACTAGAGCCCGGAGATATGTTATTCATCCCCCCTGGGTGGTGGCATGCCATGCGCTCTGAGGAAACGAGTTTCTCGGTGTCGATGTGGTTCTAACAGTCAGGGTAAAATTATCTCTTCTATCAGCAATCAGTGACAGTAATACAATCTCCTACTATACACTTCTCCGCGACCACTGACTACGCCGCTGAAATACTTATGTTAGTCCAGATTGTGTGCAAAAACTCGAGATTTGAAATACCGGAACAGTATGTAAAGTAAAGCAGTATTCACGTCGTTTTTACCCTGGGTGAGGCAATAGACTGAGACTCATCTTCTCCCTAAAAACCCTTCCGAAGCTCACTCTGTAGCTTCAGTTTACCTGGATTTTCCAGATTCATCCCGATTTTACAGTAACATCACATTCTGAATGCCATTATGTAGGTATCAATGTTACAGTGGTTAGATAATTTTTGGCCTGAACCTCTTTAACTATTTTGCAGTGACGCTTCATGGCCTGTCGATAAGAGAGCATTTTCTTACAAGTGTTGTAGGCAACCCGTTTCTTTTGATGTAGAGCTTTATCATAGTCTAGACTCGAGCCAGTAGCTTCGGATGTTGACACTTTGGAAACTGGCGCTCAAAGGTGTCAGCGAAAGTGATTCCGCATATCGCTTCTCAGCAGCAGACTGGTTCGAGTCTAATCATAGTCTGGCTTGAGATTTCAGCGATTTTTTAATATCAGCAGGGTCGATGAGCACTCACGCGCGCACGGTTGTGTTGAGAGTTGCTCTGCGGATACCACAGGCGAATCCATGCCCGGTCTTGATAAAGGGTTGTGCAGGGAGAAATTCAAAGCACGCGCTGAAAGGAGATTCTATTCTACAATCTGCGGGCGTCGAACGTTTAAGAGTACCAGGACTTGATATTTCCGTGGCGTGTTCAATGCGACTCTAGATTCACTGTAGTAACGTTAGGTATAAGTACTCATGATCAGAGGGAAGAATTTACCCTAACTGGCGCGTCAAGCCCTGTCAGTTGCATCCAGGTCGTATGGTTCGCTATCCTGAGAACGAAGACTCAGATGTATCGTGTTGCCGGTCCCAGTGATCAAAGCCGGAGCTTCGCGTTGACAAGGTCTCGAACCCGGCAAGATTGGGAGCGTGCGGTGTCCCGCTCTCTGGAGGGTGTACCTATGGAGGTAGCAAGTGCCGGGGGAAGCTCCATTAATCCAGTCGGTGAAACGGTATGCTTCCAGGAACCGTTTGTTCAGAAGATACAAGGTAATCAGGACTTTTGCAAGATGAATCGTCATCCTTCTCTTATCCTTGGGGGCCGCTTGCTGGGGAACCATCGTGCTGCGTTTCAACTTGAGATGACGTTCCATCCAACCTGCGGTCTATCCACGTTTGAAATGCTCCAAACAAGCTTTGAATAGGGTGATGATTAGCAGTCAAATCATTGGGATAATCGCAGTCCACCGAAGCGGGTTCAACTAGTGGACGAAGGCACTAACGAATCAGATTTTCAACTATTTTCAAGGTTCCATGTGAAAAAGTTTACTCATTATTCGCAAATTCTATTGGTCTCCTTTCTCCGCTGACTGACAGCTCACATCCTCACGTTGCACACTAACAATGGAACGAGGGAGGATAGATGGATGTGGTTGATCCTCAGTGGCTGAAAGTGAACCGAAGTTGAAGGCAAAAGTGGGATAAGATTGGCGAGTAAACAGTTGTTTGACATCACTCGCTGAAGTCGGGTTGAGTTGCGGGATTGAAAGCCCCCGCGCCAGGAGTTTTGGCAGAAAAATCCTCAAACGAGAACGACTCACATCCTTGGGGGTGTTGTTTCTGCAACACAAGCGAGTTGGCATCGTGGGAACACGATTGTACAACGCAGCGGATGGTAGGGCACGAAAGGCAAAACTGAACGCGGGCATTGGAACAGACAGCCCATTCATCCTATAACAGATCTGTTAGATACATTCACGTCTCTGTGAGCAATACAGAAATTGCATTCGAGAAGAGGCTACACTTAGAGAATCTTCACGATACTGAACGTGGGAGCTTTTCTTACATATGTACATAGCTAGTTACGCGAGTAATTCCGAAATATTTACTTACACATCCCCACATTCCTTCCTCCCCTAAACTCTTATGGCAGAGGCGAAACTGAGGGCGTTGGGCTCGAAAGATAATGGTACGCACACAGAAATTTCACTTCTATATTTTTTGCAGCTTTTACCAACAGTCAAACCACCTACAGCATCTCTAGGTATTCCCCGCAAAAGGATTTCACATCGACATAGTCGGAGTACCCCAACTGTATTACCAATCCCAGCGCTGAGCTTTTCGTCGACTTCGTCTTCACGAACGAGTGCTACAGAAAGCACTTTAGCAACCCCCGTGAATAGCGTGTTCAATGGGAATATTCCTCAAATACATATGTCGGATATTGCCGACAACAGCGACGACGAGGAGGACAATTTGGATACACCGACACCCACGCCTTCGCCAAAGGCCAGAGCGCGAAGCCCGGCGCGTATCCGCTCAGCTACGACGGTTCTTGCTGGTCAGAGTCCCAGTATCCTCCGACAATTATCCCTCAGCCGATCCGAGTTCTTCTCTCGGTCCCTTACCCCACCACCACGTGCGAAACCGTCCCTCGCCATGTCCCCGGAAATCCATCCTCGTGTGGACAGTGTGTCTGCTGGACGTGTCACTGCGCCTAAACCTAGAAGAGCTTCTCAGCTTACCTCTCCCATGTCGCTAACAAGTTTTTCTCTTCCTGCTTCTCCTCTCCATCAGACAACCATGCTTCCTTCATCAATACAACAACGACCCCTGAGTCGCTCAGAACATTTACTTAGGTCAGCACTGCTCAAAGACGAATTCGCTCAAGGATCCTCGACCTCGACCCTCAACGCCCCGGTCAAACATCCTTCCAAAACCCATCGTCGACGGCACTCGCACGCCACTGTCTCTGCTGATTCTCCCCTTGATCATAGCTCTTATCCTTTGCCTGCTGGCATTGCCGTTGTTACATCGCCATTATCACCTTCAGGGAGGAATACACCCACGCCTCGGCCTCGTCCGGTCTCGCCCGTACACACAAAATCTGCCCCGGTGACCCACACGATGCAAACGAGGCTTAATCCTCGTTCCCAGTCATATGCACATGCACTAAATGAGGCTTCATCCACAACATCTACCAGATTACCGCTGACGCCTCATGAGCAAGTTTTGCGAGCGAGGTTGGAGAGGGTGTTGAGCGCAGGAAGCGTTGCCTTGCCTGATTCATACCAATATGGAAGCGCAACTCGTAGCACTGGTTCATCATCCAGTGCTGATGATGATTCGTTGTGGCACGTTTCTGGTCATGATCTATCAGGAGAGGATTATGGATATTCAGCCGATCTTCGACAACTGAGATTGAAGAGAGCGGAAAGGAAGAAACATAGAGCAAGTGCACCGGCAAACGGGTCTGGCTTTTTGGGCTGGCTGTGGAGATCTACAGAGTCGGATGAGGAAGAGGTCTGTTGCTGACATTAAACCTTCTATTCTCAAATCACTTAACGCTATCATCAGACCCCCAATCCTCTCTTCGCCCCACTCGCGACAGGTTATCGGCAAACACTGCAGTTTCAAGATGTTCCCGACGAGAGACGGAACCCAAGTATTCCTAATTCGCCCCGTACACCACGTATGAATACCTCCTCAAATTCCAATGCTCTTAACGCACCCTCGTTGCCTTATCATACCACATCCCCTCAGTTATCCCCATCGCCGTCTCGGTTACGATCGCATACACAACCTCTACCATCGTCACCAAACCGATCGCCGTACGGTCAAGGCTATACATATTCTCCTAAGCCAAAACATGCATTCTCCCTTGGCTCAATGCCTAGCGTGGCCCGTGACATATCGAATGTGGCGACGAGTAGTGGAAACGGAGGACTGACCGGAATCAATGGAAAAGGAAGGATGCTTACCCCACCTCCCACCCCCCCTCGTGACGAAAGTGTGCTGTTCGCAGAAGGGCTGGGGCAGACAGATTCTCCGGTGAATTTGTCGCACGATGAACATGAACCTGGATCATCTGAGGAGAATACAAACCTTGAGGCGTCATTAATAGGACGAGGAAATTCTTTCACTGGCAAGTCGGGCAGAGGGCAGAGAAGTCTAGGACTTGGGAGACCGAGTGCAAAAAGTTCTGAAGATTCTGTTTCGTCCACTGCTTCATCACTCGCTGAGGCTATTCCTTCTGTCTCCGTTGGTGTTGATTCGTCGAACGCGACTGACTCTAACGATTCAGCACTGTCTCCGTTACTCAGTCCCACGAGTGCTTTGAGCACTACATCGTCGTTCAATGCACGTACAGCCTCGTTACAATGTCGAGAAATCGATGGATATATCTCCTTCGCGAGTATCGAGGGTTTAGGAGAACCGCCGGTCAGTGCGCTACCAACGGATAGCGGTGACCGGGGAAGTATGGACGGCGATGAACAAGAAAGTCAGAAGAAAGGATTATTTGGGAGACTGTTTAGACGATGAATGTGTGAGTACTAATTGGCATTATCTGGTTTGTTTTTTTGTACTGTTTATTTCGTTTTTGCTTTCTGTGGCTATTTGGGCTTCCTTTTGACTTGGAGACAATGGCAATTCCTTCGTTTCGTTATTTATTCATCCTCGCCCGAGGTCACTCATTATACTCTATATCTTCGTCGGTCTGTAGGGACTTTTGAGACGTTTTTAATTTCACCTCACCATTATGCTCATTTTATCACTTGTCCACGTTGTTCATACCTTTCCATCTTTTGCACATATGGATTCCTTTTCTTTTCTTTTGCTTTGCTTTCGGTTTTGCTGTCGTTCATACATTCAGGACGACACCTGATCTTTGTATATATATATTGGGATAATTTGGCAGAGCCAGTTGTAAATATCAAAGAAAATAATTGACATAGTTAAAATACTACATACATATGTTACAGTTACAGACGTACACGAATATTGTAGCTGCGTAGGTATATACAGTAGGATACAAAATCCAAGTAATAATGTGTTGAATTTGCCAACCTCAAACAGGATCAGCGCCAGAGCTATGTAAGGCTTTATGCAAGCGCCAGATCAAGAAGGTTGCCCGAAAGTTCTCACGCCGTTCGTTGTTGGTTTGGAACAGGAACAGCTGTTCATGACCTGTGCTCCGCCAACGGCCTCCTTCTGAACTCGCCTGTGCTCCTCTTCACATGTCGCTGCTGGACGCTGAGCATTCAGTGCATCCATCGCCGGACTCTCGGAAGAATGGTTCATTTCCGCCCATTTCTCTCAATTCAAGCCACATACAAGAAGCTTTAGCCCGGTCTAATGATGGGGGAGTAACACTTGTGCTTATGAAGAAGAATCTTGCGGACGTCGGCAGCGATGCTGCAGAGGAACTCGCCACCATCGGCCGGGAGTTTCCTGAAAACGAGTGCAGGGTCCAGAGGTGTGTTTACAGAGAATTGCGCTACTTTTGTGTTGTCAATGACTGGCGCCAGGATATCGCTCGGACACAACCGGCTAACTACTCTACCGATGGAATTCGCCCTGCTCTCGCGTCTGAGGTATTTGAATCTGAAGAGCAACTGCTTCTCTGTGTTTCCGGACGTGGTGTGTACAGCGACTTCTTTATACTATGCCAGTGAAATTAACTCCCAACTAGCTCACACTCATGCCTGCTATTGACACCCTCGACATTAGCCATAACAAGATCAAGCGTCTGCCTTCGCAACCTGGCCATCTTGTCAACCTGCGAGTGAGTGGCCATTCACGTCGGCGTTCCAATCTATTCAATTGTCCCCTTTCAGGTGTTTTGTTTCTCTCGGAATAAAGTTACCAGGCTGCCTGTTTATCTATCCAGGTTTCGCAACCTGACAGTTCTGCAGGCTGACAAAAATCCTATAGAATGGCCTCCCAAGGCTGTGATGGAGCCTCCAAACATGGTTGCTGACGGAGCGAAATTCTCTATCAGTTGGATCAAAAGCATCCAGAAGTGGATTGAATCCGAGACTACTTCTGAGATCCATCCTCATGACGACTCTGGATTTAGCGAACATCACGATTTGGAAAGCAGATTGTATGGCTTCCTGTTGTCTTAACTGTGTGCCCGCGCTTACGTCTAATACGCAGGGACGAAGCTTATTCCGCTTGGTCTTCGCGTCTTCCTCGCACTGACAGTGAATTTGACGATGGTGTCACTCCTCACGCCCGATCGTTTTCCATTGATTCCAATTTCTCTATGTCTTCGGCCACGGAATCTGTTAATCTTGACACCCCTGCGTCTTCATACGGACAATCTGATCGACCACCACCTCTACATCTAGGTATACTTCAGTCATATAGCGAGGAAGCATCTCCAACGCGATCTATAGAAAGTTATTTGCCCAGCCCCGCTGAGTCAGATACCTTTTTTGATAGTACGTCTACGCATGACCACGCTGACTTGGACCAGCAATCTCAGTCGCAGCAGCAGCAGCAACATGCTCGCAATGCTTCCTACGCTGCCGGGAGCATTCGTAGCTCGAATCGCCCGGACTTTCTGGGAAAGAAGAGCATGCCTGACCTTCGTACAGCCAAGCTCAACTTCTCGAAAAAATCAGTTCCGGATTCCCTTCAGCATACGCGTGTAGATCGAGGATTTACTGCTAAGTCTTCTTCCGCCAATTCTCCTTCCACTAGCACTCCCACCAACACTCACTCACACCGACCGAACCTTCACCACCCTCACGAAGACTCTTTTTCTATACCCTCCCCTCTTTCTCAAAGACAGGACTCGAGTGGGAGTTCAAATACTTCCAATTCTCGTGCTATCCGTGGGCCATTTTCGGTCGCCAAAGATAAAGATTTTATAGCTCAAGTATCTCCAACTCGAGCGGTCCCTTCCATGGCGTTCGAACGGAATTCCTATTTTCGACGAATATCCTCCCTTCCCACTGCATCAATTTCAAATACTCTGCCTCCACCGCTGCTTAACCTGGTCGACACTGCACGCAGTATACTCTTTGCTGTATGTCAAATATATCAGACCCTCGAGCACTACACTCTCCATCACACAATTGATGATAGGCTTTCATCAGTATTGAAAAAGGTGTTGCACCCTGCCAGTACAGATATGATGCAGTTCATCAACTCACTGGATCGATTCGATGCAATGAGTCGCAAGACTGTACCTCCTCCCACAGTATGTCGTGGAGTAGTTGAGAGTTGTCGAGACACGGTCGCGGTGTTCGGGAAAACTGTGGGCGTATTATCCCTGCAATTAAAGGTGATCGTGAGCGTGGATGATTTGCGTTATGTTAGAGCACTCTTGATTCAACTGTATAGTGCCGCGGCAGAGATATCTCTTGCGTGGCAAGGGATGATACCGCTGATGGATTCTGTTAAACCCTATCTTCATTCGAAGGCGTTCCCAACCCCATCGCCACCCAATCATGTTGGTCTTGGGAATATTGACAACAATCTGTATCATTCGCCAGCTTCAGCTCCTCTTTTACCTACTTCGTTGTCGTTATCGGAAGGTAGTCCTTCACATCTACTGTCCCTTCGGGCCAACCCATCGGGCGTGAGAACACATACAGCTAGGCGACACGCAGGTTCGTTTAGTTCGAAGGATGTGGAAATCGGAAAAACACTTCCCTCGTGTGAAGAGATGCCCTCCTTATCTGGTGGAATAGCGCTCCATACACCTACATTACGGACTCCCAAACGGAAGAACGGCTCTGCGACAACACCGACGACAATGCTAACCATCCAGGCACCTTCACCGACTGGTCCTATCTCGTTGTCCAATTCCTCTTCGTCCCTAACCACTTCTACCATTTCAGTCTCAGCTTCCATAGCCGAATCCTCTCGTGCGGTACACAGTGCACACTCCCACTCCCGTTCTGGATCTCAAACTTCCATAATTGCAGGATCCTCCTCCAATCCATCCTCATCTGCTGCGTCGTCTCCATCATTACCACCCCCTAAACCGACGTCGTTCTTGGAATTACCCTCGACGTCGAGAACACTAGTAGATAATGAGGCACTGCAAGCTGTGCAGGCTGCGGTTGAGGTGGCTCCTACAGTGTGGGATATGATAGAGAATGTGCTACTCGGCAACGAGGAAGGTAAAGGAGTCAAGGCTGGTGTGAACTTGCTAGAGATGAAAGAGAGCTTAAACAATGCCAGAGCGATCACGAGTAGGTTAACGGAATGCCTTCAAACCATGAGAAACAAGGAGGGAGGTGATGTCGGATCAGAGAGGAAGAGTTTGAGAGAGGATGCTCATTTGTTTATGAAAGTATGTTCTTTCCGCTTTTGTTGCGGTCTTGACACTAACGTCCCCGATTAGTCTGTTGTGCAACTATCCAACGCCATCAAGATATACGGCGGTGCTCGCTCTTCAGCTCTACGTACCAACATGGTCAAATTGACTAACTCGACGGAGGAATTTGCCATTCTCCTCCACGTATCATCTTTTACTCCTTTGCCGGCACCTACTACTGTTGCATCTTCTTCTACTTCGATACGACCATACTCTCCATCTCCCATGCTCAATGCATCGGTACCGGCTGTTCCTTCGCCTTTACCCTCTGTCTTATACTCGCAGTCACAGACAAATCTGCTTCATTTACCGGAGATAGAAAATCGAGGATTAGGATTGGGACCCGCACTTTCAAGGAGTCGGAGTGCACAAGGTTCTACAACAAATAAATTACCTCCTTCGCCTGCGCCAACAGAGGCTCCGAGAAGTGCGCAGCCGCTGCAATCATTCAAATTACCAGTGATCAGGCGCTTGAGGGACAGGGAGGCGGCGAACGGCTTTAGAATAGATGGAATTACTGGCGGTACTGGGCTTCATGGTAATGGTAATGGGATTGGTAACGATCCTGGATGACTTATAGTGTATTTTATAGTTTCGTTTTCGGTACTCAGGTTGTAGTTATTTTATCCTGCCCTCCCTCCGATCCTTTGCATTTGTTCTCTTTGTCGGTTGCTATACTATTCGTATATTTTACTAGCCTGGTCACATTGTCACTATTTAGTTTATCGTTTTTACATCCTTTTTGTCAATCACATACGTTTTGTTATTCAAACCAACTTGCTACACAAATGAATCGAGGAGAACAGTGTGGAAAAATTAGTATTCCTGTCAGTCTGCAGTAATCTTCGGCTTCTTTTTCTTGCGCTTTGGGGTATCATCTTCGATACCTGCCCGCGTGGCGGAACTTTTCCGTTCTCGTTTGTTCTTCATTTCACGAGCAGTTGTGCTGATCTTTTCCTTAACTAAGGCAGTATGAGCATCACTACTAGAAGCTTTGGGTTCGTCAACACCGGCCGGTTTCAAGAAACCTGTCTTGGACGAAGTAGGAGCTTGGACAGACGAGGTGATGTTGTTTGTAGGAGGCCGTAAATCAGCTCCAACTCGGGAAGTGTCGAAGATAGCGAGTTTTGCAGATTTTTTGATATACGGATTAGAAGTGGTGCCAGTATCGAATTTTTGATTACGCACAGAAGGATCTGAGGCGGAATCAGCGGGAGGAACAGGTGTCTCCGTCTTTACTGGGGACGAAGATTCTATTGTTGCCTGAGAGGACAGATGTTAGAAAGCAAATCTGATGATATCTATCGAGCCAGTACCTTGACTTCCTTACCTCGCTTGAATACCCGTCGTCCTTTCGGTATGTCATCAGCAGAGCTTGAAGATGGTGTGGATGGGAAAATAAATGGCAGATAAGACGATTCATAGACGACGGTATCACTGCCATCATATGAGTCAGATTCAGGATAAGAGAAAAAAAATGGAAATAGATTAATTGAACGTAGTACGTACTTAGACTCTGTAGAACCCCAGGATTCTCTTATTTCCTTCGCGATCTCCCACTGCCCGTCATCTTCGACGTGGGCTCTTTCGAGCACTACTTCTTTGAGTTGTTTTGCGCGTTGCGCATTTTGCATAAATTTCAAGCTGAGGGTTCCGCTACTCAGCTGTTTGGCCGACATGGTGGGAGTGGAAATTATACTCTTATGCTAAGCGCTCGATGAGGCTGGGCTGGAAGCAATTTGCCGAGCGCCGAACTGCTCCCATCCTAGTCTGAACTTTCTTTTGGGATAAGTTATTCGAGTGAGCTTATATGTATACCGAGATATTCTACTTTGTATATGATAGTTGGTATCAATATATCAGAAGGTTTTGCCTGGGGGCGAAGCCCCGCGCGGGTGGGCAACACACCGCTAAACGGAGACTTTTGAGCCCGGAGTGTCTGGGCTGTGGTAGCTTACCCGTCAGACACTGAAATAAAGAAAGGGAGGGTGGGTGGGATTACGACGAAAGGTGGGATTGTGGGATGTATTGCGATGAGTGTCGTGAGTGAGAACGGACGAGCGCCTAATAACACTCATCGCCACTCCTTATCTTATCCTATGATAAGCCAACCTACGGTTGACTTATCTCGGAATAAGTTATTCGAGTGAGCTTATATGTATACCGAGATATTCTACTTTGTATATGATAGTTGGTATCAATATATCAGAAGGTTTTGCCTGGGGGCGAAGCCCCGCGCTCCCACCCGTGAATGAGGAGAGTGCGAATCACCCAGACAGAGCCGAGGCTCCTTCCCAGCACACTCCGAATAACTATTGGAGTTGTACCCCGAATAGAGCTGAGGACTCTGATTATTAACTGCCAAAATTGTATGTATTTTCTGTGTGTAAAAGGAAGTACGAGAGTTTAAGTATCGTCCGAAATGTTGGTAATATCTAAACCAGCCATACAAGCAGTGATGAGTTCATTACTAACTTTATTCTTCTTTCTATATTGCTCTATGTTGTCCGAAATAGCATCAATTTGAGTCCGTGAATAAGCCTTCGCCAAATGTGTTGGGATGATGTGTTCCATACGTCTCCAATATAGAAGAAAAGCCAGTGAGGTCCAACCTCCGATCATTGCAACCACCTCTGGCGAAACACCTGCGAGAAGGAGTTCGACAGCTCCTCCGATTCTGAAACTATGGCCCAGGACATGACGCATTGCCGCTCGTTCCCAGACGCCGTAACAAAAAGTGAGGAATACATGTTTAACCATATGCTGAGGGATTCCTTTGTTGTCGATATAGGCAAAGAGGGAGAATTCGTCCGGTAATTTGTCGTTGACCTGCCAGTGCTTTGCAAAAGCGTCGTATGCACATACAACATCTCCGCGACGTGTTACAACCACGTTCGTACCATCTTCGCGCGTGGACTTTGACCAAGGCAGCTGAATATGGACTGAAGTATTGCCCCTGTGGTCATTCCAATTAACGTTCTTTGTGTTACGCGACACGTGAAATTTGGGATCGAAAGCATTGCATGAAGGGATAGTGAGCTCTCCGAGTCGGCGGCATCCCCAGAAAGTAACCAAAGCCAGGGCCCATATAGCGCAATGGAACGAGTTTGAAGTATCTAGAGCACGGTAGAGGGCTAATAAGTGTGCGAGTGTGATAGGGTGTCGTATGGGTCGTTTGTGAGCTGTCCCTTCCTTCTTCGCTGCCTTCCGGGCCATCTTTATTTCTGGTGAATCACTCGGCCATTGAGCACCTGAATACTCGAACCATGCACGTAAACCTGAGAGCCAGTTCTTGATACAACTACCTGAGACCTTGCCCATATGATGGCCGACGAAACCTGCGATAAGCATGGGATGGGCGGGCATACGATCCTCTTCAGGAATTTCCCTAGAATCGCAATATTGATTGAAACGTAAGGGGCCCGCCGCGTATGAAGCTAAAGTGTTCGGCGCCAGTGACTTTTGCATAGCGTTATGTGCATCGTCAATCACTGATAGTGGAAGGGATTCAGATAAGTGTTGTCGGTGTTGAATTGCCCAGGGAGACGTCCAGGTGTGTAGTCGTTTGGTAGCCAGAGAGTGTTTTCGTAGGTCGGAAGGCCTGTATTCTTGTCCAGGGAGAGGTTGACGTGGATTCGGTGTAGGATTAGGATAAATTTTAGTGGCCGTTGGGTATGTAGAAGGGATATAAGGAGTAAGGAATGTTGGGATTATAGGTGCCGTAGGTTCGGGATTAGTATGGATGTGTGGTAATATTGGAGCAGCGGGCACTCGCGGAAGTGCCTTGCTCGCGCTAGAATCAGCTAGCGCAAATTCTGGTGGCAGCCTAATAAATTCAATGCGTTGTTCATCAGAATATTTGTAACGGGATAATATATAAGCTTTCAATACCTAAACATAAATAAGAATATCATCTAGCTCCTGCGGGAGCATAAACGCAAGTGGGAGTTTTGTATTCCTTGATCCTAATATTCCGCGAGATATAGGGTCGGCAGGATTCTCCGCTGAGATGACATATTCGATCTTTGGTTGAATGTACAGGGGTCCAATGACACCGCAAATACGTCGTATAGATGTGTTGATCCAGAAGTTTGGGCTACGAGCCTTGTTGAGTGCTCCAATTGCACCTTTGTTGTCTGAATGAATAAGGATGAGGGCGTCATGATATCCCATTACTTCGAGATAGTATATAGCTAATTCGATAGCGATGGTTTCTAACCAACAAATATCTCTTCCGGGAAGCTTCCAGTCTGAAGTTAGATGAAATGCCGCCCAAGTGTCACCAATTATGATGCCGATGCCCCAGTCCGTGGATGCATCAACGTATATGTCCAAGTCTAGCAGATCTCCTAATTGTCGTAGCTCACGATAATAGAAAGGATTTTTGAGGCGTTCTAGCCACCATTTGATTTCTGTAAAGACTGCTGGTGTTGGGAAACGTCCGGCGGAAGCTTCGCGCTCGCCACGGTATGTAGCCATAAAGTTTGATATGGGAGGAAGATGTGAACGTCCATCAGGATGTAAGAAAGCGAGATGACATAGGGTGCCATGTAGAGATTCTAACTCGGGTAATGGGGTTTTCCGGCCGGTGAACTTTTCGATGAAGATTACAAGGCGGTGTAGGTATTTGATTCGCTTCGGTTCTGGTAAACTAACCCGTCGGTTGTCGATATCCCAACAAAATCCTATGAACGTAATAATCGAAACGAATAATTTGTCGCCTTTGAGGGGGTGCCATGGAACGCCGAGTGGTCGAATTATGTCTAGCATTTGTTCGCGGTCGTAGGGATATGTACTGTCTTCGAGAGGCACCGAAAACACCGCGAAATCATCTTCTATTTTCTCCACCGGATGTACCCTTCTGGCTTTCCAGATATCCCGTACCGCTGCGGAGACCTGTCCCGAGTTGCTACTAGCTGACGAAAGTCCAAAACAGTGGACGTTCTCGAACCAGAAATCACCGTGATTGTCGCGTACCACCAGATAAGGTTTGTGGTGTGGGAGTACCGGAATTGTCCTATGAAACTTTTCGATATCAAGGGTGAGGCCCTTGGTACCACGCGGTGCCGAAGCAATCTGTAGATATAAGTATAAGTTGAATGTTCTGGAAGTGATAATCCGAATATAATAATGCGGTATAATGCGCGGAATAATAATTTTTTGAGCATAAAAATCATAAGGCCTGGGATAATATGAACGGGCATAACACCCGTAGGGCCGTAATAACAGGGCATAATAATATAAGTTGGTCCCTCGGATTGAAGCCAAGTAGACCGTGGGGTAATCAGTGTGAATTAGGATAGAAAAGACTCACCGTATCTGCTATTTCCGGTGCTGAACTAAAAGTTGTTGGAAATAATGTCTTTTCGACGGAAGAGTTAACTGATGGAATTATATTCCTAGAGGAATTGCGACCGTCTTTGGATAGATTACGGCAAACACGGAATTTTGGGGGAATACCGGGTCCTTGTTCTGATTTGGAAACGATGAAGGGGGAAACCCGGAAATGTCCTCTGCAAATAAAATAAATCTCGTCATGTGTGAAAGGTCCATCCATACGACCTGCGGCGACTTCTTCGGCAATATACTGGTCGACTACCTGAGGGTATTGCGAAACGCTCGGGTGATTGGGTGTAATGATTGTTTCTGTGAGAGGTGGCATAACTCCGATAGGAAAGCCCAAGCGAAGATTTCGAACTAAGAGAGGATGGGAGCTGGTAAGATTACATTCTGAAAGCATTCGTTCAAAAATGTCGGCGTTGTAAGGAGTCACAATTTTGTTGTATAGTTGAATGAAATGATCTGGCGTATTCGGCAAAGGGTTACGTTCGATAATAGCTGAAGAGAAATCATGGAATTGCAAAGTGGGATATATGGAAGACTGAGGGAAACGATCAAGCGGAGAAATATTTGCACCTCCCGGCGTGGTGGTCCTTACTGCCGCAGAGGGAGCAAACGTGGAGGTATGTGCATGTCGCGGAACAGCGGGAAGCTGCCAGGTTCCAGGGGATGCAGATTCGCTCGGCTGCTCGGTCAGGCGTGACCAGACTGGTGTTGTTGTATTTAGCCCAGAGTAACGGTCCCTGTTTACCATCCTTGTGTTCTCCCAATTTATGACCCCGCTGACCGCATCCGATGCAGCAAGGTCCGGGGTTGTTAGCCTTACTGCCCTGCGGAAAGGGCTGGTTTGGAGGAGAAGAAGAGGAGGAGTAGTTCGAGGTTGGGTTGGATTGGAAAGGATAAGAATGCCACGATGATCCACCGCGGGCTTTTGTCATCGTCTCCTCGAACTCGACTCTGCTCTCCACCTTGGTCCATTCCGAGTCGTACACTCCCTGTACGAAACCGGTGAATTCCAGGTACTGTTCATTTCTGATTCGGAGTTCCGCTGGCTTCCAGTAAGTGTAGAGCTTTGCCGTATGACGTTTATTGAGGAAAAATGAGAAATGTTGGATGATAAATTGGGCTCGTGAACCTGCTGGGCCCTCTGGGTCGCGACTCGTTTCGAACCTCATGTAGTTGTTGACACACTCCACGAAAAGAATGTAATCGAGTCCTTCGAGTCGGTCTTCCTCAGCGTATTTTATACGTAGGAGTTTCTTCAAGGCTTCGAGGTCGATGAAGTAGCCGCTCTTCCTGGTATCATTCGACTTGTATTTCCTCCGTGGAAGGGAATGGGCGCGAGCGGAGATGAATTGGAGAGAGTCGTTGCTGAAGAATGGTAATGGAATAGGTGAAACATGGGCAATTTCGTATAACGCGTCGTGGAAGTTTGCTTGGAAGGGGACTAGTGGGTTCTTCATCACCGGGACCAAGGGTTCGGCCAGTCTTCTCTTTTTCTTCTTTTCTTCCTCCGCTTCTGCACTCGTATCCTCCTCTCTCTCTCTCTTATCCTTTTCCTCCTGGTTCTTCCGGCTCTCCATCCATTCTAGTACGAAATCCGGGATCAGGTGCTTCAATGAGTCGAAACGAAATGGGTTAGTGCGGATTTTCTCCCATTCTTCCGGCTGGATAGTGAGTTCGGAAGTGACTGGTGATGGCGTCCTGATGTTCTCCGGATCCTTGAGATGTGCTGCCCGTTGTAAATCGCGACGAATATTGTTTGCATTGTTTTCTTTGTTGAATGTAAGACGCGTCGTTACATCCCAGGAAGCGAACATATTGCGAGCTTCGGTGCTACTGTGGGTTATATGCACTCTATCGGGGTTCTGTAATGTCGGACGGCTGCGTAAAGGGAGCTGCATTGTTGTATCCGAAGATTACGACGAAAGGTGGGATTGTGGGATGTATTGCGATGAGTGTCGTGAGTGAGAACGGACGAGCGCCTAATAACACTCATCGCCACTCCTTATCTTATCCTATGATAAGCCAACCTACGGTTGACTTATCTCGGAGTGTAGTAAGGACCTCGGCTAAATGTCATGTGCAACTCACATGTAATGACCAAACAAAGCCAAAATTCTCATTAATCGAATACACGTGTAATGTAGAGTCGCCCTTGAGAGCAGAATTGCAATGGCCAATGTCTTTCGATTAGTGTATTTGGTATGATGTTTTCAATGCCAGCCGTGGAAAGGTGTTGGGGATAACGGGGAGGATTATATTGAGTGAAGCCTCTATTTTGTGCACCATATGGAGTTCGATAGCTTTCTCCAGAGAACACAAGAGAGGCTGCCTCTGGAGGGATTTGATGAGGAAATGTACCCCGAGGCAAGTTTGGTTGAAAGGTGTATTCGGGCACGAACTCAAACTCGAAGGAAGTTGTAGGAGGTTGAAAGATATCATTACGATGGTCAGTTCTATTAGATTGTGATGATAAAGGGGGAGACAAAGATGAAAATGAGGGTAAGGATTAAGTTTTGGAGTCTGAGGAACAGATTCCATAGATTGGATGACTTCCCGTAAGGATTATTGGACAGTAATTATTTCTAACAGTTTCTCAACGTCCTAAGCGAACTAGTCCGATCAACGGATTTTGAGCAGAACTCGAGCAGAACCGTCTAGGGAGGGGTCCGGACCCCTCCCTAGACGGTTCTGCACTCGCTTACTGGGATAAGCGAACAGCGCATCAACTGTCCGTCAGTCGCATCAGACCGGCTCAAAAATTATTTACTCAGATTATTGGACAAAGGCTTACGGGAAGTCATCCATTAATCAACAAAACTTGTGGCTCAAGCGTTCAGGGTCAAGTCATGTGAATCGTCCTAATTGCCGAACCTTTAGGTAAGGCTTCTTACGTAAATGTATTGTATCTCGTAGGGGGGGAAGCTAGGGGAAGTTGGACTTGTCCATATCCCACGGTCATGTGGTACAATAGGTACAGCCTCATCCAGAAAAACCCTACTTAGCAATTACTATTAGATATTCTGCAGCCAGTTCATGTAAATTAAACTGTTATGAAGATTTGAACCTGCTTAGTGGAGAATTCCTTGCCACTGTTCTACTCATCTGCAAAAAATTTGTTTTTGGCTAATCATCTGAGAGCAACTGAGAGCACTTTCCAGCAGCCACTGATTCACCCAGAGCAAGTTGAAAATCTTGTTTTTAGTGCTGGAGAGCACTCTCCAGCCAGTACCCTTGCTCTGTTGAACATACAGTGACGCGCAAATCAAATCCACACCCCCCGATTTGGAAGGCCTTATGTCACCAGCCTAGAACCGTAAAATCTGTTGTTCCGCTGCTCAGAATTATTGAATTTTGAGGGTTCAAAGAGCTTATATTGCCACAAGCAATTCTTTATAGTAGATTTGACTTGCTTGACAGTGTGTAGCATACAAAAATGTTCATAAAAACAGTTCATCTGTAAAACCTGGATTTTCGGCTAATAGCTGGAAAGCAGCTGACAGCGCTGTCCAGCTGGGAAAGCACTCCCAGCAGTTGATCAATACTGCTGGGAGTGCTTTCAGTGCTGGACAGCGCTCTCCAGCCAGTATCCTTGCTCTGGCGAACATCCATGTTTTGCAGATGTTAAATCACAAAATTTCCAAATCGGGGGGTGTGGATTTGATTTGCGCGTCACTGTACAGGTTTTGCAGATGTAAACCTTACTAATAATATGCATAAGTATTGTACTAGTAGCACCGTGTATCTCAGCAGATTGTTTTGTCATTTTTACCTGTAGGATACTATATTAAAATGTTCGGCCCTTGCCGCACGCGGCCTTACCCTCCAGTCATTTAGAAACTTTACGAAAGATGTACGAGTTAACCGAGGGTCTAGTTACACGGCGTGTCTTCTAGCAGACTCTTACTACCTCGACTCGAAGGTGTCAAGAGGTAAAGATTCTGCCTTTGGGAGACTACTCCCATCCACTTTTGTATAGACTCGGAGGGTCTCAAGCGTTTGAAATGAAACAAGCTTTTGAAGGAGGTCTTTCAATTTGCTCTAACGATGAGCAGGACTATGAGACCACAACACAAAACAAAGCGAAGTTTTCGAACCGCATTTCACCGCATCTTACCCGCATCATCACTTGTCAACCACCTCGCATACAGACTCGTACAGCTTTCCGATTTTACAACTGACATTCATTTTTGGATACGCCATGGTCTTGACTACATATAGTCTCAGGGTACGTACCAAAGAGGTTGCCTAGGAATGCTTTTATTCTTAAGTTCTTCTAAACAAACCCACTGGTTGCCACAGAGTGGGTACACAGGCTCGGATAGCACATGAGGAGGTTGGAGGAGGCGCTATCGGATCTTTCGCCGACGGCGATAAACATCTGGTATTTGAAGGCGGCGTATCTTAGCGTAACTTGTCTCGTTACTTCCAACAAGTCCCCCCCAAAAAAACCTCTTCGACGCTGGTTCGGTGTGGTACATTTCATAGTCACATTCTTCATCGCACTCATCTTTCTCCAATTTAGTTGATTCTTCCGTTAATCTGTCGCTTGTCTGTGTTCTCGCATACTGTTATTAGACTATTTTGCTGGCCACTGAAAGTCTATATCGCTCGGGCTCTTGTTATCGTTACCGGTATGTTGCTCTCTCCCTGTCGACGCGGTGGTCTTCATACACACTATCTTTAGTGTTCACAAATATCTCTGCCCATCTATACTCTAACGTCTATCGATCCTTTACCCTCGTCGGATCTGCCGCTTCCTCTTTGTCGCCACTCGCCTCTGTAGTCCTCGCAATGTTATCACGAATCTTCCCCTCATCCCCGTCACCATCCGCCTTTTCCTCTATCTATCTTCTTTTCTTCGCCACCGCTTTCTTCAGCATAGCCTTCGTTAATTCCGACCCATTATCATTGCTTCCAACGGGATTCGAACGTTGCCACTCTCATACTATCACGGGGATTAAGTTTAGAGTCGCGTTCTACGATCAGGACATTCAAACAACAACGAAATCGCACCGTGGAATATTGATTCTCTGCATCGGACAGATAAATTGCTTTGGTTATAATGCTGGTACGGTGATCCGTACCCAGATTGAGTACCGGAAGTCAGATTCCAAAAGAGTCGATCCGGTCACGTACCACACGTTACAAATTGAACCCAACTGCAACAATTTCAATGTCTAGTCCTACAAAGGCCAGCCCAAACCGACCCTCGTTGAGTTCTTAACGAGCATTGTGAATTTGGAGAATGCTATGTCTGGCACCGAGATCAACAGCGAGATTTCCTACATCCTTGCTGTTTTGGACTATCTCCAGACGAATCAAATGCTTGTACACTACGAGAAAGAGAGTATAAAGAAAATGTTGGAGCAAATCAAATCTCTGCAGATCAATGCTCCAAAACTCTCAAAGATCCCGGGCATTTCAAGGCTCAGCTGGGGTTTTTATTCTTCATCCAAGAAAACCTGGGTGACAGCGAGCAGGATGAAGCTTCCGTCAGGGGTGAAGTTCCAGTTTCTCTGCTTCGGAGTTCAGCACTGCTTTGGCCTTGATTCTGATGGGAAAGTCCAAGATATAGCACCTCAACTTTCGGGTGCAAATTTTGTTGATACACGATACCACCTCGCGTGGGACAATTCAAAAGAATACCCTTCATTCAATCTGAAAAAATTCGAGGAATTCTCCAAAACGTCTACATTCTTCACTCGCTTGTTCAGCACTCCCTTCGCAGATATTGAGCCTGCCATCGAGAAGGAGATTGGACTGAAGAAAGGAGTTGATGAGGACGAGAATACGTTTTTCTTCCGTGCCTTGTTGAAGTATATGGCGTCGAAGGAAATAATCACTAATTACAACGAACAGAGATATGACCAGGAGATCAAGGATTTGGAACTCATCAGGACGAAGGATTCGAAGGCTCCCACTCTCCTCGATAATTCAAACACTCCCAGGGTGATGGGCAGTGGTTCTACGCAGGCAGGGGCACCGGAGGGCTCTGGTAACAATTCCTCTGTTGGGGGTTCAACAAGAGTGACTGTATCCAGTTTGCTACGACCGAATGCCACTTTCGATCCCAACATTAATAATCTACTAAATTAGTTGAGGGCATTGCTTACGCTGGCAGCCGGTTGTACATCTTGACCTGTCTTAATTTGGAGATCATATCGGATGTTTACTATCCAATACTCCCAAAAGCTGAATCTGAAACTGGTGTTTTCATCGTTGACTAATACATAAACTGCTGGAAGATGAAAAGAGGAAGATGAACAGAGATGGATGGCGACTAGCGTCATCTATGGCCATCAGTGAGCCCTCTTCCTTACCGTGATTTCTAGTTGCTACATGTATACTCATATACACTATAGAAACTGAATTGTTGTGATTGTCGCTCATTATTTCAGAGGATATCGGTCTTTCCAATTGCCAAACGGTCGCAATTTATGAAACATTGAAGTCCGGATAAATTCCATGTTGATGCTGTAAGTGTGATTTCTGCAACTGAGGCGTCGACTGTAATGTCCTTGTTGTTCCGGATGTGCATTGCCTGACATTCTCTATTCTTCTATGGCACTGGCAGTTCTAGCACTTTATAACATCTTCCTCAATAGCTGTTCTTGCAATCGTACTTGACCACTATGTCTGAATCCCTTCAGCTTGCTGTTGAAACGCAAATCGAGATGTACGTACTACGCTCTATAAATCTGCTCACTGACAGTGACAACCTCACCTCATGATGTGTGCCGTGGGTTTCAGGAATTGGAACTATTATGTTCAACTTGTGGAGTCCAGTGTGTCCTCGGGCTTGTCAGTTCTCAGGCTCACAGCTCACAAATTCTTTTTTAGCAATTGTCATCTATGACTACTTGCTCACATTTGATGCTGAGGTTGAGCGATATTGGAAACAAAAAACAAGATTCACATTTGCCACGACCCTCTTCTATGTAAACCGTTACCTCAACCTTCTAGGTCTCATTCCTATCATTTTATTTGACTTTTGGCCTAGTTTTATTCTGCATCATACGGTGAGTAACCTAGGTTATACATGATGCCAATGAGGTCACTAGAAATGAACGTTGCATGCACAGGGGTCAGTACAATTAGTTATAATGGACAAATTCACCAACAAAAATCTTGCCAGATGTCTTGCTCTCAATGTTTATCACTGGGGTTATATTTTTCTGGTTTCGTCCGTCATCGACGGTAAGTACTACCATGAAGACCGTACACAATATTTTTGAGTCCTGGATCTTCATAGTCCTCTTTATAATTCGCATCTATGCAATATACGGTTGTAGTAGACGGATAGCGTTGTATTTGAGTGTCCTACAGGTGTGTGTTGCAGGGAACAGTTTTGTGAGTATTTTTCCCGGGCCATTAAACTTACAGTTTCATCTGCAAAACCTGGATATTCGGCTAAGGGCTGAGAGCAGATCCCAGCAGATCCCAGTGCTGAAAGCACCGAAAGCAACATGCTCTGGGTGCTTTCACTGCTGGGAAGTGCTCTCGACCGCTTTCGGACCCTTAGCCGAAAATACAGGTTTTGCAGATGTGGAGTTGTTATCTTTGATGTCTGCGTCTTTGGGCTAACGCTCTGGAAGGTTTCGAAAATGCGGGCTATTCACGGAGGAATTGGAACCATAGTCATGCGGGATGGTAAGTGAATGCTTTAACTACCTATGAGGAAGCTCCATTTAAAACATAGGCACAATGTATTTCGGAATTGTTACTCTCATCAATTCTGCCAATATAACCCTCTTTTTCACAGTGGGGAAACTTCCCTTCACATTCTCAAATCTCTGACGCTCATGCCTATCTTATATGCTTTAGTCTGGCTTGGTATGCCTCCGATAATCCACTTATTCAAGGATAACATTATTGAAACTTTATAGGGCTTGACTAAAGGCCTGTTATCGATGTTTTGCAATGTGTAAGCCTTCTTGATTCATTTCCCCATCACAAATTGTGTTTCTACTACTCACGCCTTCCCATATATTGTAGGGCCGCGAGCATTACAATGTCACATCTTATGTTGAACTTGAAGGGAAGTGCAATGTACTCGGGTTCAATGATAGAGGTATGTGATTCCTCTCGCACTATCATTGGTCGAGATCTGATATGAACATTAGATAGATAGACAGATAGATAGACAGATAGATACACGGCTCTGTGGTAATTACGACGCCAATTAGTTGTGTGGCATCCAAGCTTCACTAGGTTTGCCCCTCTGACTTTGCAAAGCTATGTACCTTATACTATATTCATTACTTGTAAAACGGGCAGTATGTGAAGTCGACATTCCGCTACGGAATTGTACTATGCATTATTATTTCCAGTTGCCAGACCCCAAAATAAGTCGCCCAAGCCCCCAAAATTAAGAGTATCACGACCGTGAACATTGACACGCTGAAAGCCCTATTCTTCTTTCCCGCATCACCTTCCTCGAATTTTTCCTTCTGAGCATTGATTAGCTCGCCGTAACGAATGCGATGTTTCTTCGTCCACTGTAGGCGTCCTAGATCTATAAAGAAATACCCAACCACGAATGAAGCAATTCCAACGAGCATTGACCCCGCGGCTAGAAACACGTACACACCGACAACGTTGTTGTAACTGTTGTCGTCTTTATCCTGGATAACGGCGGCGACAATTCCAACGATGATATTCATGCTGTTGTTCACTGCGATCTTGATTGCATAGCCTGAGCCAAAAACCTCTTGATACCACATTGTAGTGCGAATGCTATCGATGATGACAACAGGCCCTAAGCTTTCTGCAACGGCGTAAATGCCAAAAGAGGCCGCCGTCCCCGAAACTGTTGGACCCCATTTAGCCAAGCACATTGCTATGAACATACCGATGCCACATATGACCATAACGCTCAGGCGATTCCCAAGTATGTCAATGAAGACACCCAAACATGGAACGAGGAAGAAACCCATGTACTGAGCCATAGCGCTGTACCAGCCCGCAGTGACGGCAGAAACGTCGAAACGCTGTTCAGCCATCTCCGTTGCGTTATTGGTAAAAACGATTGCACACGATGTTTGGAATGCAGTGAATGCGATGATACACCAGAATGGCCAAGGCAGTTGAAGCATTTTTCGAATCTCGAAGTGATCATTTTTCTCGGTGAGCTTTTCGCCCGTAGCGGGATCGTGTTTTGCTGAGTACCTCTTCTCACACCATCGGGTGAAGAACCAGAAGATCAATGTCACCACATTGGTGAAGACGTTCATGACAACAGCCATCCAATATACCCAGCTGAAGTCACCCATGTTTTCGGCAATGATGTTGGCTGAGGCTTTTCCAACAAAAGATCCGATTTTCCCAACACCTAACTCAAAGCCGAGAGTTGAAGCAAAACCATTCGAAGGCGCGAACCAGGAGCTGAACACTTTGTACTGGGCAACTTGGGTCGCGATATCACCGAAAGCCTGGATAACGGTCCCGAGAATCATGAACTTGTAACTACGGACAGTAGTGGCGGCAGCGATGAGGATAGCACCGACGCTGTAAATGGCATTGCCGTAAAGCATAGCACCTATGATGGTACACGTTAGTGTTTATGAGCATCTGGGAGCAGGATAACAACTAACCTGCCCCACCAATACGGTCTGTGATTATGCCACTGAAAAGAATCAGAGCAGTCTTCATGAAATCTTCACTGCCTGATAACAGCGCATACTTAGTGTTGTTGATGTCCAAATCCTGCGCCCATAACGTCTTAGCCATAAACGCAATGAACGAGATGGTGTACCTTCTTCAGTGTGCTTTTCATAGCACCAGTAACGCCAGAGCTCCAGTCAGATCCAAATCCAATGGCCGTCACCATCGCAACCGAAAGAATCTTCACCGACAGCGGTACCTTTGTACTTCTCCCTCCCTCGCTCTTGAGAGATATTGTATCGTTTTCCGCTTTGCCAGTGACACGGATGACTTCCGTACTTTGTTCCTGCACAAGCTCAGGCAAAGTTAACTCTTCCGCAAAAGTTTGGCGAGTATGAACAGATGACCCGCTAGAGGTGGTTCCAGGAATGCCCATAAGAAAGGCCGCGACAGCGAGGTATAAAGGAAGCGAAAGGGATATCTAATAATTAGGAGATGCGCATTTAAAGCGTCTCCCCTGCCATCGTATCATGATTGTCGGTGGAAAAGTACCAGCTCAGTCTTCGGCCACATCGCGCAGCAGTTGTCCATGAGGTGCGATCCGTGTTCTTCTCCTTTGCTTCAAGGGGTCAAAAAAAATCTGCGATGCCTTTCTGCCAAGGCTAAACGAGTAGATCTTGGCCACGAACAATTGTCTGTGGTTGATCCCTCAACAAGTTATTAGGTTGGGCATGTGAACCACGAGTCTTACCAGATCGAGAAACGGCCCAGTTATATTTTCCCCTATATAGGTCCTGGACAGGTCCGGACGCCGACCAGGAAATCTTCGGACTGGGTGCATAAGGTTGAATGAAGGAAGGAGTCAAAGTGGAGTTAAATCAAACGGCTTGGTCCAAAAATCGATTATCTCTTCTGCATTTGTTGTCCGATATGCGGAAAATGGCGAAGACCAGACTTTTTCCCATAAGGTCTCCCTCGAGAATGGCCGATTTGTTAAAAGGTTGAAGACCGTTCAATTTGATCGAAGAAAAACCATTGGCGCTCGAAATTAGCCTGGCGGATCGGAAAAAATGCTGAACTGATGGCCGACTTCCGGAAGCGGCAGATGTGCCAGCCTCCCAGTAAGGTGGGGGCTTTGATGAGCAGAATGTAAACTGACCGCGATCTCAACACTGCTCATGGAGCATTAATGGCCAACAGGGTCCTTTGGTATCTTTGGTTTGTTCACTACATCATCATATTCCAATTCCAGTGTGTGTGTAGCAAGTTTTGCCTGGCTGATGCCACATCTACGTGCGAAGGTGGGCCATCGCGCTGCGCGCGTGGCAGGAACGAGTCCTCAAGAAACCATTTAGATAGATAGATAGATAGATGGTATGTAGATACAACAACATTTGGATAGAGCTAAGATACAAAGATAATGAGTGGCAAAAAGTACGGCGCCCTTGGGCGCCGATTGTAACGTAGTAACAAAAATCGTGATGTGAAAAAAAAATCTCTAACATAGTCACAGCAGTAACAGTCCAAATATGGGGAAAAAACTTCGCTCAATTAGTCTTGGTGGTCAAACCTATACAAAGAACAAAATGAGCTATAGATAGCTAATCAGTATCTAGAAGTATAGGTATAATGAAAAGGTCAAGCTTACCCTCAGTGAAGAACCAAATAGGATCTAAACAGCTGAGGGAAAGCGTCGTGCGAAATACGAACTAAGTAGTATGAGTCACGTGAAACAAAAAGAATCGGCCTAAAGAGGAAAAGTCTTCCAACAATTAGGAAGGTAAAAAGTATATAAGGAAGGTGAAAAATATAAAAGGAAGGTTCCCACGCTCAAACCCACTATAGGACGATTCCTCATTACATTTCGGACTCGTAATGGATACACTGGTAGTTATTCATGCTTGTTCATGATCAAAAGCATTGTAGAATTCACTGTCGAGACAGCTTACCTGGCAGGCCATCTGCAAAACCTGGATATTCGGCTAAGGGCTGAGAGCAGATCCCAGCAGATCCCAGTGCTGAAAGCACCGAAAGCAACATGCTCTGGGTGCTTTCACTGCTGGGAAGTGCTCTCGACCGCTTTCGGACCCTTAGCCGAAAATACAGGTTTTGCAGATGAGTGGCAGCATCACATTTGCATTGCCGACGATGACCCATCAGTTCAACCATTTTTTCCGACCCGCCTCTGGTTTTGCGATTTGTTGGAAGTGCAATTGAGAACGACGGAAAAGACAATGAAGGTGGGCGTGACTACAATACTCAGAAGTTAATCACGTAAATCTGAATGGACGATCGCGACGCATGGACTCGTACTACACAATTAAGTTGTTCTAGGGGAGCCTTAGGCATGTCGTCGTACGATCATGGACCCCTTCAAATTTCACCGTTCAACCTGGAGCCTATGAAACAACCGTTGCGAAGGAGCAATCTTATTCATTCACCTCAACAGCTTTTTCTACTAAATGTTCCATCTGTTCATTGACCTGGGATTATTCATTCAACTGAACAGCTTTTCATGGCCTTGGTAGGCCTCATCTCTCAGGCTTTGCCGAGATACCGCCAGCACTTTCTTCGCACACAGGTCTGTGCTGCGTTGAATGACAGAATCCATTTATTCTTCGAGACCAAGACGGCTTGTTTTCACCATACTTACCACGAGAACATTAACCATACTCCTGCCGCACCTTGAACAGGAACAATTGAATTTGCCTGTTCCGGGGTAGGGCATGCTGTTTGTGAATTTGCTAAATGAGTATCTTGTATATCACCAACTCTTCCTCCTCCGTTTATAAAAGGCCAGGTATTTTCTTTGGTTCACCCATCTCCTTCGTTTTCAGTGTCTCTTCAGGATTCAAATTTTAATCATGATTTTCAAGACGCTTACCCCAGTCATCCTGGCTGCAGCTTTGGAGATCGCAACAGTAAACGCTGTAAGTTGATTGCGCTTCGCCTGTTTTCGACGACCAATGTTTCTTTACTCGATATTTAGATTCCAGCCGTTGATATTAGACAAATAACTTCTGTCATCACTTCGATCCCTGGCGTGACATCGTTCACCTCCGTTGGTGTTGTACCAACCGTGAGCTCCTCTGTCACGTCGATCGGGGCTGTGAGCTCTTCCTTCACCTCAGTTGGAGTTGTCCCCACTGTGAGCTCGTTCACTTCAGTTGGAGTCGTCCCCACTGTGAGCTCCTTCACATCTATTGGAGCTGTGAGCTCGTCCACCTCTGTCGAGTCCGTACCAACTGCGAGTTCCTCCTTCACATCTATCGGAGCTGCGAGCTCATTCACCTCTGTCGGGTCCGTACCAACTGCGAGTTCCTCCTTCACATCTATTGGAGCCGTGAGCTCGTTCACCTCTATCGGGTCCGTACCAACTGCGTGTTCCTCCTTCACATCTATTGGAGCTGTGAGCTCGTTCACTTCTGTCGGGTCCGTACCAGCTGCTAGTTCCTCCTTCACATCTATTGGAGCTGTGAGCTCTTCGTTTACCTCTGTCAAAATTGTCCCAACTGTGAGCACCTCCTTCACAACCATCGCAACTGCCAGTTCTTCAGTTCCGAGCCCGTCTGTCGTTACGACCACTGTTTACGTGACTAAAACGATCAAAGCTCATTGTCACTCCGAGTCTTCGGTCGCGTTCTCTACTTCAACTGAGTCCCACAATTTCACCTCCATTATCGTAACCAATCCCTCTGGAACGGCCTCTGTGATCACGACTACTTTTGACCTGTCGTCTGCGTTCCCTACTGGAACCGCATCGGAGAATATCACTACTGTGATTGTGGGCACGTCCAGTGTAAACGGTTCCCTGACCACCATCACCTTTGATCCTTCGACGGCGTTCCCCACTGGAACTGCATCTGGAAATATCACGAGCATCATCATCAGCTCTTCTGATGCTGTCCCAACCATCACTGGCACTGTCCCAATCATCACTGGCACTGTCCCAATCATCACTGGCACTGTCCCAACCATCACTGGCACTGTCCCAATCATCACTGGCACTGTCCCAACCATCACTGGCACCGTGAGCACCGCGATACTCACCACTGTGACAGCAACCCCTACTACTGTCAATTAAAGGGGTAGATGTCCAGTCAACGGTCGAGTGGATCGACTTTGACCATTTTTTGGTTTTTACGTACCCTTTTGATTTTCTTAATCCTTCCATCTTCATTTTTTTCTTTTACCGATTACCAGGTAGAGTATACCATTTCGGACTTTCATCTTGCTTGAGTATTTTGTGCTAGGGTTTATGCGAAGCTGACTATCTCACGTACTCAACTATATCGATCCTACGTCAAAATATTGAACAAGATTGCAATTGCACAGATATCGCGAATTAAATGGCAGGTTACCAGATTCATTCTACTCTCCCTCCAACCATAGTCCACGCAATACCCAAAGAAAAAGCGATACCGTTGAGCGACAAGTAGAAAACCATTGGGATTACACCCATGATTAAATTCTTTGGCAAAAAAACGTTGCATATCAGTCAACATATTTATTCACAGGAGCGAAGACGAACTCACCCCTAGAAAACCTCTCCGAAGTATGGTGTCCCAAAGCTCGGTTTTAATGATTTCTGGAGCACTCGCAGATTTGTACGGTCCAACCAGACGGTAGAAAGTTGTGAAAGCAGCACCAAAGCTACATTCAATGAATGATATCAGCCAAATGCAATAATAAAGCACGTGTTATTTACCAGTAGCATATCAAGACATGAGTCCCGTATTCTCTCCAAAGCTCCCAAAGACCCGGTGCGGCCCCGATATCCTTTGCCAACGTACTCATGTACGTAGAATGGTCGACACCGTATTTGATTCGCGCGGTCTCTTTCACGAGGAGGTGATAGCGAGGGGGCGGCATCGGTTGCCGTACTTTACCTTTCAGTAATGATATCCAGAAAAAGGATTGCATTTCGGCTATGGGCGGTATAGCTCCAACACCAGGTCGCACGAACCCAATAAATCCAACGCTTTCATCTCCCTCCTTGACCACATTCCGGACATTCGCTTCATCTGGAGTTGGATATCCGCTCTCTTTATCCAAGAACCCAAATTCCTGCTTGTATCCCGTAGCGTAGATGACCAACTCTGGACGCACGTCGCGGTCTTTCATCCGAATATAATCTTTGCGTTTGCTCGGTGCGAAGACAGCGCGTCCGTTCGGAAGGAAGTGTGTAGGGAAGGGCGCGAGGTCAACAGCAAAATCAGTCTGAGGTGGGGAATCTTCTGGTGGGTCGATGTAGCGAGCAATGTAGTCAAGAAATTTGGGTCGATTTCGGTAGGGGCGATTGATGTAGGGCATGGCTTTTTGAGACTGAGAGGATGAAATGGGACACAAGATAATGTTGAATGAGAACTGGATACTGACCTTGTTCAGAAACACATAAGCTCTTCCTAGTCTCTCGGGTTCGAGTTCGCCCACCTATGGAAGGCGATCAATGACAGTAACCACACGAAAATCCGAAAACATACCCATTGATTACAACCAGCTTGAGTACCTGGAGATGACCGTCACGCTGAAGTCGCGTCGAAAACACTGTATAGTTTACTCACCAGTTAAAACCCATATGAGCCGTTTGATGACAAAATCAGATATACTGTAAATTGTGCATAAATCAACTAAGGGGAAAATTTGATACCGGAGGACTTACAACCAACGAATATGAGAACCTTCTACCCATGGATGCTGAAAGAGACTTCCTCCATAATCTGTCCATCGAGAAAGAATATAAGGCTCCTACTCACCACATAGGCAGACTCCGCGAGATTGGTAATCAGTGAGTCCAATGGTATCCCTGGCCCTTTATCAGATTTGTATCCGAATACTTCAAAATCGTTCAACTGCTTTGGGAACGATAAGAACCTAAACATAGCGGTGAGTACAGGAATATCATGAAGTTACGGCAGATTAAATGACACTAACCCAGCACGAGAACATAGGACGACTTCTTTTGCTCCAGCTTTTGCAGCTTCATACGCAATATCCGTACCAGTTTCCCCCGTCCCCAAGATCATGATGCGTTTACCCTTGAGTTGAGCGCGCTTTTTGTATTCAAAAGAGTGGAACACGGGGTTTTCGATATGCCCGTTCGCAGCAACGACATGCTCAATACCTGGTACGGACGGGATCCACGGGACAACATGCAATCCAGTACAGACGGCAATGTATGGTGCATAAACAGTGGCGACCTCTGCAATGCTCATGGTCAATTCTGCACTCGTTATGTGAGAAGCATGGACTCACCAGAGCCCCATTCAGAGTCCTTCGAATCTCTGGTTACATAAGAGACTACGTGCCCCCCCTCGGGCTGTCGCGCAACATTGATGACCTTGGTATTGAGGTGAATTCTGTCATTGAGATTGAAATGGTCTATATAAGCCCGTAGATAATAAACATATGCCTGTAATAGGTTAGCTTTATGTTTACAAACTAGTAGTGGCTCGTACTTCGGTGGTTAAATGATCAGGATGGGACAGGGGAAGTCGAAAGTCGGAAAAACTCGTGAGCTGCTTGGACGAGACTAGACTGGCGTTCTAAACGCGTCTGATGATTAGCAAAGTCACGGCGTTCTCCTACATTGACTAAAAGTAGCTCACTTCGTATGTGCGGTATCTGAACGTTCCTCCAATATCATGTTCCTACAAGGGTCATGTTAAGAAATGAAATATTTCAATTATCTCTTTAGCAGCACGAACTTGTTCGAGGATAATAGGATCGAAAGGAAAGTTGGCGTCGGCATTTTCGAGCAAAGATTTGGCAGTGACCAGTCCACTAGGCCCAGCACCTATGATTACGACCTTCATGTTCGGGTTCAGAAAACGTGAAAACGTGCATCATTCGATGTGGGTGGTTTAGAATTCAAATCAGCTTACTGTTACTCGGCGTCGTCGGAGACTGGTGGTGGCGCTTACCGACCACTTTTCTTGGCTCTGCTGACCTTGTGTATTCAAAAACGGATTCAACACTGAATGTTTTTCCCATTCCCGTACTCTTTGACCGCCATCTTCATTTTATGACGACAAATCCAGGGTTATGGTGTAGATTGGCCTCAACTTCTCGTTACATTGGATAAACCATGCTCATCTACATTTTCGCCGAGACTTTGTCACTCTTTCCCGACTGTGAGATGCTCCCCTAGACATTACTAGCTTGAGGTATTTAAACTTCATGAGACGATCTCTTATCATCATAAAATATGGTTCTCCCAACTTCTACCAAGCATTACTTCTGGCCCAAGGTCCGTCTCGATGCTCGGTGGTATCTAGACATGCTCTCACCATATATTCACTAGCTCGGCGCTCTTGCAAACCTCTCTTCAAAGGAATCTCAGCTTCCGCCTCTCAGATCCCACGAGGTGCTCGTCAAGGTTTACGCCGTTTCCTTGCAGGTACTCCAAGCTTTTTTCTATTCGGGAACCGCCAAAATGATTTTGATTCACTGAAAGTATCGCGATATTATGGTCGGCTTGAACATATACCCCGGCAGGTAACTTTCAATCTCAGAATTATAACTCTAAACCTTACGATTTTCTACAGCTTCCAGATGAAGTTGTACCATGCTCCGATATGGCTGGAGAAGTCATCGCAGTCGGAGACGAAGCAGGTAGTCAGTGGAAAAAGGGAGATCGCGTTTGCGCCAACTTTGCTGCTGATCATATCGCTGGAGATATCACTCCTGAAATTCAGAAAACTGCTCATGGAGGGGCAATTCACGGTGTATTGACGCAATACAAAGCGTTCAGTCCTCACGTACGTTTATCTACTTCCTAATTTGACATAAACGTGATCATTCGTAGTCCCTCGTTGCCATCCCGGACCACCTTTCCTTCGAAGAAGCTTCTACTTTGCCGTGGGTGCACCATTTGAGTTATACAGGGACGCTGCTCATTTTTTCTGGTTTTGAAGATGTGCTGCCCTGACCGCATATAACGCACTCATGGGCCCTGTCCCACTTAAGGGTGGTGATACCATTGTCGTACTTGGTACTGGCGGTGTTTCTATGTATGTATTCTAGTATGCTACGGAACGAACTCTGGCCTTAATTTGGTTCACTCTCTCCTAGTCACGGCCTTCAAATCGCGCTCGCCTCAGGAGCCAAGGTCATCGTTACCTCCTCGTCTGACGAGAAATTGCAAATTGCTACCAATCTAGGCGCTCACCACGTTGTCAACTATAAGACCACTCCTAATTGGCACGAGGAAATCCTCAAGCTTACCGGTGGAAGGGGTGCTGACCATATTCTAGAGGTGAGGACTCGGATGCTTCGCATTTGTCTCGAGTCAAGTCCCCAGGATATTCAGTGTACCTCGAACTTCAGGTCGGTGGCCCTGACTCACTCGAAAAATCCTTGAAAGCTGTTCGTATGGCGGGATGGGTCCATGCTATTGGGGTTATTGGTGGGGTGTGTACACAGCGTCCTGGTCACGGTACCAGTATCATCCCTTTTTAAAACGCAATTTTAGGGTACACCTACCGAAGTTATGATGCCCACTATTCAGAAAGCTTGTTTCATTCGCGGTATCCAGATTGGGTCCATTGCGCAGTACGTCTGAATTCATTTTTCACAACTTGCTTCTCATAAGTTCTTGCGCAGATTCAAAGATATGAACCGACTGCTTTCTCTACACCCTGAGGTGACTCGACCAGTTATCGACAAAGTATTTCTATTTGAAGAAGCACTGAAGGCTTATGAATACTTGGAATCTCAAGCTCATGTGGGAAAGGTTGTAATTAAGGTGGCATAAACCCACTTTGTACGTACTTTGATTTCAGGCAATATGGTGGTCAGCAGAGCACTATCACAATATTAAAGGTAGCTCACTTCGTACGTACGGTATCTAAACAACCCTTCTTTGTCATGCTCCTTGAGAAATAAACAGTAGGTCTCTTTAGCAGCACTTGGGGTTATAGAGGATCGACAGGAAAATTGGCTTCGGCACCTTCAAGCATGATCCACGACTAGTCTATGAGGCCCAGCGCGAAATTACAATCTATTGGTCTCCGCCATTACTCCGGATTCAGAATCACTCTCACCGTCGCACAGTCACTAAACTTCTATGTGGTGCCTTTACTCCCCAAATCTTCTACACCTCCCCTCGTCCCTTCGCGAGCTGACGGCTACAGGACGCCAGAGTCGTCTCCATGTATGTATGCACCCTGAATCACAATAGTATGTCCTACTGCAACGCCCCTGCAATTCCCAATACCAGCCAATGCTCCCGAACATTGCCACATTCCGCTCAAACTTCCCAGCAACTATACGACACACTACTACTTACTGGATGACTCCTCAGAGAAGGAATACAGTGAGGATAATTACGCCCGTGAACGAGACGTTTGTAATACATACCCTCTCGTACGCTCGCACGGTGCATCATTAGATTTTTGGTGATTCGACCTGATTAATATTTGACTCGGCGTCGTCGTGCTTACCAACCGTTTTTCTTTGTGGGAACGAGATGGACATCCCTCCCATTTCCACAAATCTTGGACCAAGCCGTTGAATTGAACTTCCTTTCTTCCTTCCCATCTTTGTTTGCCGCCATGATCATTCTCAAGCTGAATGAACTCATGACAAACTCAGTCTCGACTCTCTCGCGTCCTCAGTGCACACTTACACTAGTAACCAAATTTAAACGATCATGACATGTTATCACAGCATATTTTCGCAGAAATTGCGTCACTCTTTCCCGGCTGCCACAAGAATCAGATACACCAGAGATACTTAGGTGGATAACATAATCCCATACCACAACTTGAAGAATGGTTCTCCCGACTACGACCAAACATTACTTCTGGCCCAAAGTTCGTCTCAATCACATCATATCCGTACAGTGACATATCTCAGGCTGATCGTCGATCGATTACTAGTTCGGCGCCCTTGCAAACATCTCTTCAAAGGAATCTAAGTTACCACCTCTCAAATCTCACGAGGTCCTCGTCAAAATCCATGCTGTTTCATTGCAGGTAAGTAAACCTTTATTTTATTCGCGAACCGTCAAAATCGTGCTCATTCACTGAAAGTACCGCGATCTCATCGTCGGCTTGAACAAATACCACGGGGAGTAAGTACAACTTTCAGATCTCAGGATCATGCCACACTTATTGTGTTGTTGTCCTATAGCTTCCCAGAAGAACTCGTTCCATGCTCTGATATGGCTGGAGAAGTCATCGCAATCGGAGACGAAGCAGGAAGCCAATGGAAAATAGGCGATCGTGTTTGTGCCAACTTCGCTGCCGATCATATTGCTGGAGATACCTCGCCTGAGATTCAGAGAACCGCTCATGGAGGAGCTGCTCACGGTGTATTGACGCAATACAAAGCGTTCCGTCCATATGTACGTTTATCTACGTTTTCTATTTTCACTAAATATATGACTGTTCAATGCGTAGTCTCTTGTTCAAATCCCTGATCATCTTTCGTTTGAAGAGGCATCTACTTTGCCGTGGGTGTACTCCCTTCGAGCTAACTTGCATATTCCACTCACCGTATATTATAGCTGTGCTGCCTTGACCGCATACAACGCACTCATGGGTCCTGTCCCTGTTAAGAGTGGCGACACCGTTCTCATCCTTGGCACTGGCGGCGTTTCTATGTATGTGGTTCGATGTTCCATATGCTGAACTAGAGTCTTAGTTTGACTTCTTCTCTCCTAGTCACGGTCTCCAACTCGCGCTCGCTTCAGGGGCCCAAGTCATAGCTACCTCTTCATCTGACGAGAAACTGAAAATTGCTACCAAGCTTGGTGCTCACCACGTTATCAACTATAAAACCACGCCTAATTGGCACGAGGAAGTTCTTAAGCTTACCGGTGGAAGAGGTGTTGATCATATTCTCGAGGTGTGTCTCGAGTTTTAGTCCCGAAGTTATTTACTGCACGATACAAAAAAAAACGCTAGGTCGGGGGCTCTGACTCGCTTGACAAATCCTTAAAAGCTGTTCGTATTGCTGGGTGGATCCATACCATTGGTTTTGTCGGTGGGGTGCGTAATACGCAACATCCAATCACTACTTCAAGTTTTCCTCATTTTTCTCAACGTAACTGTACAGGGTACCCCTACTGAGGTTGTATTTCCCACTATCCGAAAAGCTTGCTTCATTCGCGGTATCCAAATTGGATCTGTTGCTCAGTACGTCTCGTACTATCTTCTTTGTTGCTTACTTTACAACTCACTCATCGTTATCTTCTTGCATAGATTCAAAGACATGAACCGCCTGCTCTCTCTTCACCCTGAAGTGACTCGACCAGTTATCGATAAGGTGTTCCCTTTTGAGGAAGCACTGAAAGCTTACGAGTACTTGGAATCTCAAGCCCATGTAGGAAAGGTTGTTATCAAGGTGGCGTGAAAGTGCTACGAGATGTAACTTATAAGATGAGATAGGTACAACATAAGTGAAATGTGATTATATCGTAAATGATTATGCTTAGGAAGTAGATTTGAAGATTAGGTATCAAGGGGGCAAAATTTGTTCGAAATTGTATGCTACTTGTCCTTGACCACTAATGCAAGATGATCTGTCCCACAGAGAATGGTGTGCACCCTTCTCGACAGGGCCAGTCCAAGTTTATCATGACCCCTCCCTTCAATGGTCTTTTGACCATCTATGCGGTAATTGACCTGGGTTGAGGTTAGCATAAAAGATGAAATAACTCCTAGAAACTCTGCACATACTTTAGATTCGGTCAATAAGCGTTCCCCATCTAAGGGATTCTTCTCGTACGCCATCAAAAGACTCCGCATGGTCGGATATTGCTCAACAATCCCCTCTGCACCACTATCCGTAACTCGATGAATTTGACTGAGCATCTTGGTCCAAGTGTCTTTGGGATCCTTCCCAACCTTAACCTTCGTATCGGGACAGAATGGAAGATAGGATCGAGAAATTAACCTGGGGCGGGAACTGTCGGTTACTACAAACATCTAGAACAAATTTGACTCACTTGTCTTCTCTGATACCTGGTAGTAAGATCAATAATGAGTAAGAGACTGAATGCTCACATATGAATCATAGAGGCTCACCGAGATCACCAGAGTAATTATACAAACGATCAACTGCTTCTTGCTCATTTTCAACACATGCGAGGTAAACATCTTCCTGGAACTGCAAGCTCGTCAACGCACCTTCGAGCTTCTTCCACTCTGCAGCATTTCTCGTACGCAATTTCCCCATCCCGGAGATCATGATATACATGTGGTCCTTGCGTCCAAGCCCGTGAGCTTGACGGAAATCTTGAACAAGGTCTACAAGGCCGTTCTTCTGCACCAGGTTGCTAAGCTGAACAATGCTAAGACGCATTAGAGCGAATTTTTCGAATTTCTGGTATGAGGGTTTCACAGCTTTGAATGCACGAACGGAAGTATCGTATTCCTTGAAGACAAGTCGCTGCCAGCGAACAGTGTCGTATCCGGGCAGTAGATCGGGACCGTCATCGCGTATACCGGCTTTATGGCCATCGAGTTTAGCGTGAAGAAGTCGCGCAAAATCTGGGTATGATTTTCGGAAGGATTTGGAAAGGATTAACGTCATATACTGAAGCGCTTCCTTCTTGTTGAGAAGAAGCTGATTAACTGTTCTGTGGAGGGCCTTATCCTCCTTGTCCCTTTGCTTTTGAGCTTTATCAAGTTCCTTTTGCGCCTTCTGAGCTCTTTTCTGAGCAGATTTCTCATCATCCTTAAGCTGTTTCTGTCTCGCCCTCTCAGCTTTCTTCTTGTCTCTTTCATAGTCCTTCAATTCCTACGAGCGATATCAAGCTTGAAAATAAGCCTCATGGGTCAGGTAAAAGAATCCCCATACCTTCTCACGCGCTTTTTCTTCTACAGTTTTACCTCGTCGTTTCGTCTGCTGTTTAACGACATCCAATGTATTCACACGCGTTTTCTTGGGAGGAGAGGATGCCTCATCGGAATCAGCGCAAGTAGAAGTTTGACGGTAACTTCGTTTGGAAGAGTAAACAGTACGCGAGGATGGGTAAGACCGTGTTCGAGGAAGAATGTCATTCAAAAGTTCATTGGCGTTGGGCAAGTCAGAATCTGACCCAGAATCGAGTTGCAAGTCATATCCTGAGAAAGCTCTCGCCTTACCCTTGTCCACGGAGCCACGCGGCAAGGCCTTCTGAGGGGATGAGATAGACATATCGTCGTCGTCGTCTGACAAGTTGAGTAGTTGTGCACTGGGCAAGGAAGTGAGTGGCGCCGTAGGAGGTTCATCGTCGGAAATTTCAAAGACTTGAGATCGCTGTGAGGAAGGAAGAAAAGTAGCTTGGGAGCACTCAATTTCGGTTTCGGAATCTGAGAGTTCGATGGTATCGCAGTGAATGGTCAGCATCTCGAAGGCTGGTTGTACATAGACACGAACAGCAACAGCGTGACAGTGACTGATCGTGTAACTAAAACTTTGTGTAAGTTAAACGGTACCTCTCGCAAACCACGACCCCCAACTATACCATCCTCTACAGACCTTCCACACATCATCCAGAACCGGAGAATGGAGCTGGGCGATAAGCCAGGCTCACCACCACTAGCTGGTCGCCGCAGCTCCCCGCGCCTTAGTACTTAGCCTTACTTACTTGCGGTTAATGAAGAATTCAAAAAAAAAAAAAAAAAAACCTCTCGCAAACCATTTAATCAAAAAGTCTTGTATTGTGAGCTCCTCGAACTCCGACCTTTACACTTTCATATTTCACTTAATCTCGTAGCTAAATATCGTGTTACGATACACCGAAAGAGATCTCTGTTCCTGAGGAGCCAATTCCTCCTCTGCTTTCGACACAAGCAGTCTCAACCGCCCAGCAGATTTGTCTTGACGAAGAAGCTGACTTGGAAGTATACAACGAAGAAACCTTCCATTCGCAATCCAAGTTATCGCTTGCCCAGTAGCGGCGAACCCGAATAGTTGATTATATGAATCATTGGCGGTGCTCAACTGCTTTGATATGGAAGATTCCTGACGAGATTCTCGGCCTCATATTTGACTATCTTTGTGATGTCGGGCCTCGGGTATACAGAATGTCTCGGGTGCCGATATCGTTGCGGTTGAGCGCGGTTTGCTCACACTGGCGATTTATCATGCTTTCGACTCCATGGTATTGGACCAAGATTTCCGTGAGATGCACTTCGACTTGGGGTATTCGACCCGAATTTCATTTGCTTCAACTATTCCTTGAACGGTCCAAAGAAAACCTATTGGACTTGAAAGTTTCATTCCCTATCAGTGGATATCATACGCAGGAACTCATTCTGCAGCTTTTCAAAACTCAGGCAGCACAGGCTCACCGATGGAACTCACTCGAAATTTTTGCAACGCAATCCAAGCACCTGTGTCTCCTGCGTCATCCATACATCTCGTCATGTCCCGAACTCACGAGTCAGACCTTGAGAGGGATCTTGGACTCTCAGGAGGAACCTCCCATGAACTTTGTACCAATGCCCAAGCTGAAATCCTTCATTCCTAGGGTGTTCAATCGCCCACTCCGTCCAGATTCAAGCTTCCCATGGCACCAACTCACAAAGTTGAGTCTTGACTGTTGGTCTCTCAGTGATCTTAGCTTTGTGGGACTTTGCAAAAATTTGCTTCATTTACGTATTTCAGTCGATTACGACAGTGAAATGACGCTTCCCCGTGTCCCAAAAGCCCCGGTGCCATCAGCACTTGAACAATTACGAACGTTGACCTTGGTCTTGTCACCATCTGAACCAAAGACTCGGTTTGTGGAAATCGTCTTAGACTTGGTTGCAATGCCAGCCTTAGCTCATTTAGAGGTTGAAGGTGATACATCTGAACAAGCTGATCATGGTGCTGCTGATTGGCCTTCTGGGATAATGGGTGCCCTTGATTGAAAGAGATTTATTCCCCCTGACGACACTTGCTATTCACAACATCAGCATTTCTGAAAACGACCTCACTACCTTTCTTCGAAAAGCCCCATCCCTTATGACCCTCAGTATACAGGAGGCTCAGTTTGAAGGGTCATTCGAAAAACAGATCTCCAGCCCTATATCCATCAACTTTATGCGATCTCTTTGGGCCGTCTCCGGCGAAGAACACTCGTCTACGGAGGCACAGCTGCTGCTTCCGAATCTCACTACTCTCTATCTCACCATATATAAAGAGTTCAGCGATGAAGCTTTTACAGATATGATTCATTCTAGATGGGGTGATGAAGACCACTCATTGACGCAGGAATCTTCCATCTCTCGCCTGCAGGAAGTCGTCGTTCATTTAGGTGATCAAGATATCTCTCTGTCTAAAAGAGATTCAGATTCAACGAAGCTCAAAGCTTTGAGTACCTTACAGCGTCAGGGTTTGTTTATCGAGGTCGTTGATTCCGGAGACTATGTGTATCTGGATTGATTACCTTAGTAGTGCTGACTGGCGCTCACACCATGACCTCACGCTACCAATCTACTAATGTTCATTGTGCGCGTCCAGCCCAACAGTACCAAGCACCGACCAAGTATGAGATGCTCCGAGTCTTTTTTTCTCATAGTGGAATATAAGACTTTCGAGCTTGATTTAGAATCTGGTAAAAGTATGATCTCGTATTCAACTCGCGGTACGAAGAAAAGAGTTCACTAATTGATTGTCTGTCCTGGCACTTGCTGCTAGAAGTCTACCATATTCCCTATCCCTTCGACCTTCCAGTCAGAAATTCGAATTAATGAGCATATAGTATTATAGGATCGATTCAAAGTCTCTGCAGAGAACAGAAGCTTTTAGTGTGAGGTACTCCAGTAGTAGGAATACACTAAGGTCAAGATATAAGTACGCTGAAGGACCGAAAGATCTCATGGGGTCTTTCGCCCTTACATCAACATATATGAAGATGGATCAGATAATAATAGATGTAGTTACGAAAGGATTAAGGGAGATGCTATGTCAAGATACAAATGCCAATAAAAAATACACCGAGAACTCATTAGGAGCCACCTCGATGCAGATACTTATACAGATACAAATTACCCAATTAGATATTCTCGTGAACGCTTTGTAGAGTTTGATTCCACTCAATCACTTTATGATGAGCGATGACTTTTTTGGGATTGAATCCAATAACTTGCAGACCCTCGATGGACGAGGCTCGGGAGAGAGCCACGTAACTTTGACCTAACACGAGAGTCAATTCGCTGGACAGCGATGGGGATGAATTGTGGTTACCTTTCTCGAAGACACGCCCGAGATCGACTTTAACACGATGAATTGTCTGTCCTTGACTTTTATGAATAGACATTGCCCAAGCGAGAATCAAAGGTCTAAGAGATAATTGTCAGTCTACGGATGAAAAACGAACAAAGGTCAGAACGGCCTACACTTGGACCCGCCGAGCGAGTAATTTTCCCTCCGCATCTTCAACCCGGAATTCGTCACGTTTGATCAATACGGCTTCTGACCCGTACCCGCCGTCCTGGAGGGGGTACTCAAACAGAACCAAAGGATACTTTTCTGACGAGTCGTCGACCTCTTTCTCCGTTTGCTTTTTCTTCGGTTTCACCTCTGCCTTAGTGCCAGAAGTATTCTCCTTGTTATTCCAACGAGACACCCTGACCGGCGTCCGACCATCTTCCGATAGTTGGACGTATCGTAACAGTGCGCCATTCTTTTTGGTCTCCGTTGCAGACTTTGTATTAAACGGAATTTTATTGGAAGGCACCGATGAAGATGACATTTTGCTACTCGTACTTGCTGAAGGCGTATTCGCGCTACCAGATTTCAAACCAGAATTAGAAGGTGCAGGTAAGGTGCCACCGGTGAGTTCGCTGGGGTGATAAAATCCTAGAACTTTACCGACGACGCCGTTCACTAAGACATCATCGACGTTCTTGATCAACATGACTTGTGCATCTGTCTTGAGCTCTAGGCGTTCTTCGGCAAGTAGATGTTCGAGGAGTTTCGGCTTCGTACCACTATCCCGGGCGACGTAAGGTACTTTAGGAGAGGGAAGTGCGTTCAAACGGGAAGCGTTAGATTGCGCTACTTGAGCGCGCAGTGGGTAGAGTTCGGTAGGGAGGATGGGGCTCGCTGGTAGCGGACGTGAAAGAGAGTTGAATAGTTTGACTGCCTCATCAGATGGGGCTCCGAGGCGAAGAGCGTTGAGAGCAGATATGAAGACTCAAAGAACTTGGTTCTCAAACACAACACAATGATATCATTGCAAGACGACTCACTGGAATCTTTCTGTCTGAAGACATCATTCAAGTTCACCGTGCTCTCTAATGTGTGCCGCCACGCTGGGGACTCAAATGCAAATATTGGTTCCTGATTATTCTTAGTCACCGGAGGAAGTTGGAAGAAATCTCCAGTAACAATGATCTGAAAGGTAATGCAAATAATGAGAGCAGGGGTAGAAAGGAACTCAGTATCATACCTGGATACCACCAAAGGGTTTTGGTGTCGGTTTTCTAAGGGTCACCGCAATGTCGTGAAGTTGTTGAAATAGGTGACCATCGACCATCGAGACTGTTCGCAAGTTAATATTGGATAATTCTACAGCCTAAACAAAGTCAACCTTCGTCAATGATCAAAACTTTGGTCTTCTTCCATCTTTGAAGAGCAGGCCGACAAGTCTTGATACATTTAATTAAGAGATTCATATCGCTACAGTTGGGTGTTACTGCCCCCCAAGAGTGAATCGTCATTCCTAAAAAACACGTCAATTGGGAAGACGATAATTAGAAGGAGATGAACAGACCTCCCACGTTTGAAGCGGCCATTCCAGTGCTCGCAGTGATTGATATCGCGTCTTTCGTTTTGGAGTATTTGTTACGCAATCCTCTAATGATAGCTCGAAGTAGTAGTGATTTACCAGTACCTGTTGTCATTGTCAACTAACGAAACTAAAGAGAAATCGACTACGGACCTGCTGCACCGGTGAAGAATACATTCTTTCCTCCATCTATGACCATCCTTAAGACTCTTGTCTGTTCCGGGCTCAGCGATACATGGGACGGTTCAGTTGGGTCGTCAGAGCTTTTCTTCGGTAGAGGAACTTGGGGTGAAAAAAAAGATTCGAGGGTGCGGTTGGGTTTCTTGGTGACAGGGACGGATTCAAAGGTCTGGGCAGCCTTTCGTTTCAAAGAGGACATCGCGGAAGAGGAGATTACGAGAAAGAGGAAAAGACCGACGGAAAGGGTCTCGGTACCGATGTGGTGGAACGCAATGAAGGGATGACGGATGAGTTGGAACGCGCTTCAAGGCTCAAGCTAATTGTCATCACGTGGGCGGGGAATGGGCCATGGTCTCGCCGGTCTCACTGTGGGGATGAGCCAATGTCTTCGCGGTGAAAATGTAGAGAAAATGCAAGGATTTTTACCAAAATTCATCAAAAATCCTGGGCACGAATTTTAAAACTTTTCGTGTGGCGATTATTGTGAAGCTATCGTGAATTTGGCGGGGGGCCGTGCTTATTTTAAATTATCTTTTCATAATTTTACCATAACCTCAGCTCAATTCCTTCAAAATATCTGCTGCCATATTTTTGTACATAACCTCGAGATAAAACCCACATTTTCGCCTCGAGGAAATCGGCTCATCCCTGCAGTGTCTGAAGACTTGTCATTTCTCTCATCGTATCATGAATGAGTCCTAGTATGACTTTCCAATTTCATAAGCTCAGCTGGGATATGATAACCCAGATGCTGAACACAAAGGCCAATTTCGTACAAGTTCTAGGTCTAGATCATCCTCCCTATCGTCCGATTCCAGGTGTGCTGCAATAATCAACAGTTCAATCAGGGTAGGCTAACTTCTGCCTGCTTTTCTCAAAGCTTTTTATGAGTGAAGAACTGGAGGGAGTATCCAAATTGATTCGATTTAATTGCGACTGACTAGCTAAGGAGAACGCGTCAAAACTTAAGGCGCATGGCCAGCGCTTAGCGTCGCGTCTGCACGTGATGCGCGTTTGGTTTTGAAACTCCGACGTTGCTTGTTGATTCCAGACTTGAACGTCGCCGAAATCTACCCCTGCCGAAATACTGTGCGTTGCGCGCAAAGGCGTGTATCATCGGACAATACTGGGATGAACGTCATGACCGGACGTCCACCAACTGCTAGCCAGCGGTCACAGTCCAAACTTGTCGCGTCAGGCAGCAAGCGGAAACGTAAGTGACCAGAAATTTGTTGGGTTTTGATTGCTTGACTATTCTTCACTCTTTTGATTGCCTTTTCCAGTTCTCAATGGAGAAGAAATTCCTGGAGGTCTGGTCATCGTCCGGCCACCATCTTCCCAAGGAACACGGCTATCTACTCGCCCCCCATCGCAACCCCCGCCAGATCGCCCCCCCTCATCCAATGGACATCGCCAGAAAGATTTGGATGCTTCTATACCCCCGCCTGCCAAAAAGTTTCGTGCTGATTCCCAACCTTCAACTACTTCCAAAGCCGGTCCTTCCTCCTTGAAACCTCCGGTTGGACCCTCGTCTTCCAAACATATTAGTCGAACACCAGAGATTGAAGCGGATGTACGCGCTATGGAAGATGAGGCAGACGAGCTACGTCGCAAAGCGAGAGCGAGAGCTTTGGATCCTGCTCTCAGGCAGGAATACCATCCGCCGCCTCGTCCACCGGACCAGAAGCCAACTAGCAATGGCCATAGTCGTAAATCACGGATAATAGACACGACGCAGGCCTTGCCTTCAGCTCATTCAGAAAGTCCCATGATCACTAAAAACAAACGATTAAGAGAGGGTGCGATGATGGCAATTAGGTCTGCATCACAGGAGCCAGAGTCAGGAGAATCAAGCCAGCGCGGCCGTGAGGCCACTGTAAACAATTCTGGAGGAGGCCGACGGAGTCATAGACGAAACAGCTCGGTCAATGGGAGAGGGAAGCGGATAAGTGAATCCTTCGAAGCCACTGGCAAACTCTGTACGTCGCTGTATCTCGTAACTGTATATGAGATGCATATCTCACGCGTACATGTTCAGCACATCCGCACAGTTCAATATCAGAATCTAGCTTTTTTAAGCATATCGATACCGAGATATCAGATACTGAACGTCTTCTCCTGCTGTTAACTTGGTGTACTTCCCGCTCAGCGCAATCTTACGCCTCGACCTCAAATCCCGCCAGCACAACCCTCCCTCCACTCTCTGAGCAGGAAGTAGTCATCCTCAGCAATGTTCAACAAGACCTCTTGCGGCAGTTGGCTGATAGGAAGATCGACATTGGTCCAAATCCTCAATCCCAATCTTCAGGCGCTATTCAGCATACTCGGGCGAACAATCAGAACGTATCGAATCAGAAATACGAGAAGAATTTCAATCAAGAAATCCGACAGTAAGCGTAGTGTCATCATCCATATCTTCACGCTAATCTACTTCATAGAATGGAGCAGGAGCAAGAATCGTGGAAAAAGGCCAACTACCATTACGAGGAGCTATTCAAGAAGGAACAAGGGAAAATTGAGAAACGCAAATCCGACATATCCCACCGTCAGTCCTTATCGGAAAAAGCTAAAGGCAAACGGAAGGCTTTCGATGATCTACCCGAAGATTGGAGCTGGCTTCCCTCCGAACACCTTCCGGAGTCGCAGCACGCTGGATTTTCCCTGGCAAAAGCCGTATTGGGCTTAAGCACAGATCCTTCAGGTTCAATACAACGGACAAATACTGGTATTCGAATAGGTAGAGAGGATGTGGAAGCAGCGTTAAAGCAAGAGATATCCGATCTTCCTTTCCACATGGATACCCTTCTTACCCATGTCAATGCTGCTCGACTGACAACGAACGTGGCAGAGTCAGTGCTGGACGAACGGTTTAGCCTCCTTTCTCGGGCACTGGCTGCACGTTCAGGGGATATATCGGATTTCGCACAGGCAGGAACAGCATCCACAACGACTCAGATTCTTAATCATTACGTTCCTCCAGCGCCTGCTGCCCCACTCCGCCCGCTCAGCAACGCGCAAAGTATATTTCGTGCGTTGGCCCGGGTGGACAGTGCACGCCCTCGAGGGCAAATTGGGGATGCAGCTCGGAGGGCGGCAAGGGAGGTTCATCGGATGGAAGAGAGTGGTATTGCCCGCAGCAGTGAAAGGAGGTTGACAGAGGTGCCGCCGACTCCTAGGAAGATTCCTATGACACCTCGGAGGGGGAACACACCAGGGAGAGGGAATACACCAGGCCGGTAGAACTTGGTCTCGGTATATTTTGACCTCACTGATTCGTAATCTACATTATCCTTATTTCCCCTTCTATTCCCAATGCTTGGATTTGATACTTGATACCTACTACTGTATCTACTATAACCGTACTGAGTTTTTTTTTTGGCGTCCGGTTCACCCGATCTTACTGCTTTCCCAGTTAGTTTCCTGTCGTATCTTCCGTTTTGTATATCCATCACCCTGTTGTGTAGTATATCTGGGGATTGCACATCAAACTATGTAGTCTATAACCGACTTATGAACATGCAAGCAAATACTGGTTGATGGGTCTTCATGCAAAACCAGGAAGCAATAATAATACAAGTCGTCACTACGAAAATCAGTCATACGCTGGGCCACGTCGTCGTGGAGGACTCCTGGAACGCGAACGAGGACTACGCCTGCCACCTCTCCCGCCACGGTCTCCCCAACCGCGTCCTCCTGCTCTTCTAGGTGACCTTGGAGGAGGAATCCGATCATCTCTGTCATCTCCACGAGCTCCTCCTCTACCTCCTCCTCTTCCTCTACCATTTGAGTCACCTCGCCAATGGCCACCACCTCTACCAAGCAGAGGCCCTCCGATGGAAGGAGCAGGAGGTTTACCCCAGCCTCCATCGCCTCCGGTTTTCCATCCAGGTCCGTTTTGAGCAGACGCGTTTGCAGAGCCTTTGATTGAAAGATCGCTACCCATTGTGACATTTTTGGGCAGCAGCACCGCGAGAAGAAGGAAATCCCCTGGCACAAATCGAAGCTCATCAAGCGTACGTTCTTCCTTTTCACGGTGTGTTTGCTCTCGGTTTTCGTTATCGGCTTCTTCAAGAAGACGAGGCGCTATTGAGGTGAGGGTGCCTGGCTCACCTAGGATGTCTCGAGAATACACCAAACCGAGTTCCTTTTGTGAAAATCTCCCTTTGTTGCCAGAATCAGCGTAGACTGTACGAAAGGCGAACCGAGCCAGAGGATGGCGGTATTCGGGAACATGGGGTGCAGTTTCTCGAAGAGTTGTTAACACCTCGCTTAGTGTAGCGTCTTTCCTGTGAGTGTGTGAGTCTTGAGCCTATGTGTATAGCATGCATAGCGCATTATTCACGCACCAAGTAAAAATCTGCTGCTCGTCCGTTGTTGGAAGTGTCGCATCTTCGAATAATGAAAGACGATGGAAACTTCCAATTTTCACGAATGTTCGAATAAGAAATGGTGCTGTCTGTGGGTCCTTGAGCAAAGCTGAAAAAAGTTGTATTTTATACGCGCACCTTGTCCCTGACTACGGCAGACTGGCCTGTTGGAGAAGCATTGTCAACCTCCATTTTCTTGGTTTTGGTCGGAAGAGCCGAACAGTTATTACCGGCTTCCAGTGCTGACAGTAACGTGACTTCATCTCACTAAGTGGTGACTCATGCCAATTTCCTTTGTAACTTGCGCATCCATCTTAATCGCCCCGTCCTACACTTCTAATCGTTGTCCAGAATGTTAATCAAAGTGAGGGTCAGTAATAACTTACTACTAATTCATATCGGCCTCATCAGCCTGACTTTGTTGTTCGGCTTGCTTACAGACACTTACCGGGAAGGAGGTATGGATTCGATCTTTGACACAACAAGCACTCTTTGGATCCTGATCAAAATTCAGCTCGAGATTGATGTTGACTCCGATGCAAAGGTGTGTATAATAGTCGCTCAAAGGTCGTGTTCAACTTATGAAGTGGCTGCGTTAGATTTTCACAATCAAAGAAAAGGTCGAGGAGCAACAGGGCATTCCGCCGGTCCAGCAGCGGCTCATTTTTGGTGGAAAGCAATTGTACGTAACCTGCATCTTTGACTCTTTTTCAGATCCCGATTATGTCTTTGGTCTTACAGAGACGATGATAAGCATATAACGGAAACGAATATTGTAGCAGGATCTACTCTGCATCTAGTACTTGCTCTTCGTGGCGGACGATGAAATGTAGACGAGATATTGCCAAGGAATGCCACACCACAGAATCATGTAGATCAAGAAGTGTATCTCTCAGCTTTCCTCCATGTTGTCAATGCTATCGATCTAAACAGTCAATTTCGCTGCATACTGGCTATCAATAAGTTCATACAATGGCTAAAATCACAGGATCCTGGCAATGTCAAACCCGACCTTGCTCCGTTCCCCTACTGGCCAGCCATGTTTCCGGTCCCTGGTCAGAATCATTCGTCAGTTTCTGTAATGCAGGTACGTGCAAAATCTTACCGCCCTATTCTTCACCCTCTGGTTCTTGATCCTCCTGTTGAACCAATCGACGGCTGTTACACCAGGACTGAGAACGTTTCTTTGTTGCTCTGTCAGTTTGCTGACAGCTTCAGCTATAGCAGGGCTGTGGTCTGACAAAGGCCGAAGTACGACGGAGTTCCCGGGGCGGGTGAAGAACACCTGAGACCAGCGCTCAAAACCTACTTGGGCTCCGGGAGGCGGACTAGATATTCAGAGTGAGTCCCTCGCAAAAAAAGACATCCGGGTTCGATGAATGTTAACGCACTAAACTCGATGAATGTTTGAATGAAGTATTCCACCACTCAACAAGGCCAAAGCGTCACCAACGTTACAAATAGCATGACCGGGCAATGGCTACTATAAAATCAATATTGATGTACTGTCAAGCATGCACAACGTTCCCCCACCTTAACGTATTGCCACTCATCCACACCAGGGGGTAGAACTTGCAATCCTCCAAGCCGGTTATGCAAAAAGCTCAAACTCCCAAAATCGGTATGAGCTCCGAGCGCCTGTCTTCCAATAGGCAGATTTTTCGGTGCTTTGATTGTCCTTGCCTCACTCGCACTATATTCCTCCGTCGAATGGAGTTTGTTCAATGTACCTTCGGGTAACCCGAGCTTGGTGTTAAAGACGTTTAAGATCATATCATTAATCTCTACCGATTTCTTGACGAAAGGAACGATGGTGGAGTCCATGCGGTTGTTGACGGTGGATGGATAGGATCGTCGAGCTTGTTTGGGCCAGGATAGCGCGTCGTCTTTTGCGATGTTGATGAATTCGATCTTATCGGGTTCACCGGAGGCGTCCACGGCGTTAGCGCCCGCGTACTTGTACCTGGGATCCAGTTGTTATTGGACAAGCAGAAACATGTGTGTAATACGATATCTGCCTACCCGAATGAAGACCCTCCGTCTCCTTGCTCATATTTCATCTTTTCTTCCATTGGCAGGTCCATCGTTTCCGCTCCCATGTCGAACATGTCCTCAACAAATTCTTCAGCTCCGTGATTCTTCAAACTGGGCAGCAAGGCAGTGAGCTCTTGACTAGTTTCATTTGGATGGAGGCAAATCAACTTACTACCAAAATCCCAAAGTTGTCGCAGCCTTCCATAGCACGTCTTTCTCCTTCTCATCGCCGTTCTTGACCAATTCATAGTCGATGACCAAGAGCGGATGGGTCGGGATATTGGTTGGGAATTCAGGATAGGCTGTTACGGGCATATTCAAATTGGAAAGAGAGAGAGGGAGGCTGGTGTTAAGATTTACTATGACGCTGGTTTTATTTCGCATCCACAGATCCACTAAACTTGAAGGTCATGCGAGTGAACCGTTTCCTACGGCACCGGCTTTGGGGTTGAACTTCACTCCGCCGGTCACACAAGCTCGTATACTTAGTGCATGCTAATTTTTAACGGGAAAATATCAGGCGACAATATCGAGTGAACTGGAATACTAAACTTGTCATCCAGTGAAAGGAGGGAAAGTCCGAAATGTGAGATCAGACTGATAAACATAGAGTACATGGATGATGGGAGATCATGGGATGCCCAAGTAGCGGGAGAGTAATACCTATACAAGCATTAGTGCAACAGTTAACAATGATATCTGTCCGAGTTATTCATTGCGTGTAACGTGAATAAGTAGGAGATTTGTAACGAGGAAAGTCCACTATATGATACAGGAGGGATATAATACTGGAAATTATATATATGCATACCTTCATCCACTATTACCGCACATCTATATCTCTATATCTAGCCAATTCCTAACCAGTTTTGCTACAATTTAACCTTGGATTTGGAAGGAAGCATCTTGATGTGAGTGCCGGAGGCTATGATACGTTTATGACTGTCATTCCAGATCTATGATGAAAAACGTGTGAGAGGAGAAATGTCTTGTATTCGGACCCCACCTCTGTTCTGCCAGTAGCAGATCTTCCGCCTGAGCTAACACTCATGTTTACTATCCGGATCGTTTCACCACTGCAATCAAAACAAAGCGCGGAAGTTCAGAACACCGTGCCACGGTTCAGCCACATTGTTCAGAATATGCTCACAGTGCCGCAGGCGAGTGAAAGACGATGTTGAGTGCTTGTGAGACACTGAGAGTGTAGTCGTTATTTTGATGTACATCCAATGCTACTAATGCAAGTGAGGAACAACTATTGGAAAACTAATCAGCGAGATAGATCCAAATTCGAGCTTGGATGCAACATACAAGTCGACAAAGTACGCAATACAACCACCGTGAACGGTGTTGGCTAGATTGAGCATATCTATATAGAGAAATGTCAACGAGTGCGGAAAGACGTTCAGAATACACAGACGAGCCTTCATTTACTACGAGCTGTATAACAACCTTGCCTTCCAAGCGCGCAGGCTCCTCTGCCATTGATCCAATACTAACGTCCGCCAAAATCATACTGTCCATTATGGTCGAAGCAAACAATTTTTGCGGGGGACGTCGAGATGGAATATGAACCAAGTCGTCCAAAACCTTTTTTATATAGTTTGAGGCACTTCCACCGACGACATTATGAGTGTATGGACTGGTGAATGTCGTATGGGAATCGGAGGTAGAGGACATGATGGAGCAATTAGTGCTGTGAGCCACGTAAATCTGGGCTGGCAGGGGAGAGAATTAAGATACAAGGCCTTCGGGAGGCCTCAATTGACTATTCGGCAAATTCATTACCGGACGTTTGTTCAAAAACAAATGTAAAACTTCTTTGGGAAAAGAGTATTCTATAGGCGACTTGAGCATAATGATGAAGAAGTTACGAAGGTCAAGGACTCCGAGGAGGGCAGAAGGCAAGTTTTACGGGACTTCCGATCCGGGCCTGAGCACCTTGCTTCGTTTTCCTACGCACCATCATGGCTGATTCAGAAGATTCAAATGGCCCCTCAAGTACAATTCGACCCAGAAAAAGACGCGCTCTACGAGCCTGTACATCGTGTAAGAAGAGGAAAGGTACTTCTCCCAGCCTTTTTGTAGTTGAATCTCTATTCATCAACTTCTAGTGAAATGTGAGCTCTGATATGCCTCTCACACTCAATTCTAAAGGCGAATCAAGTACAGGCGATGGTGCTACCATGCCAAATAATATATGCACTTCATGTATCAGTCTCGATGTAGAATGTGAGTATTCTCCGGAGCAGAAGGTACTCTAATTTCATCGAAACTTTTCATGCCAATCTTAAGTCAATTTTGCAGAGAAGAGGCCCAAAATCCAAGTACAGTTCCATCCAGAAACTGACACGCAACCTCTTCTAAAGCTTGTTGTCACAGATTGGCCCAGCCGCAGCTTCGAAACGATGTTCAAGCCCTCATCTCCACAATTCTCTCTGCTCAACGACTCGTTGTGATACCTTCTGATGAGACACTTGTCCGGGACATGCTTGTCGACCTAGCAACCTATGCACGAAGCTTGGAGCAGCAATTAGAGCGAGCCCAGATGCAACTAGAACAAGCTCAATCTCCCTCTTCTTATGCTATGCCATCTACCTTCAGATCAAGCCCTGCCAACTTTAACAGTCACAATGAAGACAACCCACAGGATTTGTTTTCACTTCGAGTAAAGAAAGTTAGCTTGGACCAGGGTGACCAGTCGTACCAGAGGCATGTTGGGTCCTCTAGCCATTTCATGTTTATGCGGACTGCTTTGGAGATACGAGACAAAATGAGTAGCGAAAAAGAGAGTCTCGGCTTTTTAGGAAAGAGAAGGAATGACTTGTGGGACGAGTTTTGGATTCGACAACCTGTACGCCGTCTATCCTCATTCGGGTTCTTCATATCTTTCGGACTCAATAACATATATACAGTGGCACCACTTTCCACCCGAGCCTGTAGACCCTCCACATATCTTTCCTCCAGACGATCTTCTCCGAAGCCTCATTGGTATATATTTTGATCTGCAGCACAATATCTACCCTCTTCTTCATCGGCCAATCTTCGAAAGAGAGGTGTTCACGAATAAACTTCATACAAGTGACCGACGTTTCGGAGCCGTTGTCCTTGCCGTATGTGCTGTAGGAGCCCGGTTGTCGAATGATCCACGAAATGATGAAACCCTTTATGATGGGACGGACGACGAACGGTCATTGGGATGGAAATACTTCAGTCAGATTCGCATGGTGAGAACAAACTTTACAGAACATCCGTCACTGTATGAAGTTCAACTCTACGCGGTTCGTATCCCTCCGTTGTATTGAATATACTTTTATCTCATTTCTATCTCTTTAAAGTTGGCTCTCCTTTTCATGTTCCCTACTCCTGTTGGTGATGCGGGATGGTCAACATGCGGGTTAGCAGTACGCTTCGCACTAGAAGTTGGAGCGCATCGCAAGCAATATATAGCGAATAAACCAAAGCAAGATCGGATAGAGGCGGAGCTTTGGAGGCGGGCATTCTGGAATATTGTGACAACCGACCTGGTAATGAGCATTGCGTTGGGAAGACCAAGATCGGTCAAGGAAGATGAGTAAGTCCTCAATGAAAATCTCTACTCTTTAGTTGTATTCTCACGAAATGTGATTGTCAAGTTTCGACGTTGAACTTCCTCTTGAATGCGATGATGAATTCTGGGAACACCCTACGGACCCATTTGTACAACCCAAGGGGCAAATATCTCAGATGTCTTTTTGGTATCAAAATGTCAAGCTTCTGCGTATCGTTGGGCTTGTCAAAGACAACCTAGTCAGTCTCGAATTAACGCTATATTATGACCGTCCACTGATGATTTTCAACGCTCCAGTATTCCACACGGAAATCAGCGCCATGGTTGGATTCATCGGCCGCAAGCAATGCCGACATCGTCATAGAAATTGACTCTGCGTTGAACAACTGGCTCGATGCTCTTCCAGACCACTGTGAGCTTCGCCTGACTTTCTCTCATACAGCATCATCTGACATCTTCATCACTGGTCCTTACAAGTGAAGTGGAATCCACACCATCCAGATGACAACGCTTTCGTGCAATTGGTCGCGTTACATGGAAATTATTACTGGGTGCAGATCCAAGCACATAAACTCTTCATACGTTCGGATTCGCTCTCGACTAGCAGTTTTCCGTCATTGGCGATATGTACGAACGCCGCACGATCGTTTGCACATATAATTCAAGCGTACCATTCTCGCCCGAATTCTTTCATGCTATCACTATTCATAGTAAAAATTTCAACTTTCCATTCCGTCATATTAATCCTGACAAGCTTTCAAAATTAGGCCCCAATGTTCCTCAGCGCAACTATGCTTTTGATAAATACATGGACCAGCCTTCGTGCCAAGGCGAACTACGATCCCAGAAAAGATATGAACGATGTTTCTAAAATATTGCAGATACTGAGTATATACGAGAAGAGGTCCGTCATTCATAAACAGGTGTTCGTTCCATGAAAAACTTAGATTTTCTGTACCAGACTTGAGATGGCAGGGCGCGTCCGGTATGAGCCAAATGCGTTCCTTACAGGTCGGCAAATAATGATTCGTGTTCTTTTCAGGGAAATGCTTCTGGCTGTCATGGGAATTGATCATATGACCCTTACAGCGTCGCCGGAAAAGCCAGCTTTGAAACGTTCGAGGCCATCCGATACCCCCATGAAAGACAACACCACGCTCACCAGTAATCATTCGCGAGTAGTTAGGGACGAAGACAGTATCGAACAAGATAGTGAAGGATGGGCTGATTTCAGTACCGCGCTACATTCCACTGGTTCTCAACAAGTTGTAAGTGCGATACGCTCGTCGTTCCAAGTTGATGACAACTATGCTCCGAATACACTTGCACCAATCCAACCGATCTCGATATCTCCAATCCAAGGAAGTGGCTCTAGGAGTAGCTTGACAATGTTCGATCCAGTCCGCGAATCTTCGGCTTCACACCGTCCAACATCCATTAATATGCAAATAAATGAAATGCCGACCCAGCTCCCAACGCCCACATACACTGACCTAGGACCGATCGATCCTATGCCAATGATGAGTTACGATTTTGGGTCAAATCCGGCTTTCGCAGTACCTGTGACTTCTGCTTGGGGAGACCCGGGGTGAGTTACTTATCTCGGTCGATTAATGAGATCCTGAGGCTAATGTAACGTTTCTTTGTCCAGTCATGAAGACTGGGGGTCGTTCATGTCGAAGGTGGATGACTTACTTTTGTTCATAAATCCCGATGGGAGTTAGAACATTAGCTTTCTGTATACAATTATGTAATTTTGCATTGATATTTCTGGTAGCGGCGGCAATTGTAAGCATATGTATTCCCTTTCTTTCAAGTTCCATACACATCTACATGACATTGCCACCCGTCGCTGGCTTGCGAATCACATCCTCATAACCTGAATTGAAAAGCGATGTTTCGAGGCGAAGAGCAGTGCGAAACAGATCTTTACCCTGAATTCTTGAGACTCCAGAGGTCATCATCCCAGCATTCATGTCGAGGAACTCTGTGGAAAGTGAAAGGTCAATTATCATGGATGGTGATAGTTTTGAATGTGGTGTGCTTACTCGATAGCGTCTTGGCAGATTGGGCAATTTCTGGTTCCCCATTGGTGATATCCACGCTTGGCAAAATCCAGTTCTTGTAGAAAATGGTTGTCTTATCCGTACTATCTTTCTTGTAAAGCTCCAATGCAAGCTTACACCATCCCTGTGATATTGTGTCAGAGTAAAGCAGCTCAAAGACTAAAAGACTCACCCAATAACAGGCAATCAGAATGACATGGAGGTTACACCAATCATCACCCTGGGCGTTGTGCATGAGGTATTGCGAGTATGCAATTTCTGCAATAGACCGCTCCACTCTGAAGTCGTCCATCGAGAGTCCAAGTTCACCCACACAGGTTTTAAACCAGTCCTCGGCATATCCAGGATATCTTGCAACTGAATTAGCTTCGTCTTGTAATTTCTCAACATCAAAGTCATCGTAAGGTAGCGTTGCCAAACGAAGGGCCTTGAATTTGACCGAGTCCAAGAGGTAGAAGTAGTCTTGCTAAACACAAATAATGAAAAAAAGTAACACGGTGCGTTTAACATTCTTGGCCACTCACTACGGCATAACGCTTATAGGCGTCAAGAGCCTGTTTGCCACCCTTAGCCGCCTCGACGCAGAGTTTGTTGTTCATAAAAGCTGCAACCACATCCTTGTTGTTCTGATCTCCCCACAACTTATTGATCTCGATACTGCCGTGTTGAAGATTGGTCAGTAATGACTCGGTCAGGAAGAGTCAATATACAGGTCGCCTTACTCCTGCGGTTTCACATCCGACTTCAAGTGCGACACCATTTTATGTGCTTTGTTGACGTCTTTTGCGCTCCTACGAGTGATTTCGTCGAAGACGAGAGACGCTGTAAGACTTGCACGTGGGCCCTCAGCAGGCAGGTCAAGAAGAGATTTCAGGGAGTTGCGAAGTTCGATAATCATGATGGGCGATGGAAGAAAGCGAGATGGAGAGGCCTGAGTACTTGAGTATTTATGTCTGTCAAAGAACCTCGACAACACGATCTCAGATCAGGCATCTTTCAACCTCTTTCAACATCTTCGAACAGGTCAGATTCTTTCTACTTCTTACTTGATTTCCGGAGACTGTTGACCCCTTCAAACCCCTTCAAAACGCTGATCAGTGACAGTCCTTGTATGGATAAAGAACAAAAGGTTTACTATAGCACGTTGGGAGCCGTTGGGTCTGTTGAGCCGACTGATTGATTCAGTGGAAAGATTGAGCACAATCTTAACTGTCCTGATAGCGCTAAAAGCCTCTCCTGCATTTGTACAAACCACAGGCTTCACCCTAGGAGACATCCAGGACAGAAGATAGGACCACTTTTTCCAGCTTCGAAGCGAGATCGTGTCGTGTCGGAGCTTGATACAGTAGTCTGAATATGGTTTAAGGAAAGAAGGAAACCGAGATGCCGCAAACGCGGCAAAATGTTCTTTGGTTATTTAAAGTAAAAGTATAGGAATTACATCCCAAGCGGAGTACAGACTCACATACTTCATCGCTGTTCCATTATACAACATTGTTTCTCATGTAAACTTACCGTATTTTCCTCGCAGGTCCTCTCGGTTTAGCAAATGACTTCGACGTATCGCCTCCCAGCGGGGTTTTGATTGTAGCACTATCACCACCACCAGCTGTAACATTATCGAAGCCCAATTCACTTTTTAAAAATGCTTCATCCAACTCCGTAGGGTCAGATGTTTCAACCTTACGTGCATTAAAATGTGAGTTCGATGATGCAAGGAACGTTTTAGCTGCTTGGAAAACGCTAGTGGATCCGGAGGAATAGAGCATCCGGTGCTTCACGGGAGACGAGGACGGACATGAATATATGAAGACTAAGGATGGGTGGGAGCATCAGTAATTATCCGTGATTAGAACGACGTATTGATCGCGTACCGACTTCGCGTCTAGGAGGATCGGTATAGTCGTGAGGCCATGCAAAAAATGCGTAGCACGGTTCAGAGGATGGAAGACTTGATTTTAGGGTGTCTATTTTCATCGGAGCAACAGAAGACAGGACAAGTGTCTCTGAAGCTGTATCGATCGTCTGTAGTAGATTAAATCTATCAATCTTTGCAGAGGGTATCGGGATTAGATACGCACGATAACAACGAGTCCAGATTCATCACTATTTCCCATTTCTTTGACTGCACTTTCAACATCAGCCGTCCAGTTGAGGCCGACGCCAGTACCAACAATGGATGTTCTCGCCCTGCTTCCTTCATACGAAGGCGCATTACTACGTTCTGCGAGCCGGATGTCCTCCATTTCTTGCTCACGACTTGAGAGAGGCTTTGGCGCGGCGATGTGCTTCAGATGAGCGAGATATGCTTCTGGAGTGAGGTCTGATTTGGATGTAGCAAACAGTGAGTCTGTGAACACGGTAGATCCGAGGTGTTTCAAGAGTGAAGCTCGAGTAGCGGCGTAAAGCATCTATCCGGGGAAGTTGTCAGATTTTAAAAATCTGTTCAGTTTCGTGTTTGGACTGACCTTGTCCCTAACTTTTGCAAAATCCGGCACGTAGTAGATTGCCAGCCATTCTGTTGATGGATCGTCCAATTTAGCCAGGACGTACGCAGGCGCATTTTCCAATAGCAAGTCCTGAAGTTTTGCAAGATCTTCTGTGAATGTGCCTTCAATCGGAATGCTTTGGTCGAGTACAAGTGATTCTAGAATTTCAGGTGTTACAGTAGTATCCATGGGGATGAGTACTACGCACCATTCAGTATAGATATCTTGAGAAATCTGACAGATTTAGAGTCTATAGCAGAAGAGAACCGCGAGGATAACTCTTGCGAAACACCGATACCGGACGTAGCTGACATCGTATATATAAGCGCCCAAGGAATTGCCACTGTCATCTACTGTCATCCAGTCATCATTCAGCCGGTATCTTTATTCTTCTTCATGTCCCCGATGCCCCCCCGATACCATGATCAGCGTAGAGGAAATATGCAATACCTCATATCCCAACGCATGATTTCGAAACGAATACAGCTGTTTTCCAATACCCGACTTCACATCTCTTCAAATCAAAGCGGAGTCAAGGTTTGCGCCGTTCAATTGCACATCAACTAGCCGTGTACTAGCATAGGGGGGATAAAGAACTTCATTGCCGCATCGAAGAAGCCTCGAAACCGGCATTTTCGTTTTGGTAGGGGCCAGCAATCTCCTGAGCATTACGTCCTGGATTTGCGGCTTTGATTGATTCCACACGATAGAATTAACTATATATGTATCTACATGTATACAAGTCCTAGTTCATAAACTACTGAGGAATCCCCCCGTTCGTGTGTAACTGTGTATATATCAGAGCGATACTCAGCGCTCATAGCGGACTCCGAGTGTCACAGACTCGCTCAGTCATTCAAGTTGTTGTACTAACTGAATAAAGTATGATTCCTTAAACTCTATCTTTTTGCATATGTAACATGATCATCAGATAATGTCCTCCCCTGTTCTGAGTTATGTCAACTGGAATTATCAAGCTAATCGGCTGACTATTGAGTCTCCTCGTTCCCTTAAACTGTGAGACTCACCGAGTAATTGTTGCCAGTAATGTGTGCACCAATGCTATGAGCCCAAAGTGTATTTCTCGGGATTCGGACTTGGTATCGACTGCTACGACACATTTTACTTGGTCAAAAGGCTCTAGATTCAAAGCTCTAGTAAGGTTCTCCGGGGACTCTCACCTAGAAACAATCGTCACTGATATATACAGTTCAATCGCAACACCGTATGGAGAAAGAGAACTGGCTATAAAAGAAGATGCCCCTCCCCCTGCTAATGCATGGTATCTGTGTTCACAGCGAACGTGAATCACAAAAAATCCCAGCTGAATGCCGCCTGTTCCAACAAGCATGCGTTTGACAGGAGGAGGAATTATGCAGAGTTGAAACGCATGGCGACCAAATTTGGTCTACATGCGCTTCAACTCAGTCTACTTTCGCCTCAAGTCGTTGTTGATCATTGCTAGTAGTCGGATTCAGTGGCAGCGGCATACTACGACTGATTGTGGCAACGATACGATTCGGTGCGAGCCTAACTTCGCCTGGACTTTGTTCTGATATGATCCCAGATCACGATGCAAAAATTGGATACCTCCTCCATCGAACAATATTCAGTGCTGGAATTCACCTCGACGACTGCAGCGAGATATTCATCTCAACTCCTCTAAACCAAACGGACAATGCATACGACACTAATTTTCCCGACATGACCTACGCTCCCTCTCGCGCCGTGCAACTCCCGCGAATTCGGGGTGGAGGGAAGTCTGGAAAGGACCTAGAAATAATTATCGGTCATACTTAATCGTTGAATATTTTCCTGAATGCCACGTACCCCAATATAGCATTGAAATAAAATAGTAACATCATTCTGACCGGCCTCTTTATCGATCTCCTGTTTAGTCTTCTTCCTTGATCGCCGCCTAAGTTTAGGGAACAAGATTTTTCCGAATATTCCAAGGGGTAAACAACGTCTCCCAGTGTCCGACCCCTAGACCATGCACTGGTTGTCCACGGTTGGAACTTGAATACATAGAGGAAAGGGTCCATCGAAGCATGAAACACGAAGTGATGATCGAGACTGATACCTCCAATGTTGGATGTCTATCCTTGGTATTTAATTTCTGTGGGATTTCAAGTTCTGTGGCTGGCATACTATCAGTGGAAAGGCCAACACAACGATGAATGCTTTTTGGTATTCTGATTTGTTCCAACTCGATACTATCTGGCACCGTTCCTTCTCTCAAATTTAATAGGATCCCCACCACAGTCATGTCAAGATTGAATACTTGATATAGGCGGCTCATTGTTTGAATTTCGTGTCGCTGGAAATTCTGTCATAAATTTTTATGCTTTTGGGAAAGAGCGCAAGACAAAATGGCTGAAGATTTACAACGCTTTTCAAAAATTTGACGAGGTTTGATTTGTGCTTTTGGTCAGATTGCGACCATGAGTTGAATTTGTCTCGGTCAGAAATAATCAATCGACGAGTGCTGCTCTGCGCTGCTACGATTTTCTCTGGATCTGGCTTCGCTTTCCGTGGCCCTTTCACTGAAGTCCTGAATTGATGACTATACCAGCGGAAATATATCCAAGCAACTCTTGATCCCAAGTTCCAACGCAAGGATCTCTTGACTCATTTTCTTATCTGTTGAGTCTGCTCATGATAGAACTCGGCTCTAACATGAAGCCTAATTTTGAAGGAGTTCTGCGGACCTCAGATCCCGTTGGAAAACTTGATGAAGGATTGACATCGACGAAAACTATGTTGAGGGACAAATGAGAGCATGAGAAGACATATGATAGGCAGAATGTGAACATGAGGAGGGAATTATTCCGAGGGCCGTAGCATGGAAGGCTACGGAGGTTGATATGGGTACTGGAATGGCATAGGAACCTGGAACAGAAGGGAGGGGACAATTATGCTGAAAATTACCTTACGAAGAACGGCGCTACAATATTGATCGGACCGCCAATGCCGAAGTGAGCAGGCTTTGAATTGTGGCTCTTGCCCGCTGCAGCAATGTTCTTCTAGGTTGTCAGCAGAGCTTATATCATTGTCGTACTCTTACTCGCTCTCATGTCCACGATTTTCCGCTAGGACCTACTGTATCTGAAAACTCAACTGATCCCAGGTCGATGCCTGAGAATTGAGTGATATATGTATATATACTCGAGTCATTTTTCAACGACGAATCATCATACTTGAATTTTCAGGTTGGTACGAGATTGATAGACCCTGGATAGACCACTTTATTTCCTTTCTCTTTTCGCTCATGTCGAATTCTAAACATACACCTGAATCCATTGAGCTAACCTCTCGTCCTCCCTTTCCAGCTCCAGCTCCGAATGTGACTCCAGCTCCTACAACACCCGACGTTCCAGAGGCGGGACTCCTAAATAATTCCGGTGAATTAAATCCGTCGTTACTTCATCCCGTCGACGGAGGATTTCACGCATGGGCTTTTGTGCGTTGTTTTTATGTCTCGTTTTTATATCGATATCGACTCGGATTAGCTCACTTCTTAACAGCTCGGCGCGTCCTTTTTGATAGAAGCAATCGTCTGGGGATTTCCTGACGCGTTTGGTGTATTTTTAGATGGTACGTTACAGAATCCCCATTATCTATTTCAGCCACTTATCTTTCCAATTTGCAGCATATCTCACAGATCCAGCTTACACATCCCACCCCCATGCGTCTTCTCTCCTCCCTCTCATTGGCCCTATAGCCTCTGGCATCGTATACTGCGTTGCTCCGTTTCTTTCTCCACTGATCAACCGCTACCCAAACCATCGTCGTACGGCAATGTACGTTGGCCTATTACTATGTTGGGCATCCCTCTTCGCAGCAAGCTACACCACCAACGTTGTAATCCTCTTGGCACTACAAGGTGTTGTATATGCATTCGGTGCCGCACTACTGTATTTCCCTTCGCTTTCATATTTGGCGGAGTGGTTCATAAACCTCCGCGGATTTGCGAATGGTGTTTTATTCGCTGGAACTGGTGTAGGGGGGGTTGTTCCTCCCTTGACGATATCGAAACTTTTGAGTATGTATGGACCAAACGTGACGGTGAGGATCTTATCGGTGGGGATAGTTGTATTGCTTCTGCCTTTGATGCCGTTTGTAAAAGGTCGGATACCGGTGGGTCTCGCTGGACATGTGCAGCCGGTTTCGAGAGGAAGTTCGAATAGTGTGAAGTCGTGGATGGGGTCGTATTTCTTCTGGATATTGTTGGTCGCGAATACGATACAGAGTTTCGCGTATTTCGTGCCTATCTTGTGGTTGCCGAGTACGTTTGTGGACTCTGCTGGGAGGATCATTCACTGATCTATATCGTCACTCACGATTCAGCTTTCGCGAGTACTCTGAATTTGGATAGCACCACGTCTTCAGCTACACTGGCCATGTTCCACAGTATGTTCATTTACTCTCGTGCACAATTATGATTTCGAGGGCTGACTTGTACTTATAATAACCATATAGCTGGCTCAGTCATCGGCCGTCTAACGATGGGTTATCTATCCGACTCCTCCCTCAAGCAATGTTTTATCCTCGCATCGAGCACTCTCCTCGCGACTTCCGTAACGATATTTGTTCTCTGGGGCGTATTTTCGACGAACCTCGCTGGGTTGTTCTCATTTTGTATAATATATGGTCTACTCGCCGGTGGCTGGCCAAGTTTATGGAGCGGGTTCGGAAAAGGGTTGACTTGTGAGAATAATCTTTTGCTCTTTGTCCATCAGAACCTAGCTTGAACTCTGCGTTGGCTTTGCTCTAGTGAACGACCCGACACTCTCAATGACACTATTCGGTATCCTCTTGTTCACGCGCGGAATTGGGAATATCGCTTCGACACCTTTATCCGCTGCGCTTACAGGGTTCTCTTCTGCCTCACCCACAACCTCCTTCTCCACCAATTCATCCTCTTCATCGTCCCAAATGTCTGCAAAACTCGGCTTTAACATCGCTGGAGGGCGTTTCGCCAGTACGATCCTGTATGTAGGGACGTGTTTCGCTGGAGCGGGGATGATAGTGCTTTTTGGCTGGGGAAGGGAAGTGTATTATCACCATCATCGTCGCCAGAGTGCAGGAGCCGCTAGCGAAAATGTTATGTAGGAGAATTCGAATCTTAACTTTACCTCAGTGGGTGTTGTTGAGAATATCCTCGAATTTTTCCAGAAATACTTTGTACAGTATACAAGTAGCTCTGTAGTAGCTCAAGAATTAATCTCGAGAATCTGAACAACTTGAGAGAAAATGGCAGTCCGGAGAGATAGTGAAGGCGGGAAAAAAAGAGATAGTGAAGAAACGATAGGCGCCCATATATTACATCAGCGAATGATCGACCATTTCCGGAATACCGAATGCGTCTCGTCTCTAAATCAACCGACCCAACGACCAAATCATTGACTAGTCTACTTCCGCATTCTCGACTCGTAATCTACCGACATCACAGAGTACGGGTCACCGCTTATCACAATGAACGCTCAGGCTCTCGGAGTCGCCAACAACAATGTAGAAGGATACTCTGCTGTACCTGGACAACCTGGGCAGGCACCACTGAAGTATGCAGCGTACAAGGTAAGCTTTACTTAAGTTGTACCGAAGAGAACATGTGGAGCTAATTAGTCTTTTTTATGTATACTTACATACTTCTGTTTATCTGGACTTTATCCTGAATTTGGACGTTCTACATTCCACTCCTCCCTCTCTTTCGTACCTAACCTCGAACTTGAACTTGGAATGAAACGCGGATTTTGGATTTCAACAATACGATATATACACTCGTAGCCGAAACGACATTCACGAACGAGTTCCGTGGGGAATTCTTCGACGGGGAATAATACAGGGAATAATACAGGGAATACCAATCCCAGACCCAGCAGCAGTTACAGTTCCGGTACGATACCAAATTGGACAACGTCGATGTCTATCGGGTCTATACCCACTAGTACTTGGTCGAGTGGGATGAACGGGATAATGAATGTCAATGGGACGAATGGAATGTATAGTTTGACTGCAGAGCAGCCTCCCAACTCGAATAACTCGAATATAGTCGTGAAGGTCGAGACTGTAGAGGAATCGTTCACTGATACTATGCCTCCGCGTACACATACGACACCGACTATGGACGAATTGGAATCCAAAAAGGACGGAGCGTCGATAACTACTTTGTCACCGGAACAACCAGTGGCCGTGGTGTCAGCCTCGTCACCAGGATTACCAAATTCCCCTCCAAGATCTTCACCAAGCTCACTTCCGTCGTCCTCCTCATTACCGACACCGTCGTCGTCACTATCCATGCCTACATCAACGCCAATGCCAGCATTCCCACCCTCATCTTCATCATCCTCGTACGCATCAGCGTCGACTCCAACGTCACCAGCTCGAGCACCGCCGACTCTTACACATACATCTACATTCAGAAGAGTCCGTCCTTCTCATACATCCAGTCCTCTCGCACGTCCTAATTCGGTAATACTTCCAACTCAATCTCAGTTAGGTCGTACGACTAGCAGTCCCCTTGCTCGCCCCACGTCTATGTTTATACCAAACGCAACAGATGCTACTTCTGCCCCATCGGTTCCGACGTCGCCTACAACATCACATAGTAATCCGATATCTCCTGCGCCCAGCTCAATCCTGAGCTCCCCACCGCTTAATTCATCCGTTTCTGGTGCTGTATCTCCCTCACGGACTCTGACTCCACCTCCTCCTGCTCCAACGGTCATAGTCACCTCACCTTCCCAGGAATCTCGGATTACATCTATAACTTCACCTACACCTATATCCACATCTCCTTCTCCTCTTCCTCCTACATCCAAATCTCCATCCAAATCTCCATCCAAGGCGCCGTACAGACCAGGCTTCCAACCTACCGGTCTTACACGTTTCCGCACCGATGAGTTCCTTATTGCTCGTAAGCTCGCGAGGGACGGTCCAGGCGGCCCGGGTGAAGGAATTGGTACAAACGAAAAAAGGGTAGAGAGGACGAAATTAGAAAGGAGACTCGAGAAAATTATCGCGTTGCATTTTCCAGAGATGACGGCGGTAGATAATGGGAAAGTGAGAGTAAAGAAGGAGGAGAAGGGGAATAGGGGAGGACAAGAGAAGGAGAGGGAAAAAGACTCAAAAGACTTCAATTCGTTATCAGGAAATAGAATGCCAGCCAGACCAGTGAGGCCTAGCCTACTAGGAAACTCTAACCCCTCCTCCACTGATTCAAGGAGACGAACCTCGTCGTTCTTCGAGAATTTCGATATTCGAGATATTCGGAGGATGAGTGGTTCATTCATTGGTGGTATTGGTGGGAGCGAGGTTGAAACTACACGATGTACGTTGATTTTTTCTAGTCCGTGACTAGTTGTAATCTTATTCCCTCTCTCCCTCTGTCTCTTCCGTTACGCCTTAACTCCAGCGTCTGAACAACGAATCACTCCCTGGCAGCCCGACTCCGCCGTATCCCGTTGTCCCCACTGCGATACCTCTTTCCATCCGCTCTCGAATCGGAAACATCATTGTAGGCTTTGCGGGAGGGTAGTCTGTGCGTTGGGTGTTACTTCGGGGAAGAGAGTCGAGGTGGGTTCAATCGTTGACGATGTTCATGATTTTTATATTTGCCAAATGAAAACACATTTCTTCCTTCCTTCTGCTTTTCTTATCATCTATAGCCCTGTTCAATCCTCTTCGTCGTCGACCCCAAAACACGACAGATAGAACAAGTCGAGGAAGGTGTGGATTATGGCGTCCGGAAACGAAAACCTAGTGTGGATATACGTTCAACTAGCTCGAAGGATGGTGGTAAACCTGGACTAGTCGAAGCAGGACTAACCAAACATTCAGAGGAAGAACAATCAGAAGAAGAGAAATTCCTCAAAGGCGTCCGAATATGTCGAGGATGTAAACCCGTGTTGCTTAGGGAGCAGTATCTTCGGGAACGCAATATCACTATGGGAGGAGTAACGGGAGAGTTCTTGAAGTTGTACGAAGCATTTTTGGGGTTGGAGAAGGAGATTGAGGATAGTTTACCGGCATTTGAGGAGTTGTTGGTTGGGTTGAAGATGAGGCAAGTTACCAGCGGTTGATTTGATTCTAATACTGATTGATTGTATTTTCTGCTTGGTTTGTTTCCTCCTTCTCTTTCTTTCTTCTCTTCCTTCTCGCACAGCAGCGGAAATAACAACGGATCCGATCCACCTCATGCGCTGACAGCACAAACAGCGACAGCAGCGGCTGAACGTAAACGCCTCTTACAGGTCTTTGCGAGGTATGATGCGTTGGCGAAGCGGATACGGAATTTACCGTGTGGGATTCAAGGGAAGGGAAGCAAGGGGAGTCAGAGTGACAAAGGAATTAAGGCTAAGGGAACGAAAGGAGAATATAATATTAACACAAGTCAAGAACGCGTACAAGCTGCTATCGCCCTACGTGCTGCGAGGTTCTTGGAAGCCAGGATGGTCGGGTTAGGTGCAGTCCCCTCTTCTGTCTCTGCGGCGCAGGGGAAAAGAGAAAAGTCAAATTCGAAGGATTCGAATATGGGTACCTCTCCTTCAATTGGAATCCATCCCTCTTCCTCGTCTGCCATCATCTCCTCCTCTTCCTTCTCCCCCTCCTCATCTGCCTCTCAGAACCTAGACGCAACCCTCCAAAAGACTCTCCAACCCCTCTTAGAACAAGAATCATTGCTAGAGTCATACATTGCCGAAGCCACGAAGGCAAGAAAGTTCGAGGATGCAAAATTTTTGAGGGGGAACTTGAGGGAGATTAGGGGGGAGATCGGTAGGGTTGTTGGGGATGTGTAGGGTGTTAGTTACGTCCTTAATCCAGATTGATATATGCCCTATCGACCAATACTATCCAAGCAATTTTTATGATGCATAAGATGACTCAACCATAGGTTCTCGCCAGCCCTTTCCTTTTGCTGGTACCTTCATACAAAAACACAAGTTTGACGATGAATTTAGCATCGGAGTTACCTGGCTTGCATGTACTATATTTGAAAAAAGGTCATCCGAAGTGGTGAATCCATCGCGATCTGAATATCCGTTATCTCTGCAACTAGATGGGATGTAGATAATGGTTCACTGCACGCTCTGCGCCAGTCGGGGTTGATCTCATTACTGAAGACATCAATTTCAGCAGTGATCTCAAGCTTGGATGATACAGTGTATTGGCCTGGAATATGTTGGTTTGAATGCAAGAATGAGACAAGGAAAGCAAAGGTTACAGTATGAGGAGATGGCTTCAGGAGAATGAGGGAAAAGATAGTTGGAGGTTGCAGTACTGAGTGTTGAAAATGTTGAGAGGGGCAATGAGGGACTGGAGGGATCAGGAGATGACGGCACAAAAATTGTTGGAGTCTTCGGAGAAATGGAGGATCGGAAGGCACTCATTTTGGAGGAGGTGTGATGGGTAAATGAGAACGAGATAGAGAATTAGGAAATGAGGCTCGTTACATGACCGAAGGATTGACTGTAGAAGGATGATTTAAAGATGGAACGTACAGAAAGGTACAGAACTGTACAGAACAAAGCGTTTGCGCGTTTCAAAGGTGCTTCAATAGCATCAAGGTAATAAGATGAAGGACCATTGAAGTCCGAGTGAACGAGCAGTGAAGGATGGATCAAGATTTGAGGGACATAGATTCAAGTGGATTGGAAAGGGATCGAGACTTACATAGAGTACTCGTTTTGGAGGAGGGGTGGATTGGCGACAGCACGTGACCATTTCGTGTGCGTCCCAGACGGTTTATGCTCACTGTACTTTACTCAGTGTTCCACGAAACTAATTATCTTTGTTGGAAAAAACAGCGGCTAGCCAGGCTAGCTGAACGGTGCTCGCTATCGCTTGTCATGACTCGTAAGAGGAGCTCAGAGGAACTTGGGTAAGTCACTGTCTATACATTGTCCCTCAATTACCGCGCTCAAAGATCTTGCTGCAAAAAGTGCCTATGGACAGGAGAGGAGCAAGAAGAAAGTTCGTCTCAAAAGTCCATGTACGCGAGACTCACCACAGGTCAGACGAGCTAGTATAGGAACCGACGAGGAAGAAATTATTCCTCCTTCAGAGCCTGATTTAACATCACCCGACCCGCACGCGTTGCGACCAAATATTTCACTCAAGTCACCGAAAATCACTAGCAATATGCAAATTCAAAGTCATTACATTACTCGTGGATGGTGCCAGGCTTTCGACCAAGATGTCGTCCCCGCAAGTCCCGATCCCCCAACGCCTTCAAGCTCCAATCCTCTTCTTCTGAATCTTAATTCGACACTACCTCCTCGTGTCATCGTGGATTTCTTTGACAATCCGAACATCAATGAAGCCGAAATTATTCGCCAGGCTTCTTCTACCCTAACACTATCTCAGCAACGCTACTTTCCGATGCAAAATTCTCCTCTACCTTCGGACTTTTCCGAATTATCTGTCCGCGGTTCTTCGCCGTACTTCAACTCGGATACGCCGATCCAATGCAGCCCATACCTAGTCAATGCCAACATTCGAAATGCTCAACCTATTTCCACCCAGGGCACTGCTCTCGAATGTATAAAGAACGCGACTGCTACCGTGGCCCGTCAGATTTCTTATCCGTCTATCGCCGTACTCTCTGAGTCTCCGAATACACCTTACAGTCAGCGCAATTCAGTGACTCCAGGGCAGCCGAAAACACTTGCAATCAAAACCATTAATTCTGCCATTAGCGACCGAGATTTCGGTAGCTCCTCTAATTGTACTGCGCCTTCTATTTCCATACCTCTGTTGTCTTCAAGCTCGCTGCTACCATTACTTCCCAGCCCATTTATACGAGCTGTCGATCACATTCCTTTCACTGAGCCAGCTATCACGTCTACACCTGTCTGCGAGCCTCAACCTCTCAACGCTGAAAGCGGTATCCTCTTGAACGATGGCGGTAACAACAATCCAATGACCATCGATGCAAGTGCTCCGATTCCGGTTCGAACTACCACCATGGCTGCATGGCGTGCCCGCGCTGCTCGTATAGTCATTGCACGTCATTTCTTGTCAACGAAGTTAGGCGTCAAGCTGGACGAGGCGCTGGTAGAGGGTGATTTTACGAGTGTTTCGTCAGTGGCTCAAGATGGGATAGGGATCTTGGGGCTTTTGCTTTAAATATGAGTGTTCGAATTTCTTTACTCGTCGTGAGTTTCGGCTTGCCAGACCAGATGCTGAGAGAATGTAAAATTGTCACCATGGGTCCCGGAGTCGTAGGAGACAACTTGACATGAGTACACCATACAAACGAAGATAGTTGACAACAACATCAAAATTCTTTTTGAGTTTGAACATTGATGTCCACGATGCCTGCGCATGCATTCTTAGGATGCCCGTCACAAATCCCCCCCAAAATTCAAGACCTCGCCCAAGCAGAAATAAAGAAGATTCAGTCGAATCGTCCAGGTCAAAAAGAGGCATCGGATAAGGTCGTTGCTTCACGCGACCTGAATGCGTTACAAAATGTGGCATCCATAGTGATGCAGAAAAAGGCAAAGGAGGTGTATCTTATTGGTCAAGGTATATCAGCAAATCATGGAATCGTTCAAAGACTGATGATCACCTGCTAAGGTGGCTTCAACCAGGTAAGATTGAATCTCATGTTGCTGTTGCTAGCATGGATGTGAATTCTTGTTGATCAGGTGTTTGCAATCATCTTCGAAGACGGAACGGACATCATTGCACGCATCAATGGTAGCCGCGCCTTACAAGATTCAGACAAGCCGCCAGCCGAAATAGTACGACGCATCCAAAGCGAAGTAAGCTTGTGTTGTATTTTTGAAGAGTGGTATGGCTGACATACGACCAGTTCGCGACAATCAAATTCATACAAACAAATACGACGATTCCAGTTCCTGAGATCATCTTCCGAGAAAACAATTTCGAAAACAATGTCGGTGCACCGTATAGCCTGCAGAAGCGTGTATGTCTTCGCTGTGTATATCTACCGACAGATAGAGCTCACTAGACGCGTGCAGATTATCGGACAAATGATGGCTGATATATGGCCAAGCAAGTTCAATCCTTCTTGCATGAACGGCGAACAAGCTATTAGCGCAGTCAAGCAAATCGCGGACTTCGAATGTCAGCTACTGCGTTACCCAAGCTTTGATTCTATCGGAAGCCTTGAATACGACGAAGCTGCTAACGAATTTCGAGTTGGACCGCTCACTCCATTATATAAATTGTCCACTTTCCCTGGATTTCACCCTGGTCCTTGGAAATCTTCAACTGAGTATCTTCGCTCCCTGATAATTTTACAGAAATCAATCCTGCAACAACCAGACTGGTTGGATGATCGTCGCTCCTTCTTCACGCTCATGAACACTTACGGGAATGATATCCCAAAAATCGAGGACATAGATACAGAGGTTCGCTCTGATCATGCACACTTTACAGCTTGGTATAATATGTTGGAGGCCAATTTGGACCATCTGGATCTTAGCCCATTTGATCCACCGCATTACCCATTTGTCTTGTTGCATGAAGATTTGAACATTGGTAATGTTATGATGGATTATGAGGATCCCAGAAAAGTAGTTGCAGTCATTGACTGGGAGGGGAGTCGTGTTGTTCCATTTTGGGTTGGTTGCTCCTATAGCTTGATTGATAATTCCAACTGCGGCAATGATCCAGAGGAGCAAAAAATCTATTGTCGGATGGTTGAGACTCGCGATGAAATCAGGAAGAAGAATCTTGATCCATCACTCTGGAATGAGCACACCATCCCAATCTTCAACAGCTTATTCAACCTATACCAACTTGCCTCACGGTCACCTACTCGAGTACCTGTGGCTCTCTTTAATACATTGCTGCAGAGATTTCTAGCAGCTCGCCCCCAGGAGGACATTGACATGTTTCATCCCATGTTAGAGCTTGGTTTGGGTAAGGGTTTATTTTCATGTAGAACTTTCCTGGGTCTTAATTTTTGCAACAGGATATGCTAATGAAACTTCCCAAGCACTCGCACGTCTTTACGGTTATTAACGAGAAAATAATGCCAGTGGCATCGATATCGGGGGTTCGGGCCGTTCGCTCGGTATTCGGCATAAATTTGAAACTCCGAAAGGTATATATAATTTGCCACGGACATTTTTTTTCTTTCTGTTCAACCATTTTGGTGTGTATCTTTTTCAAAGCCATCGTCTGAGCATTATCTGCGCTCACTAGCTATGATGATTCAATTTTTACCATACTTTACCACATTCCGAACTCATTATGTGGAGTTTTATAATCGATTTCAGCCTTGTCTGATACTTCCCTTTCCCTATTATTTTACGCTTCTGCAAGTACTAACGTCTGGTTCCTTTTTTTTCACCAGGTCTATCGGTTGTCGAGCTGTTGTGGGTCTTGTGGTTGTTGGAGATTGACTGTAGAGTGCACTGGGTATATGGTGAGCATTGACTGGGTCTTTTGTTCTTTTTTGTCTTCATGTACACGTTATGTGATGAGTTTTTTCGATGGGCGGACAGAACGCATACCATCCATACCAAAGTCTCCCGGTGTACAATGTGGAGGCGGATTGGGGTGCTTGTTGAAATGCATCGAGTACCTGATATTTTAATACTTTAACACTTTGTTGCATCTTCTCATTCTTTTTGCGTGCTCTAGCTTACTGAAGGCTAACTTTCCTTTTATCAGGTTCTTGCCTTCTTTTTTTTGTCACATTTAGGTGCCCTTGGAACTCTTTATGGGTCGTCTGTATATCATTATATTCACTGTTTTGCTCACTCGAAGTAACACTCTTCTTTTTTTCGATGCCCTATTCAACGTCTCCGTTCAGGAAGTGTGCAGTCATAAGACACGCATTTTATTTGTTTGAGATCGGGGTTTTCTGTACACGCAGTAGTTGAGTCAATTGAGCGTAATTCAAACGACCTGAGTCTGCATATCCTTTTGAGCGTATACTGTATCTCACCAGTCTAATTTGGATGAAGATCGCTATGTTTGGCTATAGGTGAGCATTAACGCGGTATTATTACCTCGACTCTCACGGGCTTGACCTCAAGGACTGTAGTACATGCGCAGGCAGAATGATGAGAGCCAGGCAAGGAAATGAAGGATACACGGGAGAAAGAGTGGAGCTAAGTGCATATGTTGCTGCTCGTCAATGAAGATGATGAGTGCTTGCCGTCTTCCCATGTTGAGTTCTCGTCCGAGGTCATGTTTCGTTTTTGACACCTAGGCTTCCGTTTTGCTTCACACTCCACAATTATTTCCAGTCACCATTCTATGTCACCTATTCATCAATGAAGGATAATGAAGTTTCTCGGTCAAGAATACACAATGAACACAAGGCGTTGCTTCCCGGCGGTCCGACGTGCAGGTTAAAGACGTTCACTTTGCCCCGGCATATATAAACAAGCTTGTGCATAGTATAAGCGCGGATTAGCTCTTCAGCCTCCTGCAGTAAAACACTTCAACGTTATGATCAGCGGTATTTGCGTTGTAGCTCTCCTTGCCGCCTTCAGTGTCGCAGCTCCCTCGTCTTCGTCAAGACTGACCTCGCGGGGACAGTTCAACGGTACACGTAGGTATCCGTCAAAGCTCGGAAAACGGTGCACAGGTACTATTGCATCCCTCGCCGATGTAAGCGCTGCACAGGAGTGCACCACCGTCATTGTATGATTACTTCGAGTATACGTTCTGTGTACACGCTTTAAATTATTTTTCTAGATAAATGAATTTACAGTTGACGCCGGAGGTAATCTCTGGTCATTTAACCACTAGCAATCACCATGCTAATCGGTTGCAGAGACCTTCACCCTGGAGCCCGCCGACGGCGCCACTGTGACCATGGCAGGGGACGTTACCTTCGCCTTCAAGGTAAATACTGAAAACGACCCCAAAGAGTCCTCGAACGTATCTATATCTCTTGCTTTAGGAATGGGATGGTCCTCTCATGGTTGTAGAAGGAAATGATATCACCTGTGAGAGGTCGAACCTTGGCGTATTCCAATTCGAGTAACTGATCTTCTTGCTAGTTGACGGAGGTAAATCAGACAACCACAACTGATACACCATAACATTATACATCTGACATACTCTCGGTAACGCAGCTGGACATACGCTCAACGGCCTTGGAGAGCAATATTGGGTATGGAGCGGTTCCCATTACAATGACCCCCGCTGATAGTTCAACCATTATAGGATGGTCTCGGTAGTTCTGGAGGCACCACAAAACCTGCACCACTCCTTCGTATCAACCACGACGGTGGCAGCTTCAGTAATGTCGTCGTATTGAACTCACCCGGTCGTGCCACTGCGATCGGAGGGAATGGAATCGTGGTCAGCGAGATCACAGTCGACAATTGTGATTTAACCAAGGCTTCTTCCCATATATTGACTCTACGTACTGAGTATCTTCTTTCCAGCTGCTGGAGACCAGCCGAACGCTATGTCTGATGGCCAACCCGCCGGTGCAAACACAGATGGATTCGATATCTCGGCTGACGACGTGACCGTTGAAAATTCTGTCGTTATGAACCAAGGTCAGGGCTTTTTTTGCCTTATCTCGAGAGAATACCCTTATGCTGACTGTTTGGATATAGACGATTGCCTTGCCATCAATCGCGGAACCAACATCAACTTCGAAAATAATCAGTGTTCTGGTGGACATGGTATTTCTATTGTGAGCCCCCACTCTGTCTACGGGTTTACAATGTTCATCGGCGTTGTCTTTACTAGGGCTCTATTTCCTCTGATGTAACAGTTTCTGGGATCACCATTTCAGGGAACACTGTTTCCAACAGCATGCAATGTTTCCGTATCAAGACCGACGCAACTTCTACTGACTCAACCGTCTCTGATGTGACTTATTCCAACAACAAGGCCTCTGGATGCGAGGAGTTTGGTGTTCTCATTACGCAGAGTTATCCGGATGCTTTGGGAACACCTGGTACTGGGGTAGTCATTTCGGTATGTTTCAGTACGGTCCTACGAGACGCAAACTTATCCGGGCATCACAAAGGACATTACATGGTCTGGTACAAATACAGTGTCTGTGAACAGCGATGCTGATAGAGTCGATATCAACTGCGGGAGCTTAAGCAGCTGTTCAGGGTTAGTCTCAAAAATCCAAATTCCCTGCCTCCGACTGACTGATCACCTCAGAACATGGGATTTTTCGGGTCTAACCGTGACAGGTGGATCTGAGGGTACCATCCTCAATGCAGATGTCTCCGGTGGTAGTTTTTGAACGTCTGTTTATCCCGCCTACCTTGTAAATAACAATATGTAAAATTTCAAATTGCAAAGCTCTCAAGTTGGGAAGGTATGTAATTAAGGAGAATATCATCCATAGCATAGAAAGTTGTGCTCAGTTTCTGAAAATTCGGGAGTACGGATAATCATGAAATCGAACCAGTCCACTGCTGAGAAGCGATATGCGGAATCACTTTCGCTGACACCAAGTTTGAGCGTCAGTTTCCAAAGTGTCAACATCCGAAGCTACTGGCTCGAGTCTAGGATAATCACAATATAGGGCAAGCTTCCGCAATAACCACCTCATCGATTATTAGTTCCCCCTTCAGCCTCTGCACAGCTCGAATCACCGAAGTTGAAGTGGACTGTTTGCGTAATAGTCTTCAACGTGCAGCATTGATAAAGTTCCTACTAGTATCATTACGGACGATACAATCAAATTTTGTTACAGTGATCTTGGAGTCCTTGATACAAAACATCAAGTTTTGTTTGCGACTCTTTCTTATGTCACAATGTTTCAAATTTAAGTATCTAGAATCAAAGCATAGTATGTATATTGCATTGTTTTGAGATACTCAATAAAGAAATAAATGTCCCCATAAAACAAATTTACGGTAAGTGTATCAAGGACTCCAAGTGTATCAAGGACTCCAAGTGTATCAAGGACTCCAAGATCACTGTATATCCTCTTTCTCCGTTCACTCTTCTCTGATTTCCCACAAAATACTAATGATCATTTTCATGTCCACACGACCTGTGTACTATCCAGAAACTCGACCTGAATACACGCGTTTGTAGGTAGTATCGCAAGTCAGTCACCTTGAGTTCTTTCATGATCGGCTTTCGAAGGAGAACGTTGAGTACCGTGAATTTCGATGTTGATTCTAAGGTTTTAGTCACGAAGGAAATTATCTTCGTGAACTAACAGCGGCTAACCAGGCTACTCTAAGGTCAAAGCAGAGGTCATGATCATTGAAACAACAAAGAAAATGACAGCGTGCCCAAATCGTCAAACTTCCGCAACGCTCTCTGTCTGCTTCAAATTTTATCAGCCTGGTTGTGTAAGATACTCATATCAGCTAAGCTCGGAATTCCATGCGGTTGTGGGGTACCTTGGTGGTATTTGGAACGGCGAGCGACGTTCAGTGATGACTGACCCTCCATGGAACAGTCTAAGGTTGTAGATACTCCGTTCTTGAATACAGTGTGGGTTTCATGCGTACAGACCAGATATAAGTGAAGGTTACGTTGAAACGTTGGATGAAGGCCTTCGATTTGCTGAACGTCGGGGGCATCAGTCAGGTAGTCACGTACTGCTTACTCAGCTTTCTTCCATAAAAGGTAGAAGGGTGGTGAGTGGCCTGAATCAGACAGTTGCGATTTCCATCTTGCTCTTCTTCTGTCACCATTTCCTCTCTTCCTCATATTTTGCATCTTCACGCTTGTATACGACTAACAGAAGACACTCGCCTGTGTATCTCACTCAAAGTTTTTTTACGAATATCAACCATAATTCGCTTAATCAGTTAAGATGCGGGAGTCCAACTTTGCATTCCCTGCTCAGAATAAGGCATGCGTCTGCATAACTTCTCAGCTTTACGATAGGCGTGGTAAGTCCCTCACACATTATAATATTTTGTGGATTTTTTGCTCATTAATTAATGCATCTATACAGCGCTCGACACAACCTCGCCATTACCACTGTTCAACTCCCTGACTCATCTGACTTACCTGACATCAACGTCGCCGCGTATCCGTGAAATAATGACCATGGATGGTGGTCTCGAACGCCTCGTACGGCTCTTGCACGAATTTTGTTTATGTCCACCACCACCGGAGAACCCTTCGTTATTTTATGGTCTTGCGCCACCCTCTGCTCGTCCTCCCAAACCGCTTCCGACATTGAATCCGACAAGCTTTGATAAACATGCTGCATATCGATTTTCTCTTGCTTTCCAATGTGTCGTCAACATCGGTGTTCGCGGAAGCGAGCCAATACGAAGCAGAGTAGTCCAGGCCGGCACTCTGGAGGTTGTAGGGTGTATCCTTGAGGCCTGGTTAGTTCACAAAGGGTTCGCAATAGGGCCGAATGCTTCTGGGACGCCTGGCTCTGCAACCGGTTGGGGTTCTTACGGGAGAGAAAGCAGAGAGCAACGGCATGCTAGGAGGCAACAACAGAGACAGATGCTGAGAGATGTTGAAGAAGCAGCGGACCTAGCCAGAGCCTTGCAAAGGCAGATGAGCCACTCTGTCAGTCATGCTTTCATCTATTCTCCTTACGATGTTGACCCCTCAATAGGAAAATCCTGTCCACACGACCGGCACTGTATCATCCATAACAGAGGTTTATCAGGACACTCCCAATGAGGCGTCCGCGACTACCAGCCTCATCCACACCGGCACGTCAGCGTCCGGAATTGAGATTAGCGGTACAGATGACGATGAAGGACCAGTCGTCATACCCCCTGGAAGAGATCGAAGTGGAACTGTGGTGGCTCGAGCCAACTGGGATCCTATCGGTCAACAATGGCGGAACGTCGCTGCAAGTTTAGACACGGCACAATCTTCTCCTACTCCTTCTGTGTCTTCAAACGATCAATCACGACCATCTTCTCGCCCGCAGTCCGAAACCGAAGATGATGCCGATGTGGACATGGACGGCCCAATCCCTAATAGCGCGAGTACTAACGCTAGTGTTAGTGACATCGATGCCCCATCGCCCCGTACATCGAGGCCTCATCAGCGAACACATCGTCCTTCAATGAATAGACACACGCTGGTCGGCCTCGGTCTTGCAGGCGATCCGGTCCCACCTTTGAATATGACAATGGGTGGTCTGGCAGGGATCGGTCATGGAGATGCGCATATCATTATCAATGATTCGGCCGGTGGCGCTGACGGCCTAGGCACTATGGGTGACGTAGGCATGAACATGGGTTTAGGAGGGGGTATGGCTGGCGAGGACGGGATTGTCTCTCTGGAAATCGAAAACAACGATGATTTTGCGATGGGTGCACCCCCAGGTGCCCCAGGCGCTATACCTGCGGCAAATATGGGCGATGTCACTCTGGGACTCGATGGAGATCTCAGCATGAGCGAGACTGAAGATGGTTCTAGACCAGCTTCACGCGGTGAACATGTAGTTCCGGAAGGTCAAGTCAACCTTGAGATGGAGCGATCCGGTACTATTAGAAGAGTCCGTGCACCTGGGACCCCAGATGCAACACCAAGGGCAGGAGTGATTGGACTTCCGCCGTCTCCTTCGGCGGCATCGTCTGCAGGTTTGAACATTCCTTCATCATCACGATTGCCCTCCTCAGAATCGTCTACATCCTCTTCCCTTCCATCAACTTCGACTATGGGCTCTTCCTCTGCTTCACGTAGTAGCACTGTGCGAGGAATATCTGTGGGTGGAATTGATCTCTCTCGGGACTCGGATGAAAGGTGGGATGCGCCTGGAAGTAACGCAGACACCGCAGCCAGTTTGTCCGGAAGTGAGTCGCGATGGACTCAGGAACCTCTTGAAGGAGGGTCCCTGCATGCGGAGAACACTAGAAGAGAAAATGGTTATGAAGATCGCCAGAATACCCTTACCGTTGAAGGTTCCCGGAGAAGTACCAATACGCTAACAACACCCGGCACAGTACGGTCGACAGCGTCCAACATTTCCATTGCATCTACTGCTGCTACGGCGTCAACTACTACAACAACACATACACTTCCTCCGTCACCTTATCGAGATGAAGACGTTCTCCTGAGCCTTCAACTTCTTGCGTATCTTAGCAAATATCCACACGTCCGACAAGCCTTCTACAAAAAACGAGATAGTTTCCATCCTGCCAGTGCTGGTCCAATTGGGGGCCCTACTCCATCCATCCCCTCTACTTCTACTACGAATTCCACTCCAGGTCCCAGTAGAAGTGGTAAGGAGAAGGAACCAAACAAACTTTTAAAGGAATCTTCAGTGTTTTTCCGCGCATTCACTAGCGCTGCGACACGAGGAAAGGAGAAAGAACGAGTTAATGACAAATATCCTACCGCTTCTTCCTCTTCAAGCCCTACGGCTGCATCACCAGCCCCCAGACAGACCAACGTTTTTTCGTTGGTGGAACGTTTCACTTACCGACCTAGTTCTTCTGAACTTGCCGAGTACAATAGTAACGGCAGCCAGATGAATGTTCCTCCGCGGCTCCCGCCCGAAATCCAGTATTGGGCTGGAGTGATCATGCGTAATGCGTGTAGGAAAGATGATAGTCGCGGAGGAATTCGACAGTGTGCTAATAGTGAGTTGTCTATATTAATAGGAGTTCTCTTGTTGTGTACTCATATGTGTTTAGTGCTTTGTGGTCGATGGGAAGAATATCCACGAGAATTTGCAAAATGTCGTCGTTGTCGCAAGGCAAAATACTGCGGTAAAGAATGTCAGAGCACGGCATGGAGCGAGGGTCATAGGTTTTGGTGTAGCGCTAAAGATGCAGACGATGAGACTACGGCTGCTCCTGCGAGTGCCAGTACTGTAAATGCCGGAGAACCATCTCAAACGCCGCAACACCAACATGCCGCTAACGCAGGCGAACCGGATAGGAGGGAAAGAAGGGATCGCGAAAGAGACAGGCATGGCAGGGACCGAGTAGTCGGAGCGCATCGACCTCGGGGGCTCGAAGCCCTTGGAAGGCAAGCTAATGATGCCCCTATCTCTCCTACTGCAACAATATCAAGAGCTGCTGAAGCCATCGATAGAGGTTTTACGCTCTTCAACTTGCAACGGCCTTCACCAGGTCAAGTTGTACCTTCACAATCTCGAGCCCGTCCTGAACTTGCCTCGTATGGCAGCTCTGATGGATCGGAATTCGATGCTTCAGAGGGCGGTAGAAGGCGTTCTGAAACGGTTACTGGAGTCATGTCTGTTGGGTCTTCCACAGGGCGACCCGATTTAACGATCCCTCCATATGTACCTAATTCGACCCAGCGTAGTCATGGTACTCGCGGACAACAAGAACCGTCTACTTCTAGGCTTCACAGGTTACTTCCTACGCGGAATGATAATGCGGGACAGACTACGAGGTCAGGGAATGAGGAACACAATATGCTCTTAGGTTGAAGGAATATCACGCTTAATTTTATATTCGCTATCGTGCTGTCCGGTATCGCCTAGAGTATAAGTAGGGTATCCCTGTTCTTATTTCGATGAATGAACATGAACATTTGATATATATTACCATCGTCAAAGTTGGATCGGTCAAAGCTGGGAATATGAGTGAATTCCTGGAATGGGGATAACGTGACTCCAAAAGGCGGCCCGCCGCTCCTCAAGCCGAAATAAGCTTAGCGGAGCCACGCCCAAAACGTGCCTTTTCGCCGGTCCTTCCTGCCAGCCGGTATTTATGAAGGGAACGCGGAAAACAAATGTTCTTCATTACGAACCATAATGTTCCTGCCCAGAGTGACCGCCTCTGCGCGGTTGGTTAACTGCACCGTCGCTATCCGCATTGCTTCAGTCTCTCGTGCGCGCTTCATTTCCACCGTTGGCACCCCTCCTCAAGTGCCTAAACTTTGGGACTCGGCGGATGAGGCAGTCAAGGATGTAAAATCGGGCGACGTTCTGCTATGTGCAGGTCAGTAAAAGCATTTGGATTGACTCGCCCACGCTACTGATATCGGGTCATCTAGGATTCGGACTTGCGGGTATTCCTGGTAACTAATTCTCAGGTCTTCAATGTACTCGTCCCGTAATAAATCGATTCTTTGTGATCTAGACACCCTACTGGGGGCCCTGGCCAAGAGAAAGAATGAAGTTACTAATCTCGTGGGTGTCTCAAATAACGCAGGTGCTGGAGACTCAGGGTTAGGTGAGTTTTATGCTAGTTCATGGGAAAAGAAGTCCCATTCAATCGAATATATCCTGATACACCAATGGCTGTCGTGCTAACGCGTATCTGCAGGCAAGCTACTCAACACGGAGCAACTCGAGAAGATAATCGCGTCCTATCCTGGAGGGTCCGTGTTTGATAGCAAACGCACTCGATTGAGTTGCTCATTACCTGTTTAGGAACAAAAAGTTTGAAGCTCTTTACCTGCAAGGAAAGATTTCTCTTGAACTAGTTCCTCAAGGTACTCTCGCGGAGCGAATTCGCGCTCATGCTGCGGGTATACCCGCATTCTTCACTCCTACTGGAGCCTCTACTGCCGTAGAGGAAGGTACTATCCCCATTCGATACAATCCTGGCGGTGTCAGTGCCGGTATTGCCATTCCTGGTATCAAGAAAGAGACCAAAGTGATCAACGGTAAAAAGTTCGTCTTGGAACCCTCCATCGCCGGAGACGTTGCATTTGTTCATGCATGGAAGGTTGATGAGATTGGTAACTGTGTTTTCCGGTGAGTTGCATAATGATAGCTTGCGGAACTCATTTTCAACCACTTCCAGATACGGATCTCAGAATTTCAGCACGCCAATGGCTAAGAACGCCAAGCTGACCATTGTCGAGGTGCGCATGTGCTGCAAAATTGTGCTCTATCTTGCTCAGCTCCGTTCGTCAGGCTGAGGAAATAGTCCCTGTCGGTTCCATCTCCCCAAACGCTATTCATCTGCCTTCGGTATACGTTGACCGTATTGTCAAAGCAACCGTTCCTAAACATATTGAAATCGTCACTCTTTCTAAAGCGGGACAGGAGGAAATTTCGACTTCAAAGCTATCACCAGAGAAAGCCGCCGCTCAAGCTTTGCGTAACCGTATCGCTAAACGTGCTGCAAAGGAACTTCGTAATGGTTTCTATGTCAACCTTGGAATCGGCATGCCTACTTTGGTTCCAGAGCATCTTCCCAAGGACGTCAAGGTCTGGCTTCAAAGTGAGAATGGCATACTTGGAATGGGGCCTTATCCCACAAAGGAGCAACTGGATGCGTAGGTGTCGCTCGCTCGATGGTTGTGGTGTACACTCTGAATAATCCGACAGTGACTTAATTAATGCTGGCAAGGAAACAATCACTCTTCTTCCTGGTGCTTCCTGTTTCGGTATGTTGTACTTGAAAGATAACAGTGTTCAAGTTCCCACTATATGTTACAGACTCGAGCGAATCTTTTGCTATGATTCGCGGAGGGCACATTGACGTCGCTATCCTTGGTGTACGATCCTATCCATTATCTTTCGTTTCCAATCTCATGTCAACCATCCGCTTTTAGGCCATGGAAGTCTCATCGGCTGGTGACATCGCGAACTTTATGATTCCCGGTAAGATGGTCAAAGGTATTGGCGGGGCCATGGACCTCGTTTCCAACCCAGACAAGACTAAGGTCATCGTCGTCATGGAGCACTGCGCAAAAGACGGCTCGCACAAGATTTTAGAGAAATGCGCACTGCCGCTCACTGGCGCACGGACAGTCAGTACTATCATTACCGAATTGGCGGTGTTCAATGTCGACAGGCAAAACGGTGGTCTTACTCTTGTTGATATTGCTGAGGGTACCACGATTGATGATCTCAGGGCGAAGACTGGATGTGACTTCAAAGTCTCTGGGGACGTTGGTAACTTCTGACCACATTTACAATGTGGCTGAGTATGTAACTCTGGATCTCAATTTGTATAACTACCAACACTAAATTATTCCCTACAAGTCCCGACGAAGATTGTACATGGTGTTCAAGAAATAAGATCAGTATTTGCTTAGTCTAGCTCAGAGCAGTAAGTACAACAGATGTATGCTCGATCTCAATAACTAAGGGCTTGCCTGAGGTATAGCCCCGCGGGACTGGTAAGCGGTCCCTAATTCAGAAGAGGCTGAGCGTGGAGTGTCCTAGTAAGTGGGTAGGACACTGGAACGAAACAAGGAAGGAGGGGCGGGTTCACAAAAAGAAGCTGGAGACGATGAGCGCGCACTATACCTGCGCTGTTTGACCATACTTCCAAACTACAAGTTCAACCTTTTGGTTTTTCAGCAACCCAAATACTGTATCAGATTCAATGAGAAGATTTGAATTATACTAGGATTGAGAATAGTACTATGTAAAGTAGACCCAGTAAGATCCGAGTCTGAGAAATACTTTGGAGACTTTTTAGTTGAGAAATATATGATCATCATGTACTTAGTGACTCTTCCAGGCCTGGATAAGATAGCTTTGAGAAAGGAAGGTGAGTGCCTCGGAACGAGGCCCTTTTCCAGTGTGAGGATTATATGTTCAGATTTTAATGCGACGTGACAGGACGTGACGTATAGCCATTTCTTGCTTATGTGAGATTTTCTCATCTTCAATTGAATTTAAAAAGTAGTTATAATTACTATTTGACTCTTCTTGCCAGATAATTGGGATACTGCGACAGAGAGCTTGGACCCAGGACTCAGTCGACGTGGGATGGATATCGCAATGTCCGCACATCCCTTCTTAGGATGCCCGCCGCAAACCCCTCCCGAAATTCAGGACCTTGTACACAACGAAGAAAAGCGCACTCAAGCCAGCGTAAGTAGAAGTGAGGCATCAGAGAAGGTCCTTGCTTCGCGCGACTTACACGCGTTACAAAATGTCGCGTCTATGGTGATGCAGAAAAAGGCGAAGGAAGTGTGTCTTATCGGTCAAGGTATTATCAACAAACATGGAACCTTTTGAAGACTGATAATTCCTCGCCTAGGTGGCTTCAACCAGGCATGATTGAGTCTCATTTTGCTGTTGCTTACATCGAGGTAAATCATTGTCTGGAATCTTGACCAGGTCTTTGCAATTATCTTCGAAGACGGAACTGACATCGTTGCGCGCATCAATGGTAGCCGCGCCTTACAAGATTCAGACAAGCCGCGAGCCGAAATAGTACGCCGCATCCGAAGTGAAGTAAGTTTGCGTTGAATTCTGTGAAGATGAACAGCTTATATACGACCAGTTCGCGACAATTAGATACATACAGGCAAATACGACGATTCCAGTCCCCGAGATCATCTTCCTAGAAAACGACTTCGACAACGACGTCGGTGCGCCGTACAGTCTGCAGAAACGTGTAAGTCTTTGTCGTATTCTTACCGATAGATGTACTTCAATCATTGCGTACAGATCATTGGACGCATGATTTCTGACATATGGCCTAGCAAGTTCAATCCTTCTTGCATGAATGGCGAACAAGCTATCTGCGCAATCGAGCAAGTTGCAGATTTTGAATGTCAGCTATCGCGATTTTCCAACTTTGATTCCATCGGAAGCCTCGAATACGACGAAGTCAAAAATGAATTCCGTGTCGGGCCAGTCACACCATTACAGAAATTGTCGACTCTTCCTGGATTCTATCCCGGTCCTTGGAAATCCTCAATCGAGTATCTCCGCTCTTTGATATCTACACATAAAGCCACTCTACAACAATCAGACTGGTTGGAAAACCGTCGCGCCTTCTTCACGTATATGAACAAGGCTAATAGTCCAAAAATTGAGGATATTGATATGGAGGCTCGCTCTGATCATACACACTTTATAACCTGGTACAATATGTTGGAGGCCAACCTGGACCATTTGGATCTTAGTCCATTTGATCCACCGCATTACCCATTTGTCTTGTTACATGAAGATTTGAATATTGGTAATGTCATGGTGGATTACGAGGACCCCACAAAAGTAGTTGCAGTCATTGACTGGGAGGGGAGCCGCGTAGTTCCGTTTTGGGTTGGTAACTTCTATAGTAGCTTTCTCAACGAGTCCGACTACAGCAATGATCCTAAGGAGCAAGAAATCTATTGTCGAATGGTAGAGACTCGTGATGAAACCAGGAAGAAAAATCTTGATCCATCTCTCTGGAATGAGAACACCATTCCGGTATTGCGCAGCTTATTCAACCTGTATCAACTTGTTTCATTGCCGCCCACTTGTATTCCTGTGCCTCTCTTCAGTACATTGCTACAGAATTTTTTAGCAAGTCGCCCCCAGGACGAGGTTGACATGTTCCGTCCCATGTTAGAACTTGGTTTGGGTAAGGGTCATTTTCATGCATATGTTTCCTGGGTCTTGATTTTTGCAACAGGACATGCAAATGAAGCCTCAAAAGCAATGGCTCGTCGTTTTGGTGGTTAATGATGTCGATATCATTCTACCCTATTCTACCTCATCATGGGCTATCACAGGTTCGCGCACTTTGCATAACTATAGAGCTACTTGTAGGTATTGTATCATGCAAAGGAACAGTTCGATTCGACATGATGGTTGAGCAGGATGCACTTGCATGTTCTTCAATATTGTGCACCTGTCATCATGTCACCTTCATTGAGCAGAAGAATATTGCCAACCTTAAGAAATTTGTGGGTCAGTTACCCACAACAATTCAAATAACTCCATCGCTCCGGATTGCACACTGCCCAAAATCAATTTTCTCGAGTCCTTCTTCCTTCGGGAGTATATCCTATAGTCACATTTCGTGAGTTTGAGCTCGATATAGATATACTGTCATTCTCGACACTTACGTGCTCAAATATTCCTAGAGGCAAAGCCAATGTGACGCAAGCATTGGGAGAGTCCTGATATAGTGCCATCAGGATGAAGGCGGGGGTGTTGATAAATACCAACATACGACAATGGCTCCTACGTGACTCTCAACTGGGGCAGCGGAGAGTAAGAGATCTGTGGGAAAATAAACTGCTAGGTCTCCACTAAGAAAAAAACCGCTCACAGGCTTGTTCACGAGCTTGGTGGATAGGAAATTAGGATGAGATCCTTAATGATTTTACAGAAGACTCACTATAGCCGATCTTATAAGGTACCAATCTTAGGATTAGTGGATGGATGGACTTCCTAGTGAGCCCAACAAACCTTCATCAAATAAGCAATCGCATTTAAGGCTGCCTGTTTGTAGGCCACCGTACTGCGAACCAATATATTAGAGCCAGGTGTAACCGGGATTCAACCTCGTGAAAGCTCACGCGTCCATGTTGTATTGCTTTCCATCGCCATCTATGAGCGTCTACTCAGCAAAACTCATCACAAAGAGCAGGAGACAACGTACGATAATCAACGCTTATCCCTTCGAAAATCAGCTAACATTCCCAATAGGATGTAAGTACACATATGCACCACAATGACGACGTTGAGCACACCTTAGCCGAGTACATAGGGTCAACGGGCGATGGCTATTGAGAACCGTGAGTATTACTATATATTGTACTATCTTGTCGAGCTGACCAGGAATATGGGCTGTTTCAACGCGAATTTCTCCACGCCTCCTTTGATGATACTAGTACTGAACGTGATGATTCCTGCCTGAATGCCTTGTCAGCCTTCATTGTCAAACAAAATGCATTCGCATCACCATCTCGATGGCACCGCAGAACGAGATCTACAATATGGGGGATTAATACTCTTCACATGAAAGGGGCGGTGCTTGCAATACCTCGCCCTTGATTATCAAGTCATTAGATACCAAGGCTATGTGAAGGATGAAATACACTCACATCTCCTTGGGAAAAGTGTAGGTCCCCAACGGATAGATTTGCACCTGGAATGAACACTGGGAAGTAACATCGTGAGCCTCTGTAAATATATTGATTTCAGGTTAGAACAGCTGTCTTCAACCAATAGCGGGACGGGACCTCGAAAGGTTCTTGATCTATCAATTTAGTACTTTAAGTGAGCTTTACATTCAAGAACTATTCAATATGCTCACATCACAATTTCCGCCGTGTTCTCTACCAGGAATAGTCCTCGCACCTTCAGTCTTGATCTTCTCCAAAAGTTCTGGATCGAGATCCTGGCCGATATAGGCACCTTTGAATTCCGGAGCAAACGCCAAAGCTGGTACTGCGTGAGGGTCTTGAGCGATAAGGCCTCTCTCACGTTCATTCCAAGTTGCAAGAAGCTCTGCTGACGGGGCGGTCCCAATAAGACCAGGGTGAGAAACTCCAGCAAAGCGAACTCCTGGAATATGCCTAGATGTGGCATAGATTCCTGTTTGAGGATGTAGTCAATGTACAGGAACTGAGGCGTCTCTATCCTCACCTTTGAAATCCCAGATGGCCTTGGCGGCTTTGCTGTTAAATTCCTTAGCTACAAGGAACTCAGAAATTGATCCATATAAAAAGGAATGGAAGACAATTACCAAAAAGACCACCGCCGTTTTCAAGCTCGAATATCCCCTGTTCTATTTGTGAGTGTCTAGATCACATTATTGCTGGAAGAGCGACAGACCGTATATCCCCACGGCATCTTCTCAAAGGGAGTCACTGTTCAGAATGAGCTATCGATTCTGGATGAAGCACAGGTTGTTTACCATCCAGTATGTCAACCACCAAGCAATCTCCAGGTTCTGCTCCCTCAATAGCAATTGGGCCGGAAAGATTGTGGATTTTCGTCAGATCGATACTCCTGATATCATCGCTGTCTGTAGGAAATATGTAGAGTGAATGTGTCTGCTTTCATCTATGTATAGGTGCTTACAGTCGTTGTTACCGATCTGAGCTCCAGTCCAATCTATATACATCGAGAATAAATCGAGAAATTGATTTGTATCAAATAAGTCAGACTGACCAACGCATTGGATTTTGAACACCTGTATCAAGTGTCAATTCAGTGTTCTTCACTCAAAATATTCTAGGTCTGGAAGAACTTGCTTGTCCTGGTTTGACGGTTGCATATGCTGGGATATCAGGACTGGGAAATTATAGTCAGTCCATATAACAATCGAGGTTGAAAGCGAGCGCACTGCCAGCGATTATGGAGGCCCTTCAATGTAGCATCAATACCCCAGCTCATATCATAGTTCGAGTACATACTTTCTGTTGATCGGCTGGTCTGAATTTCGAGGGACGTGCTTCAAAGTTCTATGCGCGTGGGACACGGACCACTACAACTTACATAAACGGATCCACCTGACGAAGACTGTAAGAATCGATACCGAAGAGTATTTTGAACTACACACCTCCACGAGAGTAGGATGTGGCACAGAGTTTGCTTGCGTCGCCATTCAGTGTGAGGAATACCTACAAGTTCTCGTAAAATGACTGAGTGAAAGGCTTTTTATACCATGACATGATAAGGACTCCCGAGGTTCCCAGCGATGTCGAGTGACCACACGTTCATTAGACATGATAGTTCATACTAGATAAGGACTGTAATTTATTACTGCAAAAAGAAGGTGATGGTAGGTAATAGGAAGAACAGGTGACGACGCTCCAAAACATATAAAATGGTTCAGCCCGGGGTCGAACCGGGGACCTTGTGTGTGTGAGACACAAATCATAACCGCTAGACCACTGAACCCGATGATTATTCAAGTTTAGGTGGATCTTTGACATCTTACACTCTTTTACGGTACTAGGTGCTACATAGTACATACACGCCTACTAGGTTCAAGAAGAAGTCCAAGCGGTAACAGTTTCGGCGAATCCATTGATGTTGTCTTTCCGGAGCGCAACACCTTTTTGGTTGACAGAAATGGGATACTGAACACCAACAGTCGAAACCGAGATTAGCTGAATGCTTGATTCGCTATCGATGTCAGTAATTTGAGACTGGCAGGCTACCTTGTCATGGCTGCAGCTGTTCACGTAGTTATTGAAGAAGCTGTAAAATCCGGCGCCTGCATAAGACAGATAAGGGTCCAACCTGTTGGTCAAACCATGCATGATATAGAGCACCCACCAAGAACAACTATATTTTTGGATCTGGCTACGCTGATAGACCAAGCAGATTTGAGATCATCTGGGAATTTTGGATCTGCAAAAGCCTCGCTAAGAGAGAAAGGGTACGGTGCGGCCGGTTTAGGTTGGCTTAATGAATGCCTCAGAAAAGAGAAAAAAGAAGATTGTAACATCGACTTACTGGTATGGCTAGACAGAAGGAATTGAGAGTATTGAGATGAGATCCAGATAGAAGTCATAACTTACGCTCTCTGTTTGTACCAGACCAAGGTAATGGTTCTTCGCGTTGACCAAACGATACTGATAAATGACATGGTGCTCCGCTAAATTGAGAAATTTGGGTTTGAGTTATCTGATATTATGTTTGTCTTTTACTAACATGCTAAGCATTGTTCAGATCTCGGAGTGGATCGTTTTGAAAAAAAGCACATACAGGTCCCAAGCATCCATACAGGTCCCAATGACTGGGAAAGAACACCCCGTCCAGCGTATATTTCCAACTGCGAGACACCGTCCTCATCTAACGTATGATCTATCGATAGGACGTCAGACATTGATAAGTGTGCAACAAGTTGCTTTCCTCACTCCTCACCTGCAACCCATATCCAGCTAAAAGGAAGGTGCGTTTTGAACTCTGAGAACTTCAAAGATGTCCTACTCACGTGGACTGTATAAACGGTGAAATGCATCAATGGTGATATGGAATCAAGCTAATGTGCCTACCTCCAAGTACGCAGTGGCCTTTTCAGTGATGTGAAGGGATAAAAAGACCGAAGTACAGGCTTTGGCATTGCCCTTCTTAGGGGGACATTCCTTCGGCCCCAATTCAGTTCCAGCAGCTCAGGGAAAATCAGTCCCTAGTATAAATTGTATGGTAGCAGTAGCATACCTCCCCCGATCCTAGGAATATCAGGTCAGCCAAGGCCCGATGATAACAGAGAGGCACACACCGGAAATGAGTATCCCACATGCCAGCACCAGCGGGTGTACCTTCGGGGTCTCTAACGTTCCACTCAACCAAGATCGCGCCGGGAGCTTCCAGATGAATTTGAGAGGAAGCAAAGACTGAATATATACCAATATGTGCTGACCTGCTCCTTTGGTAGAGAAAAGGATGTCCGTGATTTCCACTACTCCTTGAGATCCCTCTTCTCCAACCCGAACAACGACCTGTGGGTTTTCCTGGTTTGCGAAATACGATCCTGTTGCAGAAATTGTGGACCAAACTTCTCCAGTCAGGCGAGTTCCGGCAGGTATTAACAGTGTTGTAGTGATCAAATAGACGCCTGCGTCGAGGAAAATGATCTTCCTGTTAGCAGACTAGTACGACGAAATGAATATGCATAAGGACGTTGTCTTCCGAAAAACTTGACACGTACCTCATTTAGTAGAGTTTGCAGTGCTTTTGTATCATCCGTCTAGGTTTTTCATCTTGAGTAATTCTAAGGGGATGATGATCGGAAAAACAACTGACCTTCCCATCTCCTTTGGCTCCGTTATCCTTTGCACTGACGATTTGATCCAAAGAGTAGTCTTCATACTGAGGACGGCCTTTGCTGAAAATTCTGCCATCGCCGTCAAGTAAAGACTCGGAGATTCGAGGAATCTCAATGTTGCCTTGCATGTATTCGAAGCTTGGACTAGAACCCTTATAGACGTTTCCTTGTCCCCAAGCTGCAATATTCATTGAACCAGAAGTACCCGCGAGGAGAGGTTTGGTCTGGTTGATTGCGCTGACAGCGACCGACACATTATTGAGCTGCGCATTGATTAATACAAGCGAACCACTGAGATGCTTGTTGTTAGTGTTTGATGAACGAACAAAGTAGGGTGTGTTATTGACTACTGCATCAATTATCGTTTCAGAAGCAACACTCTGGATGAAATGGATTAGCACTGTTGGATTTCCACATGTGAGAAGACCGACTTGTGTGGCAGACGTTGTCCCCCCAGTGAGGAGATCGAATCCGACCTATGCCATATGAGCCAGTCGGCATCCTACAGCTTTTCAAACCTTACCCCGCAGTTATTTATGGTTATCCCTTGGAATGTCCAGCCTCAGAGAGATATAAATTTCAGCAGCATCTTCAAGCCATAGGGAACTTTAACTCACCCCAGTTCCAAATTCCGAAGACTGCAGTTTTGCAGTTGTTCATAGTAACGTTCTGGACAGTGAACCTATTTGAGTCATCAAGATCAGAAACGATCATCGAAAAACTATGTAGAGCGTACTGTTGATTCCCAACCCACATACCGAATTTGCCACCGTAAAACGTGAGGTCAGACATAAAACCTCCACTGGTTCGTTGTTGAGGCGTGATAAACAGACACGTAAGAAGTGCTCTACCTTCCATTCTCCATCCAAATGCCTTGATGTGCCGTATCAAGATCTTCGGACATGTAAAATTTGATGTTCTGCAAACTGGTGGCCTGAGCCACTTGCCAGTGAATTCCAGTTCCTTGAGACAATGACGCAGGTATCCTGATCGTGAATAAGTGATTGTCGAGGTTATAATAGGCTTGAAGGTCAGGCTTACCTGCGAACATCGATGATGAAATTTTTCACTGTCCGGTAACTAGACAGCTTTAGTTTCATTTTAATACGATGATTTCGTGCTCACAAGTTATTTTGGTTAGTAAACCTGATGTTTGTTTTAGCTTTCACGAACAAGGTAGAGACACTACTTATACTTACCATTGGGCGCCTCCTCCACCAGGGATGTATGGATCCGCATCTAGAGTCGAGTAAGAAGGACTAGTTAGCTCGATTGAGCTCATGCTTACCTATCACCGCCATGTCACGGAAAGATTCATCAGCCAACAAAGTTGGAGGGTCCCTAGCATCTCCAAGCAACTGTGTCATGTAGTATGGCGTGATAGCCTTTTTCAAAAGGTAAACGCTGAGAAGGGAGAGGATTGGATTGTACATATGACGAAAAGCTATCATGACTTGTTGCTCACCCTCTGGGAACATACACAACGGCTCCAGTTGTTCTACACAGCATCATGAGTCTAAATGAAAGCGTTCGAGGAAAAAACAGACCGCGACGTACGTGGACGACTGACAAGTTCCACCACCACAGCGTCCACCATCAGAAATAGCGAGACTAGGAAATTTAGAACAATTCAAAGATATATTTAGTATGGAATAGAGCTTCCACATACTTGAATGCTGCACTATCATCAGTGACACCGTCACCCTTGGCCCCATAGTCCTTGACGCTGCGGTATACGGCGTAGGTGGTATTTAGGTTGAATGGCGATGTTCCCTGGTGTTTTATGAGTTCACGCCAGTAGGGAGCGCCTGATGGAGCTGTCCCAGGACCTAGAAAATCCATCTGGGTACTCTGACTGACATTGGACACAGGGTCGGCCAGCATCGATATTTGATTGATTAGATGAGGGCGAGAGTTTGATTGTTCAATTTGACTTGGATTATCGTTCGTTGAAACTTGAAAATGGTCAACGTCCATAGTGAACGTGACCCTTCTTGTTCCGCGATAAGATAGACTCCGTGGAGGCGGGCTTATCTCAGATTTCAGATCTGAAAGCGATAAAAACCCGAGCACTAGCCTTTCATTGACATCGCCCACCTATTCTCCCTTATATTTAGCGCACTGATACACCTGGAGTTCTTGTCTTGCTCATTCGTTCGCTCCCATCCAAACCCTCGTATTCTGATACAACCTGATATAATACCTCACTTATAACCATCACTTTAACTAGAGAGCCGCTGTCTGCGTCGGCGGGACGTTAGAACATTGAACGATAAAAATACAGCTCAGCAGGAAACCTCCTTGGAAACAGATCCAGACTTTCTACAATATGGATCCCTTGATATCGTTCTATGTCACGTAGGTATTGTCCCGCAATGAGATATGCAGTGTATTAAGGGTATACGAGGAGATACATGAGATGTATGAGGGTTATGAGAATGAGGGATTAACTGGATTGGTTACTTGATACTGAGCGAGAGAAGTTGGTCGGGCGTATAAGTAACAAGGGAGAATGCAAAACGAAACAGATGTCGATGTCCTGAAAATAGTCAAGTTCAATAAAGTAAAAGAGAGCGATAAGAGCGAAGTAATGACAAGGAGAACAGATAAGTGAGAGAATTGAAAGAAATAGAACTTTAATGTTTAGAGTCTGCAACGGCTTCTTTAACACTACTGACCGAACCTTTCTTCTTCTTCCCCAATCCTAGCTTCTTTAGTCCTGCAAGCCCACTTCTTGTTTTCTTGTGTTTTTTCTCCTTGGAAGGACTAGATTCTGAAGCCACTGACGTTGTAGAAGCCAATGATGCAACATCTGCGTCGACATCTGCTTCATCCAATATGATCTCCTCTTTTGCCAACTCTGCGACGTCACCAGATGAGCCGCCCCCGCCGACTAACCGAATAGTAACGTCTGGATCAATGGCATCCTCTGTGTCATCGACACGTTCTTCAGGTAATGGGGCGCTGTCAGAAGACGCATCGATAAGGGATTCAGGGTTAGGTGTTTCATGTTTAACAGCTTCAATTGAGTCTGGCGATGAGAGCGCTGCCGCTTGAATGATGGGAGTTGTTTCTAACACTGAATCAGAATCGGCCAAAAGGTCCTCAGGTGGCGGTGAAGGAGGTGATGTGACAGTTATTGCAGCATCGACTGGGGAGACACGGCGTGAAACAGCAATATTATCCGTAGGGAATTCCGACATGTTTCTTGCGCGACCGGATTCCAAATCCTCATCGAAAGAAGAGTGTCTAGAATCGGGAGGAGAAGGAAGAGCTACGATGTCGCGCGGCGTAGGAAGTTCCACGGGTAGTGGCAGAGGAGGTTTCGTAATGTGGATGGTCGGAAGATTTGGAGGTCTCCGACTGTTCATCGCCGTCGGACTCGTCAAATTGGCCGGTGGAGCAACCGAGCCCGGACGCAGATCTGTGGCCTCGACGCTGTCAACATCGTCAAGAACAGGAATTGGAACTTCTGCAGCAGCACCCTGCGATAAATGCAACGACGGGACTTTTTCTGCCTCCTATAAGTAATGTCGTTAGCAATACCACCTGCCGGAAGAGAAAAGCAACCTACTTTGCCTTTCTTTTCGTCCACAGTATCTTTAATGACGCCGGCCTCATACCACTTTCTAACACTCTTATCCGCCCAAGCTTCAAGTACACTCCATCCTTTATATTCTCCAGTAAGTCGAAGACCTCCTCCCAATCCATTATCACCACCTCCGTCTCCGGAACCACTCCCATCATTATAATAGCTGGCATACCCAACATCATCTTCGTCATCTGAATTATCCTCGCCCTTCCCAATCTCGAAGCCCTCGCCGCTTTCCAATTCCTCTACAAAACTAGCTAACCACCTAGCCCACCCTGCTGGACCATCACCATTGAACAAGACGACTTTGGTGTCAAAGTCGCGACCAAACACTATGACCTGACCGCTTGTACCACTATCATCTGGATTGAGATCTATTCCAACATAGTTGCCTGTTTTGTCTGCTACAAGAGGGATCCAACCGCGTTGAGAATATTCTCGACGAATCCACTTTGGAGGTATTGATTGCATAGCGTCGCGAAGTTGAGCGTTAGCACCTGTATTTGGGTCGTCGTCGACTTCTCTCCAGAACCGCCACTCCTCGAGAACGTCCTCCAACGGGAGTAAGAAAAGACCAAAGAATAAACCTTCTGCGCAGCCAGCTGCTGACTCTGCTTCCTGACCATCTACAACAAGATAAGATTCTCGGACGACTGCAGGAAGCGGAAATCCGAATTGCAATTCTATCTGAGCGAGGTCCTGCGGAAGAATTCCATAATTAAGTGTGTCGCCAAGTTCTGGGTACTCTCGAGTAAGCCAGGCTCGCAAACGGTTCCAAGTTTGCGTTAGCGGAGGATATGCGGAGCGTGGTAGGATGGGTGTATGGAATTGGTCGTGATGAGTGGGCAGAAGAGAATTTGGACGAGAATTTGTGCTAGAAAATGAATGAGAAAGATTGAAAGGGACGGCCAATGGTCGAAGTACACCTACAATGTAGAGGCATAGCTATACGCTGCAGGACTTGGTGGAGGATAGGTATAAGAGGCACTACGGGAAGTATCTGGAGTATTGAGTACGTCTGGAGTGAAAGCGTCCGAATGAGAAGCAAAGATTGGAGATGACGTTGGTATTGAGAAAGCTTCGTGAGTCGAGCTCATTGCCTGGCCTCTCCTCGAGCTTTGAGAAGAGCCCTGGGAGAATAACGAGGAGAACCAGTTCATCGCGGTAAACGGCGCGGTGGACTTGGTCGTGGACGTATTTAAGAGCAAAGAGGCCCAACTGGCTCCAAATCAGGCATACAAATTATGTAATTCCGGAGTCCTGGTCCATCATCCTCTCATTCTTTGAGTCTTCTTGCTGCCAATATTTTCTACTCTGAGTGTAGCATCTTAGATATATAGATGAACATTGCCTCTTCAGAGACGGCCAGCAAACTTACTTAGTCCTATGTGTAGAATGGCATATATACTACACTGTTCAAGTCCACCTACGATAGGATGTTTAATGTGATCATAAAGCCCTACTCATGCTGTCTCCCGTTGCTGGACGCATTTCATTATGATATCAAAACAGCATCACCGTCATTAGCATCCTTTGTGGTTTACGAGGAGGCGCACTATGAGCGTATCCTTGATGCAACATACCAGTCAAGCCCCTGAGTTCATTTTCCTTATCTTTTGTGTTGTTCTTCCATTACTCGTTATCGTTGCACGAGCAGCCCTTGCGGTCGCGCAATGAGTAAACATAAAACTTCTACGAGCAACGTGTTCGTGCGAGCAATAGGCAGCGAATGGCTGAATGTCACTTGGGGCCTTGCGAAAGTAAAGGATATGTTGTCTGTCTCTGCCTATATATGTAGTTCTCCTAACGAGTTGATGAATCTAGAATTATATGGTAAAGTTCTGATCAGCTAGAATACGTCTGTGACAGAAGAGGTTAAGGTCTGCAATGGAAAAAAGATCAACAGTGCTTGACCGGCTAAAGATTCTCGGGTGGATGGAACGAAGGGATAGACAAAGACGTGCGACTGAGCATAGGCCATATAGGTACTGATCTATAAAATACTCAAAGCGATTCAACCTTCAGTATCGAACGATCGCGTCGAGCGAAAGACTTGCGCCGATTTGTGTAACGAATGGTTCAACGATGATCATGTTGCGCTGGATATTGGCAAAATCGGCGGCACGGTTCCATTGTCCATTATTGCATTACACAGTCCTTCTATCCGTCATCGTTCTCACAATACATCCTGTCCCTGCTATTTCTGTGAGCTTCAAGCGAATGTATATCTCTTAAGCTTTGATCGATGCGTAGTAGCCGTAACAACAAATCACCTTTTCATGCCAGCTAAGGAGAACGCTCGCGTTCGAATCGGCCCATCCTGACATAGCCATACCCTTGTACAAGTATTTCATGAGGGTGTCCTGCGAGTCCATGGAAAGAGATTTGATAACGGCGGGTATCTCGGTGGATTTAGTAGAGTTCAAGACGGTGAGTAGGGATTGCAAAGACATGGTCTGAAGAAAAGATGGGCGATCTTTAATGAGAATATCGTTATATATATATATATATGCCCCAGCACCTTAGCGTCTTCAACATTTGGACCGTAGGGCGCGTTTTCGAGAATAGCTGTCAGCGCTCCAGCAATATCATTCCTTAGGTATTCTAACCGTCAACGAATGAAGATTTTCAGAAGTGGACACATACTCACTTTGCCAGTAAACTCCTCACAGAAGCCTGCCTTGCCCTCGCGTCTCCTAACACCTGTGCAGGATCGCGAGAGTCAGCCTCGTACAGCTCTGAGTCTTGAAGAGCGTCTTCATCGTAGACGTCGATATCGATCTTTCGGAAAGCTACATCCATGATAATAAGTTGAATGGCAAAGTCTGTGTGGCTACGTAATCAGAGCGCTTAAACTTGCTGTGCACTGCCACATGTTCGTGATCAGCGGTTGAAATTCCGACCAGACGCGTTAACTTTTTGCATCGTACAACCGCGACGACTGGGCTCACACTATTGAGGGCATGAACAAAATTCTCTACTTTATTCTCCATCCTTTTCTCTCCTTTAACCTCTGGTCAGATGAACATCGCGAGGACGAAGGCATCGATGTCTTCTACGCGCTTTTCCTTTGTGTTGTTGCTGGAATTTGGCTGGTAGTACAACGAGAGAGAAGGTCCAAGAACAGTCCAATTCCATTCCATTTCTCAACTCCGAAAGTACGATGTCCAAGCTATGTATATGACCCTGTGCTGAAAGTTTATGCGACTAGGAAGCTGATCCGAATTGGTCTTCCGTCAAGATTGAGAGACCAACATTGGAATCTCACCTAGAGGATGAAAACATTCAGCCTATGATGCTTCCGGACAGGCGCTATATTACTTGCTTTGATCCAAGCAACGGTCTTCATATTGCAACAGTCCTCGCAGATAACGACGCAGAAATTGCGGCCAAAATCCAAAAGGCTCTTACGGCACAGAAGGAGTGGATGTACACAGACTTTGTTCAGAGGAGACGTGTCATTCGGAGCTTGAAAAAGTGGATGGTGGAAAATCAGGATCTTTGTGCAAGAGTAGCTTGTCGGGATACCGGAAAGACGCGTAAGTGGTTGTTGTAGAATCGTAGACTGTGCGCTCACACAATGAATAGTTATTGATGCGGCGTTGGGAGAAATACTCGTTACTTGCTGCAAGATGGAATGGTTGATTGACCATGGTGAAGAGGCTTTGAGACCGGAGTCCAGGAAATCCAACTTCATCCAGTTTTATAAAAAGTCGGAAGTGCACTACGATCCTCTCGGTGTCGTTGCAGCAATAGTGTCATGGAACTACCGTGAGTTTTCCTAATTCAAGACCGATTCTTACTTCTCATACATGAGTCATAGCTCTTCATAACGCTTGGTCCCCAATTCTTGCATCTATATTCGCTGGAAATGGTGTAGTGCTCAAATGTTCTGAAAACGTGATATGGTCTACAAGCTGGTTCGTTAACATCATCAAGAACTCCCTTGAAGCTTGCGGCCATGATCCAGAACTTGTACAGGTTTGTAATTCTCCGAGGTTCTATAGGCTAGTCTTACGTTTTTATGACAGCTCGTTTGCTGCTGGCCAGAACAAGCGGCAGCTTTAACTAAATCGCCGCACATTAAGCATATCACTTTTATTGGCTCGGAAACCGTTGGGCGGCAGGTACGTAAATTATATCGTGGTATTGAAAAACTTTCCACTCATATCGACATAGATTGCCATAGATGCTACAGAACACTTGACCCCCGTTACCCTAGAGTTAGGCGGAAAAGATCCTGCTGTCATTCTTCCGAACACAAACCTGAAGCAATGGATCAGCACTTGGATGCGAGGCATTTTGTAAGTAAGATTTCCTCGTACTTCGATCCTTCTTTCATGCTCACTCGTCATTGCAGCCAAAACTCTGGTCAGAACTGTATTGGTATAGAGAAACTTATCGTCCATGTCGACCAATACGACGACTTGTATGACATGCTCAAAGAACGAATTGAGAAGCTTCGCTGCGGTTCTGTAACGCTGCCTTCAGATCAGGGATACTTATCCCCTGTCGACGTTGGCGCAATGATTTCTGACAATCGGTTTGATGCTCTAGAGGCACTTATTAAGCAAGCTGAGGAGGACGGTGCCAAGATTGTCAACGGAGAGCGATATCACCATGTCTACCATGATCAAGGAACGTATTTCCTGCCCACTTTGGTCGGACTCACCAAGAACTCTGCGGCGATTGCACAGCAAGAACGTAAGCCTATATGCGATTTCTGCCATTCTTGTTACTAAATTGAAACCAGTTTTTGCGCCCATCGCTCTCGTCATGGGATACGAGACGGTCGAGGAGGCTGTCAACCTAGCTAACGGAACGCGGTATGGACTGGGAGCAAGTGTGTTTGGTCCCGACCAAAAACAATGTCTCGAAGTCGCTGAGGCACTCGATTGCGGAATGGTTGCTGTGAACGACTTCGCAGTGTTTTATGTGAGTTGATGTTTTTGCCAGACCAGGGGTGTTTTCATTGAAGTGCTGCTTGTGTAGATGAAGTGAGTAGCATCGTGCAGGTGCGAAATCAATGATTTCATGCTAACTTCTCTCAAAGCCAAGACCTGCCGTTCGGGGGCACTAAGGCAAGCGGATACGGGCGATTCGGTACGTTCTTCGTCTGCATATGAGGCTGTATCACTGATATCTTTTCTTTAGGTGGTCCTGAAGGCCTTCGCTCCTTGACCAACCCGAAAGTCATAGTGTACGATTGGTGGCCTGGTTTAATTCAAACTTCGATACCGAAGGTATTGGACTATCCCATCCGGTCGTTGGGAACCAGCTTGTGCGTCCCGCTTCCCTTTATCGAGCGTAGAATACTCATTAACTGTGAATGCAGCGAATTCACTTCAGGGTTGATACGCTTCTTTTACGCCGACACATGGAGAGCACGGATACAGGGTCTCATTACTTTAATACAAGCTCAGAGGAAATAGGTTATACGTATCTATCAACTCACTTTTCATTGCGAATCTAATTTTTTTTTGACTACGAGGATGAACCAGCATGACATTGGGGTGATAGTTACTACTATATATTGATACAACTCGAGAAAAAATGTATAGTACTTTTACAGTGGTCGGAACATGGGAAGAGATGCTATTAGTATACATATGCTACATTCATGATTTGGGAAACTGAAATTATCTGTACGACCCCACATCTTTACAACCCGGAACTCTCTTCTTCGATGAAGCTCCAACTGCCGAAATTCAAAGAGTCACCGTTCGGGGATGGGATTGGACCAAGTGAGTTGAAGTCCAACTCACCCGGCCTCGAAGAATCATACAAAAAAGGCGGGATGGAACCAGGATAGGCAGATGTACCATCCACATAGCTTTGTTCAGGGTAGTTCGTCCCATGTTCCGAAGGAGAAGGAAGGAGCGGTGATAAGAACGGTAGCTCCGACGAAGTACCTTCGTTAGTCAGGCGGATGAACGAAGGAGGCTGACGAAGAGGGTTTAGAGATTGCGGACACATATCGCTTTCCCTGAAGGAAGTGGTAGTAGGAGTCTGAAAATGAACATTAGCAAACGCAGAAAAAAGGAAAGTAAGGATATTGACGCACAATGTCTAGACCACTAAAACCTGCGCAAAGGGCATTGTCGTCCAAAGGCGAGGAGGAAGACACAGAATAGGATGGGGCGAATGAAGTTGATGGTGCATCAAAAGAGGAGGCGGAAGATGTAACAGATCCATCACAAGACGAATTGGAAGATGTGGAGGACGGCCTGGGGAATGGATAATCGTTCATGAAGAATCCGCTGAAGCTGTAAGGCTGGTTTTCAGAGTAATGAGGATAGGAAGGGTTTGGGAAGATGGGAGGCAGACTGCCATCACTAACACTGCTAGAGGGTGAAGCCGTGAGGGAGGATGGAGGTGAGGAGGTGAATGCAAAAGAGGGATCGTTAAATAACGATTCGAGAGTCGGGTCAGGCTCGCTTCTGGGGAGGCTATGTGCCTTTTGCTTGGGCTTCCTGCGACGCGAAGGAGCCACTGCAGGTCCGTATATCTGAGTCCATTTCTCTCTGAGTTCCCGAACGCGATTTTTATCCGCCACAGCTGACTGTTGGCCATCTTTCTTCATTTTGCGGGAAGACCCTCGCGCGGCGGGGGTAAATTTGTAGTGAGGGTATTTGAGCTGGTGTTCCCTCAATTGCTTAGCTGCTTCGTTATGCCAAACCTGTTTCTCCTCGGGCGACAACAGATTCCAACACTCGCCAGCTACTTTGCTCAACTGCTGTTGGCGTTTTTCTGCCGTCTGCGGTATCGCTTTTGTCCTCAGCATATTCGAGCGAAAAAGCATGAACGCATTCGGAGGACGGGGGATGCGCGGCCTAACTTCGTGAGCAGGAGATACGACTTCCGATCGGGTTGAGGTAGCAAAAGAATATGTGTCTGACTGAGACCTGTAGTGTTGGACGGGCGAGTCACTGATTGGCCGATGGAGCTCTGGGTGCGTATTCCGAGATAATCGCGCTTCTGGGAGAGAGATCGGACAGTGACGAAGATCAGGATAGAATGTGGCAGGCAATGAGGGAGATGGAGAAGGCAAAGAGACATATGAAAAATGATATTGCTCTGGAGCAGGACTAAGTTATCAGAGAAGGACACATTATAGAGACGAAGACTGACGGTCGTGATTCATCGCAACAAGATTTTCAGAGGTTCCTGCGCGTTGGAGTCGTAAAGGTCTAAAAAGAGTAAAAAATGAAACTGATGAAGGTGAGAGACCTTAATTGGCTTCACTATTTATAAGAGCTCCCGTGGATGGAGCTTATCGTATATATTCATCGCAGCTCCCGAATGCCTTTCTCTTTCACCTACAGCACGAGGCTGAAAGATCAATGGGAAGACGCGTCCAAGCACTCTCCTCGCAATCACGTGGTCACGACGACATAGCAAGCGCGGAGACTTCCGTGAACACGTTCCGCGCCATCAAACTCATGTTGATGAATCGCGATATGATGTCCACCGAAACAGGATTGAGATGGGACGCCTAAGGAGCAACGAGGCCTAAAACGAGGCAGAGCTCGAGGCATCTCATCCTATAGGACTATGGGCATGACGGAGAGAATTCCCGCAAGTTGTACAACGTTAAGTACGCTATCAAGTTGTAGCGTACTCAACCTTGTACACCCTGCGCAAATTAGTGTATAAGTGGATGTAAGATAGTGACAGAGGTAGCTTTTGCGCTGCAAGCTGTTGTTCATATGTGAATAAATTCGAGATATAGATTAAAAAGAACTTGCCATAAGATTGAAACTTTTGCAAAGCAAAGTGGCGGGACAAGGTGGGTTACGAATCTTACGATGGTGGTCAAGAAAACATGAGGTCCGGCATTTCGGCGGAGCCTCATGTTTCGTTTTCAGTCGTGTTCCCACGCAATCGCTAAAAGCGTCCTTCAGGCGTCCTTCTCCAAGTTGTGAAGCTCTTTCAAGACTTGATATGCTATGGAGGAACTCAAGTATTCATCAATGTCTATGCTGAGCGCTCGTCGTATAACTATCAGTTACCATCGAATCAGATCACACAGTGGGGGATGCTAACTGTTGAACAGAGTTGAACACTCGCCTTCACCAAATCGAAATAGCATTTGATCCGTTCCGAAAGTATTGAGTATCAGATTGAAGTCGTTCCTTGTACTATGCCTCTTCGAAGCTCCATCATCCTGACTCTTCATTCAGTCTTCCACTCGCTGGCATTTTTATCCGAAGGTACAACGTCGACACATCTCGAAACGAAACGAAACTCGGGCATGAATCCCAACTTGGAATTAATTGGACGGTGAAATCTGGTGAAATTATCGTGTTTTACGGACGAAATTTGGAACAACCACTATGTAGCTCTCTTGCCAACGCAAAAGTTTCAAGTGATTATGAGTATGTTGACAACTTGTCAATTGCTCGAATCTTCAAATATCAGTCATCTCAGATAAACACTGACTTTTTGGACCCCACTCTAACTTCCCTCTGGGGTAGACAACCCACTCCAGGCCCACTCAAATCTTTTTCAGTCATTACGAAACATCACCTAAACGAAGAGGCAGCCTTTGGCGTAAACCTGGCATAAGCTCGGTCGTCACGATTGCGAGGAATTGCCGGGTTGAACTTTGACTGACTGAAAAGTGAGCGCTGTAGAATTCAGCAGCTGATCGGTATAGGAACCACGAGGATACTTACTGTAGGCCAATTCCCGTGGTTTTCCCTGTATTTTGATTTCAGTCTGGATACAGTATCGAAATCCCACTGTCGAAGGTTTTGAAAACTCTGTATAAAGAGACGCCTCTCAAAGGAGATCAACGGTGAATAGTCCTTCCTGGCCTTTCAGCTATGTATCGCCTCAGTATACTCCCCGCTTTGTCTTTGCTCCTTTCACCCTTAGTGAACGCTGCGACGCAGCAATTGGTCCAAGTCACTGCCGACATAGGACCCAACCCCAACAATGTCGGTATGTACGTGTATAAGCCTGCGAAGCTAGCTTCTCCCCTCCCACTTATTGTTGCGATCCACGAATGCACTGCGTCGGGGCCGATATACTTTGAGAGTACTCAATACGCGACTCTTGCGGATGAGTATGGCTACTTGGTTGTCTATCCAAGCTCACCGCGCTCTGGAACCTGTTTCGATGTTAACACACCACAAACGCTGACTCATAACGGAGGAGGGGACTCTCAAGGAATTGCATCCATGGTCACTTACTCTATCGCTACATACGGAGTTGATCCTTCGCTGGTATACGTCACTGGAACATCCTCTGGAGGTCAGAAGGATCTCTTTTACTATTTTTTCTCTACTGACTCCGTATCAACCTGATTACCATTCATCACGAATAGCTATGATGACAAACGTCATGGCCGGCTCTTATCCTGAGTTATTCCAGGCTGCTTCTGTGTACTCCGGCGTGGCCTTTGGATGCTTCGCGGGTGCTAGTTCATGGAACACCCAATGCGCTGAAGGGGAACTTATCCAGACCCCTCAACAATGGGTGTGTAGTTTACTCCTTTACCAATCAGCCTCAGCTGAATTGATTGATGCTGACAGGGACAAGAAGTCGCCAATGCTTATCCAGGATACACAGGTTCCCGCCCTAAGATGATGCTATGGCACGGTACTGCGTAAGTACATAAGTCGAATTCCGCGACCTTCTGGTTTAAACTCCTGGTTTAATCAGCGACGAGACTCTTCTGTACCCTAATTATGGCGAGGAAATCAAGCAATGGACAGACGTCTTTGGACTCTCTCAAACTCCCACGACTACGACTCAAAATGATCCTCAATCTGGATACACTATGACAACATATGGTACTGAAGTTGTCGGCTACTCTGCTGCAGGCGTCGGCCACACTGTTCCAGTTCATGAAACCATTGACTTGGCTTGGTTTGGAATCACGTATGTACTCGTTAAATTTTCACTCAAACTACGGGTGCTCATCGATATCCTTTAAAATTTGCAGCGGATCCACTGGCACTGGCACTGGCACTGGCACTGGAACTGGAACTGGAACCGGAACTGGAACCGGAACCGGCACTGGCACTGGTACGGGAACTGGGACTGGAACAGGCGCTGGAACCGTCGCTGAATGGGGGCAATGGTATACAATTTGTTTTTTCCTCTCCCTTCAGCATCATTGAACATCGTTTCCTAGTGGGGGAATCGGATACACAGGACCGACAACCTGTGCCTCCGGAACAACTTGCACTGTATCCAACGCTTATTACAGCCAGTGCTTGCCTTGATTTGGAGGGAAAATGTCTCAAATATTCTGTTGCATATAGTACGATATCTGCATACTAGTTTAAGCGATGAATTCGATTGCATGCCGAGAGAATGCAATGAGTATCAGAGTATTAAGTGTGCATATCATATCATATTAGGTGATTGAAGATGTTGTGCGGGTAGCCGGATATTGGGTGCAGAGAGGATCTTGAGCCATTGAAATTTGACAAGGTCATGACACGGACGAATTGCGAAAGAGTGAAATAAAAACTCGGTATTTATCCAAAACAAGGAAGAATAAAAATCGGGAGAATTGAGGAAAGAACGATAAGAGATTTTTTCCATTGGGAAAGCTCTTCCAGAGTAAGATCGTCAATTATACGAGGTAGGTCGGCGTTCAGATTTTTCAGTATCCAAGTTCAAGAATGATCGCCGCCATTTGGGTTGGGGTTCGTCCTTCTCTTCTTTCGACTTTTCTGTCTTTGATCGAGAGAATGCGCGAAGAGCCATCAACTTTGCAAGAACGTTTGTCTTCTGGGTGACAACATCAGGACTCAGATTTATCCTTCTTTTGAAATGAGTTTCCACGCTGTAGTCTTGAACACGGGTTTCGAGCTCTTCCAGGGCAGAAGAAGAAAGTGGATTGGTTTGATCTTGTGATGAAGGATGGGCATCCTCCGGTAAACTTCCGGTATTTTCCTGCGTTGAGCGATCCATGAACGAGATACGTTTTGACGACCAAGTTGTGCCTTGCGAAGGTATCTTGACAGAAGATTGTCGTGATCTCCGGTCGGGTATGAACACATCTTCTACGATCCGAGAAAGCCGTCTTGAGGCACGTTTTAAAACCTTCTCTTTCTTCATATCAACAATTGGGCTGGTAGCTTCTACTGTATTTTCGTTAGCACCAACCTCCCAACCTCTTTTCCCGTACCACTTTTGACACCGGTCCCATTGTGCTTGACACTTCTCACACGGAACTATTGGTCTATGAAGCATATCATTTGAACTAGTGATGTCGAATGAGAACCCGAATCCGCATGAGGTACAACGTGGAAGAGATGGCATTGGAGTAGGAGGAACAAGAGGGCTGCTAAGATTACGACCCAGAGATCGACGGGTTGAGGAAGGAGGCGTTTGAGGCATCGGGGAAGGTGGTAAGAGTTGATTTGACTCAGTCACAAGGGGAATAGACTCGGGAAAAGTTGAAATATCTTGCATCTCCGGTGTTGGAAAGGTCAACGTGAGAGAAGGAGGGAATAAGAGGTCCTTGCATTGTTTCCTCACAGTGTTTGCTTCAACACCGCGAAGTGCTATACGAGTAAACAAAATATTGGATAAATCACATTGCCATATCAACTGTGAAAGACCTAACGCACAAAAATTATCCTCACAATCTGTCGATTTTAGAACAAATGACATTCGCCTGGCGCATACGGACATGTCTGAAGAGTTGGTCTGTGGATATCATCGCGTGAGTGAATATCACGCCTTCCCAACCAAAGCGCACAAACCTTGAGCTTGGTCTCGAAGCCAAGAATAACCTCTGGTTCCCAGTCTCCCTCGTCGAACGCAAATTCGGAATGAGTATGACTTTCGTTGAGACGACCGAGTACCGGAGAATCGCTATAGTATGCTAGGATATCGTCCATATCTTCAAAAGTGTTGGGATCTTCCATGATAGGCGAAAGTTCGAAAGCAGGAGAAAAGTTCACGTCAGAGTAAGCTTGTGTGCGGTTCTGAGCTCGCGAGGGGAGAAACACTGGTGAAGATAGTGGAAACGGCGCAGAAGTCGAAGGATAGGTACCCTCATTATCCGAGGCATCGAACGAGGAGCAGGACGAGAGGGGCGATTCTGCTTCAGATATTGCAGAGCATCGTTTGGCCGTCTGGAGGAATTCTAATGGTTGGGACTTGGATTTGTACTTGAATGGCTATAATTATGATACAAGTCATATTGAAGAACACTTAGGGATGCAATAAGGCAGGGCACTGACACTATCAAAACTGTCGAGGCTAGCTATCTGGTCTAGATTTGCAGAGTAACTAGACAGGATTCTTTTGCTGGTTCTTCGAAGTCGTCTGCTGTCTGGCGTTGTATGCTCTTGAAAATTTTGAGATGTGCTGGGCATATGCGTGTGCTTGTATGTCTTGAATGGAGAAAAAGAGTTACGGGAATCTAGGGAGTGCCTTCTTTCTGCCTTGGTGGTGGTGGATCGAGGTGAGGGCGACTTCTAAATGCGGCAATCATGAGGATATAACGGAGTGTTTTCTTTCTGAGAGGGTGACCTACAAGGAGTGAGGAAGCAACAGCAGTGAGGAGCTGAAATTCCGGTTCCCGATTCAGCGAGCTGCTCTGTGCCGTGTTACGTTCATCAACTGCCGACAATGTAAAACCGAACGAGACTGTACCGAAATGTCATAGGGACAACTACAAGAGCAGCAGTACGTCGAGCTCATATGAGACCGCGCGATATTGCTAGTACTGGTACTGGCCGAGGTCAAGAATGATCCTCCGCTCCTGCGAGGGGTGCAGGGGGTTCCGCCGAACTTTGTCATGGATACATTGAAGTTCGCAACTATAACCAACTATTAGCTAGTGATGAGAGGCTCGCTAGGTAGAGGCGCGCATGAAGTCTTAGCGTCGAGGTTGTAAGTACCAAACGCGGTCGCGGTGTAGTAAATTGGATCTGGTTTAGATGGGGTAACCTTGAAAAACTGTGTCCAAAAGGAACATCAGGTACTGTATTAGCGCGATGCTCAGTAAATACTCACAGGTCTTGGTAGGACTACTGTAAATATCGAGTGGAGAGCGGTTTGGAACATGTTGTCTGGAAGTAAGTATCTTCAGGGTATCACAGAGGGAAAGAGACAATTGGCGGGCGTCAATAATTCAGAAGTTACCCAAAAAGGGAAATCGTAATTCTTCCACTGACCATCATCATCTCGTTTCTCTTCAGTCAATCTCACCGCTCTGGTCGGTCAACCTGGGTCAACCCTAGAATACTTCATCTTTAAATCCTCTTTAGACCTTTCTCTAACATTTGATCAAAAATTGGATGCCACAGAATATGTCTGAAGATGCTCTTGACTCTCTAGTGGAACAGCGTATAGCTCAGTTGGCGTACGTCCAATTTATATTATTTGCATTTACAATAGATATTGACAGTAATGAATTCATGCAGAGCAATTTCAGACAAACGTAACGCGCTTCTTCGCGAAATGTATCAGATGATGCGGAAGCGGACGAATGTAGGAGCCACAGTAACTATAGACGACGAGGAAGAAGACGATCTGCATGTTTTCTTGAACAAATACGATCTTAGAAACAAGTTTGTCAAAATGTTACATTCTCTCAATTAAATCCTAACGTTCAGATACGTAGTCCGGACATGGGATTCATCAGTCATTTATCCGAAAATGAGCTTTTCGATCTCGTTCCTCCAGAAGAATATACATCACCCCAGCTTAGCCCTCAATCATTACTGCCTACCTCTACAGAGCTTAAAGATGTAGCTCGACGAAGCAAGTCTCGGTCATTAGGGAAGGACTCAATGTCGAGTATCCGGACTACCCCAGCAGCCCCAGCTCTAGATACTGTCGAACATTTAGATGATACCATACGCTTATCGCCTCCATCACTGTCCGCGTCTCAGGCCACCACAGTGGGCGCAATTTCTATATTGGGCTCCACAGAGTCCAGTCAAAGCATTCCCGTTGGCGGTCCGAGAAATGAGTCTGTTCCAATTTCTCCTGCAGATTGCCCATCTCCTGGCACGACACGTCCACCCTCATCACTCGCTACTCAGGAACGGGATGGAGCCCTGACTCTAGAAGCCAATACAGCAGAAGAGAGCTCATTACAACCAACAGAAATGGATGATGGATCGGCAGATGTTATGGAAGTTGATGAGCCGGAAGTTAAGCTTCGGTCATCTTTCTCGCTTCCACCGGTGTCCGAAGTCTCTCAATCGTCGCATGCGCATAATCCTATATCTTTCGATCAACCTCAGAGCGTTCACGACGCTTTTGTATCAGATTTCAACATGGATGTTGACATTGAATCGTCTCCGATGGTGAACCTTCGAGCCAAAGCAGAAATTTCAACAGTGGCTAGGGCTCCACCATCTCCAAAAGAAGCTACGACTCCCCAAGGGTCTTCTCTGCCTAATTCATTGGTCTCCCCTCGAGTGGCTTCGCCTAGAAATTTTGGCAGTCCGGCAAAAGTTACAAGCACCGTTTCGCCCTCTTCTCCTGTATTTATCCCTGTTCCATCCTCCTCCTTTCACGGTATCTTCAATGAGTTCAATTTCTCGACCGTGGCCTTGGAACCTCCCTCCGCCCCACCTCTATCTCCCACCCAACCGCGTCATCAATTAGACTTTCGCTACACACTTCCTCCCCTCGATTCTCTTTCTGCAGATTTCAAAATCAAGAACAAAAAGGTTAAGCAGAAGAAGAAGGACAAGGAGAAAGGAAAAACCGAAGGCCAAAAAGATAAAGAATGGAAGGATGATTGGGTTCCTTGGGGACTGAATCGATGGAATGCCACCATACGAACCAATCCGGTGTATAAAAGAGTCGCGAAAGCCACGAAATGTTTGAGCACTCGAGATTGGGCGGTACGTGCGTCGTGTTTAGGAGGAATTATCCTCGGCTAATCTTATCTCCAGGTTGCTATGACTGAATTGAAGGTGATACGGGCTGTAGACCGTATTGAGCTGTTGAAGTCTGGTCGCTGGAGTTTCAGGCAGCCCAAGAAGCAACGTGCATCTGGAGGCATAACAAAGACGCACTGGGATTATCTTATGGATGAAATGGCGAGTGGTTCGAATATTTTCTCGTGTTCCCCATTTGAATACCTTAACTTTAGAAATGGATGCGCACAGATTTTAGGGAGGAGCGTAAATGGAAAATGGCTCTTGCATACAATCTATCTACGTCTGTTCTGGAATGGCATGCCGCAGGAAACCGAGAGAAGAGGTTGAAACGTGGAATTTGCGTCCAATGGAAGCCCCCACGACAAGAGAGCCCAAAGGACCAAATTATGGAGGACGCCGATGACGTACCTGCCGACCCCTTAGAGATCGAAATTTCAACTCCTTCGGGACCCACTAGACCCTCATCAGCTTTACTTAATTTGGATTACGGCTCCGACGACGAAGATGACGAAGAACAGGAAAAGGACGTGGATGATGCCCTTGGCACGTCTGTTATGATTGAAGAGTCCCTTGCGGATATGAAACAAAGTTCCTACGGGGATGGTATAGGATTCAAGGATTTGCAGCCCAAAACTGAAGAGGTTGAGGATAATTCTGCTCTTCAGACTGAAAGCATGGACGTCGACCACCCTGTTCAGTCCGAAATTGATATCACTACACGAACTACTGCACGGACTGAGAATGATTCCAGTCCAGAACGAACTCTAGGTGGCTTAAAGTCCACGTCCGATAATCCAACGCTCTTGTCCCTATCCACTTCTACCTCCCTCTCCTCCGAACGCTCTCCAATCCCTCATTCAAAGTCATCCAAAATCAACCTTTATACGCCTCTTCGCGAAAACATTGCGCATTCAGGAGTGGAGAAATTATTCCTCGATTTCGACGACTTTCGCATCACAACTACTGATCCGCTCAGCGAGAACACGATCGAGACTCTTCTTCCACCATCAAATTTGTCTGATATATTTCCAGACTTTCAACCATACGCCATGTTCGACCTCGCAATGCCCATTCCTCCTGTCGACGGCAAGAAGAAGTCGGAGAAGAAATCCGATAGGGATGATCCAGTCAATAAAAGAGTAGATGAGGTTGCGTATAGCAAGCTTTATCCTTCTAGCACGTTCATGACCTCTAAACCAACGCTGGTCGGGGCTCTACAGCCTTCTAAACACCTCAGAGGTTGTCAATGGGTCGATTTAGACGAGACACCGATCTCCATCGAATACGAAGCGCCGCAACCGTTTCGTTTGCCCGAGGAATTCAATCATGGTACATTTCCATACTAAAATTTACCCTCTGGATAGATATCTCATAAAAGTTTTTCTAGGTATTTTCGAACACAAAATGGGACCTATCACAATTTCAACTCCTGCCGTTCAATCTGTTCTCTCGACTCCCGCAATATCATCCCCCGCCACGAAATTCAAGGAGCCTCCGAAACGAGCGATGGAGCACTTATGGAGCGCCAGTGACGACCTGCTTTTAAAGTCTTTGGCGGAGAAGTTCCCCAACAATTGGGCGCTTATTTCCGAATGCTATAACGCCGTCAAGGTTACAATCAAATCCGATTGGCGTACTTCGAAAGATTGTCAGGAACGCTGGAGAGAACGCTGGAGTCCGGCAGCTACACAACGATTGATGGAAACCGAGTCTACTGCTGTGGAAGGAACTCCACCTCCTTCGACACCCATTCTTATGAACGTCGGGGGTAGCAGGGGCGTGAAGCGACTTGCTAGTGCAAGCATAAGTAATTCTACTGCTCCTACCATTTCCACTGGCTCTGGGAGCGAGCCTAAAAAGAGAAGACGACATGCGATGGTACAAGATGCTGTTCGTAGATCTATCAAGAAAAGGAATGAAGCTGCTCAGAAGAATAACGGTGAAATTCGACGTCGTTTTTCTAACTCGCATCCAATTGATAACAATAACAGTTCGAAAATCCGCTACCATGCACGAATCGCATAACGACTTTTCTAATCTGGCGAAGATGACCCCTGCGGAAATTAGTCGTCGAAAGTCAGACCGAGATCTACAGCAAAGTCAAGAATTGCAATTGGCTAGAGCTAGAGCACTTGCTGGGCCCAACGGTGCTGGGACTCGCACTCCTGTACGCCATGTTGTTCATTATGATTCAATCAATTATCTGATTCTTCTACAATAGATCGGGCAACAACCAACGGCAGCAGTCGTCAACGGCACCCAACGACCATCTCTTTCCGGAGCTTCTGCACCCCCTGTCGCTCAGATTCGCAATCAACAAGTCCAAGTTCCGATATCCCAACAGCAACGAGCTGCTACGCCTTTGGTTGCAGGGAACTCACGTATGTCACCACAACAGCAGATATTAGCTCAAAAGGTACAACGTGTTCAAGGAGGTTCGGCACAGACAGTGACACAAGCGCAGGCGCAAGCTCAAGTTCAAGCTCAGCTTGCACTCTCGCATGCTTTGGCTCAAGCTCAAGTTGCACAGGCGGCTCAAGGCCATTCCACTATAGATGCTCAGACTGCTGCTGCTCTACGAGGTAACCTGCAACAAGCGTTGGCGCAGAATGGTGTTAATGGGAATGCGCAACTCTCTCCACCGTATATTCCCCGTGACGCTACCTCCTCTCCGGCGCACGCTTCTCCTCCTCGATCCACTGGTACGCCTTCGAATGGCGCAGTGAACTCTCCTCGCCCTTCTTCTGCACAGGCTCAGTCGCATCCTCTGGGCCAAACTCAATCGCAAAGTTCGACTCCACAGCTCGGGATGATGCAGAATGGTCAAATTGGGGCAATGAATATACCTCAAGCACGAAACATCCAAGGCCACTATTATCTGCCGAATGTCAGCGCTAGCTATACACCTGAGCAACTGCAGCAGAGTATGTTGAGGATGCAAAATTTAGTGAGTCTTCTGTGTTATTCTTTCGTTTATCAGTAATATTCAGATTTAGCGCAATCCGCAGCAGCAAGCTCAGCAACTTCAACAGGCGCAACAACAATCGCAACCCCTGCCTCAACCGCCGCAACCACAACAATGAATCGTGCTGGGCAGTTTAGGTGTGGTGTGGTTTGTCAGGTGTCTTCGGGTTCTTCGTTTGTTCCAGGTTTGTTTCGAGCCTCGAGGGATCTTTCATGTGAGCAGAGCTAGTTAGTCCGGCTCGTCGGTATAGCATCTACTTGAGTCTGGATTTTTTGCAGGCTGCTGCGGACTATAAATAAGGATTTATGTAAAGCGTTATCTGGTGAGATTTGACCTTACAATCTATTTCAGTCACTACCTGGACTGCGGAAGCGAGCGTGAAGAGCGACCAAGGCTTGACCAAAGCCCAAGGAAGTTGATTTTTTGCATTATCTATGAAGAGAGGAGTTACAGCGTATTCAAAAAATGATGTCAGTTGCACAAAATGCACAAAAAGCGATGGGCGAACGAGACGTCGAACGGTAACCAGATATCATACAAAAGAATGTTTTTGTACTGAAGCCCTAGCTAGTAACTGTCCATCCTAGTTGTTCATCAAGTGAATATTGATTGATCGTGATGGTGACAATGAACGAGCCGGCGGCATCGAGAAAAGATGAAGAGGAACGTCGACGAAGAGCAGCATAGAGAAACTATGTAGATAGATAGATAGTTATTCGAGGCGTTGTGCGTCCAGAAAGTACTACATAATAGACGATCCATGTATACAGAAAAAAAGTTGCGTTTATCTCAAAAATGTGGGATTTCCCAGATCTAGACCAAGAAACTATGGAAACTCGGCTCTGCCAATTGATAGCAGTTGAATACATAGATCAGTTTCACGTCTACGCTTTTCTTCCCTCCTCCCTCATCATAGACCAGCCGGACGGTCAATTCTTCCTTTCCTCTCTTTTCTTTCGTATTCTAGCCCTCGTTCTTGTTCTTGCGCCGGTCGTACACTCTTTTCGCAATGGATTTCATGGATACTCGCAACCCTAATCCCAATTTTGCTGGTCACAACTTGGAGGACCACCCTGACCTGAAGCTGGCAGGCGGTGCCCATCTCCAACGCAATAAGACCGAACGTTTCCGTCTACAAGGTCTCCAAAGAACAAACACTAATGGAAGTCTCAAGGCTCCAATCGAGAAGGCCTCTTTGAACTTCATTGAGAGGTGGAAATTGTGGATGATCAATGAGGGTGGTAACAGGATGTTCTTCTTCATATTCATACTCCTCCATTTGCTTGTCGGTGCTCTTGGTTTCACCCACTACACCCTCAAGGATAATTTGAACAACTCCCGAAAATCGCTTGGAGCCGGATTCAGTGAGTTCTTTGTTTTTCGTAATTATTAGGAAGAGTGGCTTATCTCGTTCTCTAGCTATCGCTCGTGCCTCTGCAATGTTGTGCCACGTCGATGTCATCTTCATTCTTCTCCCAGTATGCAGAAACTTCATCTCTTTCATGCGTCGTACCCCGATTGGTACAGTCATTCCTTTCGACAAGAATATTACTTTCCACAAGGCAGTGGGTTGGTCCATCTGTATCTGGTCTATGGTCCACACGCTTGCCCATATTGTCAACGTCGTCAATCTTGCTATCCAGTCTGCCACCACCACCAAGCAGCGAGTGATCAATTTCTTGCTTATTTGTGTAGAGGCAGGCCCGGCCATCACTGGATGGATCATGTGGGCAGCTCTTGGGACGATGGCCTGGTACGCTCGTGAGGAGAAGCGAAGGGCCAATTTCGAGAGGTTTTGGTACACGCATCACCTTTTCATCGTATTCTTCATCAACTGGCAGCTTCACGGAATGTTCTGTGCGTCTATATTTCTGGCCCTGCTTTTTTCTGTTCTAACTTCCCCTCAAGGCATGATTAAGCCTGACAGACCTCCGTACTGTTCTTACAACACCATTGGTGTTTTCTGGGTAAGGTTCTCTAGTCATTCGCTTTTCATATCATCTCATTATCTATGGTAGCGCTACTGGATTGTTGGTGGTGTTATATGGGTCACTGAACGTATACTTCGTGAAGTTCGCTCCCGTCACCGTACCTACATATCCAAGGTCATCCAGCACCCCTCAAATGTCATGGAATTACAGATCAAGAAGGAAAAAACCACTACCAGAGCTGGACAGTACATCTTCATCAATTGCCCTGAGATTTCCTACTTCCAATGGCATCCTTTCACCCTCACGAGGTGGGTATCATCCTTAATGCGAGATATGAAACCTTCTCATCTTCTTCGTCAGTGCTCCTGAGGAAGACTATATTTCCGTCCACATTCGTGTAGTTGGCGATTTCACTACTGCTCTTTCAAAAGCTGTTGGTTGTGATTTTAAATCGAAAGAAAAGAGTAAGTTTATTCCCTTGATCTTCGATCAAGTCTGACTCTATATCAATAGCCGAGGCTGGTGGAAAAGTCATCGGGACTGACACTAATCCGCCATTGAACGTTACCCTTCCTCGAGTTATGGTTGACGGGCCGTTTGGTAGCGCTAGTGAGGACTTTTTGAACTACGAAGTCATCCTCCTCGTCGGTGCTGGTATTGGGGTTACACCATTCGCATCGTGAGTACGGCCTCTTCCTCTCTGTATCAGGTTCTGAAAGATATAACGTAGTATCTTAAAATCCATTTGGTACCGCATGAACAACTTTAATCATGGCAAACCCACTAGACTATCCAAGGTATGTGTTTTGTGCCCCACATTTATTTGTTTGCCAACCGTTTTCACCCACTCAGGTCTACTTCACCTGGGTCATTCGTGACTTTGGTATGCCCCCCTCTGTTCACTCCCTTCCGTGTCCTTCTGACGTTCACTTTCTGTTAATAGGTAGTGCGGAATGGTTTCACTCCCTCCTTCATGCGATTGAAGAGCAAGACGTTCAGAATCGTATAGAAATCAATATTTACCTTACCGCCAAGATCAAGGATGATGATATGAACAACATCATTGTCCAAGACGTCGGTGCGGAGAAGGACGCGATCACTTCATTGAGAGCGCCTACTCATTTCGGACGACCGAACTGGGACAAGGTCTTCCCCAGCATTGCGTCGAAGCACCCGGATACAGATGTTGGTGTGGTATGTATCCTCCGTCCTTTGTTCCAGATAAGGATCAGCAAGCTGATAATTTGTATGTTTCTATAGTTCTTCTGTGGACCCAAAGTCTTGTCTCAAGCTCTTCACCGAGCTTCTAACAAGTACTCCGACCCCAACGGCGCACGCTTCTTCTTCGGCAAGGGTTAGTATACAAATTTCTCTTGGATAAAATTTCAATAAGCTAATACATTTCTCCCTTACAGAAAACTTCTAGATGGAGGTCCGGAGCCCAAGAAAGGTATATAGTGGGGAGTTATTCTTGCTTATCTACATCAATTTGACTGTATCGAGGTGATTTCTCTGTAATTATTCTTCTGAATCTCTTTCTCCCGAGTATCATATCCGGTAGAGGCAACGTTCAATCATCAGTGTTGGTTTTGCAATCTGCGGGGCTCGTGCTGTACGACCATGTATTCAGAATCTACACACCTTGGGCGTGACACATAGCGCTGAGTGTTATTAGTGAGTGGCGTCGGCTGGCGTCGGGCGCTGTATGAGGCTGTATGTGGCCAATAACAAGTCTGGAGAGTTATATAGGCTGTATGCAGGGTAAGCAACGCCGGGGAACCTTGACTTGACACTGACAGTCAGGAGGATGAGGATCGGGTGTTTACCCTTGTTTCCAGTTCCTCGCTCGGAGCTTATTATGAGATGGCGATTGCTGACCGGCCGTGGACCGGCCTGATCTTCGAGGATTTTCGTCGGTTTGCAAAAACCGATGAGAGAACGAACTCGTGAACCAAAAACGGGGATGCTATGCCGGAAAGAATGAAGAATAGACTGTACTTCGTTGAAGTTGTGCTAAGTATAGGTGCATTATTCATATCACTGTATTTAGCCAGGATGGCACACGATACAGTAGAACAGACGATTGTGAGAGTCTGACGTGAGGTGGATTTCTCGTTGCTTCTACTTCTTCAATTTTCGGTGCTTCTTTGACCAACTTTCTCCTCGAAGGCGAAGTTTGCGAAGAGGAATTTATATCTTCCGCGCGATGGCGCTTGGGCTAAGCCAGAGAGATGAAAACATACAGGATCCGTGAAACTATACTGTGTTTACTGTGTTATCTGTAAATAGCACTGATGAATTTTACTGTGAAAGCGGCGCCGGATTCGGAAGATTGTGACAGATGTGACCAGTCAAAAAGTCGATTGCCGGTTTGTCGGGTTCTCCTCGAGTCCTTTAAGCTTCTCCAGTTCCCCCTCCTGCTCCTCATTGTTTACGAGCAACGGCTAAAAAGATTCGATTTTGCTTCCTTATAAGCCATCTGATCGCAGTATGTTTTCTGCATAAATCTAAAGCTAGCAGTCCTCGTGGTTAACTTATTCCTTCTTTCCTCAGCTCCGTCATGTCCCACCCAACCGGCGGTCGTGATTACGACCCATTGCCCTTAACTCACGACCAGTCAAATCCTGACACACTATACAATGCGCCACCGTCGCCCATCCCCGATGATCCCTTTAGCTCTCAACAAGGTGTGCATGGATTTGAGCACAGCGACGACCTGGGTGTTGCCAGGCCGAGGTTCATGGGTGCAGCTTTGTACAGCGAAGGTGGTCCCAATATCAGAGATTCATATGCGTCATCACATCGTACCGAATTAGAACGAAATTCTGAATACAGCTCGTCTATATACGCACTCAACGATCAACAGGCTCCAACATCGCTTTCCACGCCATATCACGATGACCCTCGAGACCTTGCCGGAGACAGAGGAATGTCTATGTCGCCTTTGGGGAAGTCTGGAGGAATGGGTGGGAACAGGTACATGGAGGAGAAGCGTGCCATGTATGCTTCGCCAAAATCGAAGCGAAAAATGTTGTTAATAGCTGGTGCCGCCGCCGCCGCGGTCCTTGTCATCGTAATTGTACTTGGTGTTTACTTCGGAGTCGTCAAAAAAAACCACGATTCTTCGACAGCGTCAAATGTTGCGTCTGGAGACTCCTCCAATTCGGGCAGTTCTTCTTCTTCGTCCGGGAATTCGGGTTCGAGTTCTACCCAGAAAACACTCGCAGTAACCGGAGGAGATGGGAGCACGGTGACCATGGAAGATGGTACGACTTTCACCTACTCGAATCCTTTTGGTGGAACGTGGTATTGGGATATAAACGATCCCTTTAACAACGGAGCTAGTGCGCAGTCGTGGTCGCCTGCCTTGAACGAGACTTTCAACTACGGCGTTGATAGGATACGTGGGTGAGTTGACGAACTTCTATAAATATTGCCTGCCCACTGACAAGGGTGATGGTTTTAGAGTAAATTTAGGTGGTTGGTTGACAGTCGAGCCTGTAAGTTTCGATTCTTCGCCTGCGGATTGATCTTATCTGAATGTACTGACTGGATTCATAGTTTATGCGAGTATTCGCACCACTTGGTGTCTTTTGTTGTACTCATTGTTCCCTAATTCATTAGTGCTCCTGCTCTTTTTGAACCCTATGTCAACGATACGGTACCAGCTGTCGATGAATGGACTCTTTCGCAAAGCATGGCTGCAGACACGAGCAGGGGTGGCTTGACCCAGCTCGAAACACACTATCAAACCTTCATTGTGAGCGTTTAGCTTCCTCCTTGGCCTACTGTTATGTTCGGAACACTAAAACACAGTCAAGACTGAACAAGATTTTGCTCAAATCGCTGGCGCCGGTCTGAACTACGTTCGTATTGCTCTTCCCTTCTGGGCCATTGAAACCCGAGGATCGGAACCATTTCTAGAGGGAACTGCTTGGAAGTGCGTTGACATGTCATTACGGCCGTGGTCTTGACTCACGTAAATCTGCAGATACTTCCTCAAGGCCATACAATGGGCAAGGAAATACGGAATTCGTATCAATCTTGACTACCATGCGCTTCCTGGCTCCCAGAATGGCTGGAATCATTCTGGAAAGCTTGGCTCCATTAACATGCTCATGGGACCTATGGGTCTTGCAAATGCTCAACGCTCCCTGGATCACATCCGTATCATTGCAGAATTTATTTCCCAGCCCGAATATAGCAGTGTCGTAACCATGTTCGGGATTACGAATGAACCGCAGGCTTCTGCTATTGGAAATGACCAAGTTCAAGCATTGTAAGCAATATACTCCGATATAACACTAATTTTCTGGCTGAACATTGTTGTGATGTAGTTATTTGCAAGCCTATGAAGTCGTGCGCAAGGCCAGTGGTGTTGGTGCAGGTAACGGACCCATAGTTTCCTTCCACGACGCTTTCCTATCTCGATCAGACTGGGCGGGATTCCTTCCTGGTGCAGACCGTATTTCTCTAGACTCTCATCCATACCTCTGCTTCAGCACGCAGTCTTCTGCTCCCATTAGCTCCTATGCCACTACCCCCTGTACTGCCTGGGGAGCCGATGTCAATAGCTCGATGTCCAACTTTGGATTGACTCAGGCTGGCGAGTTTAGTAACGCAGTCACTGATTGTGGACTTTGGGTTAACGGAGTCAACCAAGGTATCCGTTACGAGGGTACTTATGTTGCGGACCCTTCTTTCAAATCAGTCGGATCATGCGACTCGTGGACGGACTGGCAAGCTTATGATCAAACCACAAAGGATGCTATTAAACAGTTTGCATTGGCCAGTATGGACTCGCTACAGGTAAATTCCCATAAACTACTACCAAATCCACAAAATAGTGATACTGACGCATCGCGTTGCAATTCATAGAATTGGTTCTTCTGGACATGGAAGATTGGCAATTCGTCTGTGACCGGCAAGGTCGAATCTCCCGCATGGTCTTACTCACTCGGTTTGGAACAAGGCTGGATGCCTACGGATCCTCGTGCGGCAGACGGTACTTGCGGGAACACGAGCCCGTGGACTCCCCCTCTTGCCGCCAACCAATTGGGGAACGACAAGTCCGCATCGCTCGCTTCCTCCGTATCTGCTTCATACCCGTGGCCGCCGTCAACGATCATCGGCGGTGGTGTTCCCTCCAAACTCCCGACATACACGCCTACCGGAGCGATCCCTACTCTTTCTGCGCCGACATTCACGCAGTCTGGTGTCACGGCTACTGCGACGCCTACTCCAGGTAGTGGGTGGGAGAATGCCAGTGATCAGGCGGGGTTGATGGTGAATATCGCAACGTGCAGTTACCTTGACCCTTGGATCGGGACGACGGTGAACCCACCGTCACCATTGTGTTCTAGCAGCTCCAAGAGACGAGAACCAGCGCTCGAGTACAGGGAGCCGATGATTACAGCGATGCCGGTACTATAAACCTCTACACACAAACACATTGGTTTATCGGATCTTCTATCTCTGCAACCTGCTTTGCGATAATCTCCTTTACATCCTTCGGGTTACGGAAGATCCTGTTGTTGTTGTGTATTCTGGTGTCGTTTGTACAATTGCTGACGCTTATTCGATAGTCCTTCACAGCTCGCTTTGGATCAGCTCTACCCAAACAATGATCCTTCACCCGTTCGCTCGTCGTTGTCATCGTTATCGCTAGCTGTGTTCACTATATTTATCTCATACGATCGCATATATCTCCCTCTATTTTCACTTCTAACGCCGCGTACTTTTTTTTTTTTGCTTTGTCGCTGCACGAATGGACACTACATACATACATATTGGACTCTTGTCCTTTTTTTGTTGAAAAAGGGAACTTTTGGACCTTTTTTTTTCTTCAGACACTGTCGTTACTCCTGCCTACTGTGACGCTTCCTCTAATTCAGGCTAGGCCTGAGCCCCTGAGCGCTGAACATCCTGCATTCTGCATTTCTCACTCCCTCGCACTCCTCTTCGTCATCATGGTTGTTATATATATCTACAAGTATCATATATCTTACTTAGGTTTAGCTCTACGTTGCCGCAGTATTCGTCTTGCTATTACCACTGCCTATGAGTTCAACTATGGGTATAGTGTTACTCGGATACGCCACTCATGCTTGGCTCAAAATGGTGACATACGGTAAAGGCTCAACAGGATGGTGAATGCATTGGTAGAGGGAAGTATAGTACATGATAATTCTGATTCCTGTCACTTACTTTTTTTAATTATTTTTACAATACATGGTTACTAGATAGTCAAGGGGAAGGGCGGTTATTGTCAGCGTAACTTTGGTGAATCTGCGTGAATGTTGGTAACCAAAAGGCAGCGGCTGCAGATTTCCAGTTGGGTTAAATTAATGCTCCCCGCTTGTGGTAGCGTAGCGATCTTCTAGATCCTCCTGGCCACCGAAACCTCCCTCAAAATCTCTATCTTGTGTGGAGGCGGTATTACTAGCAGGCTGCGCTTTATCGGCCTCGTTGAGCTGATCGCGGATAGCAGCTAGTTGTGCTTGATCCTAAGAGATAAAAGCGTTAGCAAGACAGCTAGCTAGGGAATATGTTTGAGCTACCTTCTCATGGATGAATCGCGCCTCTTCTCCTTGTTCTCTGGCTTTCCAGTTGGAATCCTGATACCGGTTTGTAAGCAGGATAGTTAGTAGATCAGATAGAAATGATTTGACCTGAGCAGTTGCACCTGAAGCAGACATTATTTGCAGTGAATCGATACTGTGTAAGAAAAGTAATGGTACGACGACGTCATAGGATATCTGTCCCGTCATGTTGTATACGTAATAAAAATTAGCGCCCTCCCATTCGTTCACAATGACACAACTGACGCAGGAGAAATCGGCGGCTGAGGCTGAGGAGCGTGAAGAGCTACTCCGAAATGAGTCAGAGGAAGAAGAGGAGAGTCAGCAGGAAGAAGAAGAAGAAGAAGTGCCCGCAGAGGACCCTCGATTCCACCAGCCAACGCCATCGCCCTTCAAACGAATACTCTTGCTCTTATTTATTGCCTTTCTATTCTGGTTTGCCATCGTGCTCGGAAGAGCCAGGATTTTACGGAGTCAGAAACCTCAAATTGTATACGCTAATAGGTATGTACAACCATGCTTTCGTATTGTCTAGAGTAAACTAAGCAATATACTTGCAGATATTCGACAGAGCACAAATTCAGACCAGCTGCGAGCCCTATCATTACCGAAACTCTGAAAGACGGGAGACTCAGGATACGAGGAGCTGGGCCAACCGCCAGTGCTACGCCTACGCCGACTCCTGCTACTCCTACCAAGAAGGTCAAGAAGAGGAAAACTGGCAGAAAATTGGGAAAGAAGGCGAAGAAAGCTAAGCAGTTCAAGGGTGCTTCGAGATAAATTTGCGGTATGTTCCATATTTCTATTTCCCGTCTATATATCTAAGTGTGCTTTCCATTGAAATATATTATAGGTTCAAACTTAATCTTCACCTTTAATCGGTAGACATTACTATACAGCAACGCAGTCTGTCCTTCCTTCCGTGTCTATTGCACATTCTTGAAATATACCCATACCTTCAGCTACGCTATAGACTCCCACACAACCCTTCCCATGGAACGTCTGAGGATTCATGCACAGCCAGCGCGTTTTCGTGGAGATAAAATGTTAAAGGAGGTTTTGCTGAGACAAGTGACTCGGAATTTCCTCGATGTCAATGTCATCTTCCTAAGTACTGAGTATTACCAGGTCAGATCCTGATCGCAGACACGTCTAACTGCTAATTCCTGTAGCTTTCAAGCTTCCATGCTCAACGCATACTAACCATCACCCGTGGCCCTCACACCTAGCCTGCTTTGGAATTCACTATCACAATACACATTTTTCTTCTTTTATCCCTCCCCTTCCCCCCTGCGTCTGAATGTCTAGGGGTTCCACACCAGGTTTCAGTCAAGGCTTGAGACCTATGGATTTACTGACGTGCTGAAACTACGCTGAAACTGGAACATCGATTTACTAGCTGAACACCTATTACGATGTTTCTGGAACTTTTTCGTTGTCTAATGTTTTTAGCAGCTATTTAAGCTTGGCTGATTTTGCTTTTAACTCCAATCGTCTTGTCCAATTTAACACTTCAACGTGTTACACTCACACAAACATCTCTATACTCGAAACGACCTTCCAATCGAAATTCTAAACATGCAATTGAAATACGCTCTCGTCGCTCTCATTGCAGCTGCATTCACCTCTGCTTCACCATTACCCATTGTCGAGGATGTCGAAGTACCGTGCCCCAATGATTCCAGTAAGTTCTCCTTTCTTACAACCCCTCCATACCAACTGACATCTTCCATCTCCTCCAGCTCTTTGCGCCAACGTCCCCGAACTTGACGTGAACATCGCATTAGCAGAAAGCACCAGCAAACTCGTCAGTTCTGTGATTGACACTGCGAGCTACGTGTTGGGTGGGATAATAGCAGCACCTGCTCCCTCATCACACGTCGAGATATAAGCCGTTTCTTCATCATGTCCTCATCATGCCCTCGGACTCGTTCTGGTTGAATGTATCATATACCTGCCTGCTTTCAAGGACTTTGTATTACTACGTCGAGATGAATTTTGTACAACAATTATTATGTATTTTGCGTTTACGACTTTTGTTATGTCTTCGAAGGGTTGGGGGACATTATCTATTCATCCATGTTCATTACAGCGTGTCCAAAAAACCTTGTCAGTAGCGTAACAAACGAGATAAAATAAAATAAAATCGAAAAGGTACCTGACATTTTAGCCGACCGCTTGGAGCTGCTTGGCGAGCGCGCTGTCACTCGCACCTTTCAACAATGTACAGTGCTTTGCGTAAGTGCTTGCTCGACTTTTTCACATCTATTTGTGTTTATTTATTTGTCCAATAAATTTTTACCCCAAAAAGGATTCATCAATCACTTTTTGAAGCCCGACGGCCGTGGTGGTCCTCAAAGAGACTCGGCCCAAAAATGTATTAGACAAATAACCAAAAATAAACAACAATAAACACTTGGTAAAAAATCCATACAAGCAAACCATTTCGCAGAGCACTGTAATATGATCGTGGATCTTTTGCTTCTGAGGTAGGACTAACAGATGCTGATGCCTCTGGAGAGTCTGACCATGCTGGGAGGAGCTCCATCGACATTGTGATCTTGAGTGGACTTATTACCCTTTGTTACCTCCACCCTCTTCCACCACGGAAGATCGTTGTCGAAAGGCGTGAGTGACAGCGCACTCGCCAAGCGGCTCCAGGCGGTCGGCTAAAACGTCGGGTACCTTTTCGATTTTATTTTATTTTATCTCGTTTTTTACGCTACTGACAAGGTTTTTTGAATACGCTGTAAAGCACCTTTTTTTTTGCCCAAACGTCGTTCAAATTGAGGAAAATGCAACTTACCGAATGTTGTACTATCTCCAGTAACACGCATCCAGTTATACAATTTCGATGTCCTCCGTCTGTCAAAGTATTCGCCTCCCAAAATCTATCAAATGTTTCGTACATACTACATTTGTTATATTACACGCCCAAATCTTGCTTCATGAATGATCAAACTGCAATAGCAATTCTATCCTGAAGCCATTTCGAATGTGGCTTTCCTTTGATATCAAAGTATATTTCTACCTCCTTCAACTTCTTCTGAGAAATTACCTTCTGGTTCACTTTCCCCCAGAAGTAACCCATCCAGTGTAAAGCAATGGGATAAATATCCAAACAATGCAGTTTCTCTTTTTCAATCAATTTTACCAGCCGTGCAAATTCTTTCAATGCGGCTCGCGGCGGGAGATTCTTCGCTCCTATCATGTCAAAGCTGCATATTGACTTTCTCCTCCGGTCTGAATAGATTTGATTGGTGGTCCCGCAGGCCCGGCAACGGCAAGGATCGATGCCGTAAGGTAGCAGATTGCGGTGACGCTCTGCTTTTGGAACCTGCAGCCCACAGTACATCGTCAGGATTTCTTCGCCAGCTTTGATATTCCGAGTCGCAACCATGTTAAAAGTGAACGTTGCCTCATCAAAGTGATAGACTACATTCGGTGCACAACTTGTTGACAGGGGGGGGGGGTGGTCAGATCGCAGAAATTATGATAAGATAGACCCCTCGCCCAGTTCGACTCACCTGTGGTTGATTCTCGAAGCAACTCTGGGCACGACGCGGTAATCTTTATAAACACCACAAGCTGCAAAATGCTGTTCGCTCAGTTTGAACGAATTGCAGGAAAGGATGTTAGAATATAATCACGTTATATTCAGCAGCAATGGCAGTAAGAGATAAAGTGCACACATGACAAGACCGTGCCTACAGGTCAATAGCTATAGAGGTTCTGAGGCCGGATCTGGCCCGGGAATGGCCCGGGATAATTCCGAGGTCCGGAACTGAGTATTGGCCTGTAGTACACACTGGGAGTGGGACGTCGGTGAAGCTATTAGCAACACCCTTCACACACTGTTGTGTCCCCGGGAATATAATGGCAAGGATATAGTGTCAAGATGAGTAGCCTAGATGGTGTTCCTGTGATCCGGGAGTCCGGAGCAGCTCAGAAGCAAAGGTAAAAGAGATATTAAAGAGTGGGATAAGGTAGTACACTTGATTTCAAGCTTGACTACAACGTACAAAGTATTCTAGCTTATATACATCCCAAATACAGTAGTCATAAGACCTCGATGAAAGCTCGGAATAATAAATAAGTCACAAGGTAATTATTCCGAAGTCCGGCCGCTCCGGGCCGGGCCGGGAAGCGTATAGGGTGAATTGCATGCATATGACAACACAGCACTGTAGTTGATCACACAGATCAGACGATGAAGGAGTAGAGAGGACTGCTTATTCGACAAGACGAATACTACAGGTTTATATACAAGTCCAAGGTAGATGATGTCATGTTACAGCTAAACGTAGCGAGAGAGAAAGGAAGTACAATACGATGTATCCTACTGGTAGTCCTATAGTAATAGTACACGATGGTGGGATTGATAACACGACGGTGAGACTGATAACATGATAGTGAGATAGTGGTTTGTAACAAGAGAACAATGTTCCATAGATGGTATGTGAGTCATTAAATGTTAACACTCCCCCTCAAACCTTTGTTAGTCCCATGGACGCAGCGAAGTGTTTGGCCTTAAGAGATGGAAGCGCCTTTGTAAAGATGTCTGCAGTCATGTCTTCCGTAGAGCAGTAAACAAGGCGAATCTTTCCTTCTTCAATGACATATCGGATGAAGTGGTATCGAATATCAATGTGTTTGGTTCGGGCATGGAAGCGATCATCTTTAGCAAGAGCGATGGCGGATTGGTTGTCGGCGTTGAGAATGATTGATTTTGTGATAGGACCAAATAGTTCCGATAAGAGATTCCTAAACCAAATTGCTTCCTTGGCAGCGTGAGTCAAAGCAATATACTCAGCTTCCGTGGTTGATAATGAGATGGTATCTTGTCGCTTGGATGACCATGACACTGCTCCTCCGTTGAGCATGAAAACGTATCCTGAGATAGCATGTCTATCCTCCTGGGACATTCCGTCAGTGTCACGAAGCGGCAGAGGCGGAGTGACTAACGGAGCGGGAAAGCGGAGCGACTAAGCAGAACGGTGAGGCGGAGCAACTGGACAAGGCAACAAGGCGGAGCGACTAAGCAGAACGGCGGCAAGCTGGTCCCAGATAATGACAGAGATATATTGAGTATCGTAGTCATAGGTAATAATAAGTAAGCACATACCTGGTCCCAGATAATGACAGAGAGGTCAAGATAAGGGACCAGGCTGTGGAGGGTTGGCTATATATACATAATCCGGTCTGCGAGAAACAACGATGTAATACTGTACAGTTTAGGAACAAGGAAGGTGGCGGAAGCCAGTAGAAGGAGAAGATGGGTCAGGTGGATCAGTAATCGATGGATCAGTAATCGATGGGGGTTTGACAGTGATGGGATGATGTATCGTACAAGTAAAGGCGTCGAGACGGTGAGAAAAGGAAAATGATAGGGGCTGCGTACTTTATGACATTACCCCCCTCCTTATGACCATTGCCCTCGATGGTCAAGGCTTTGCCGCTGTTGGGTGTTTTTTATGAAAGGCCCGAACAATTTTTGGTGCTCGACTGAGGTTGGCTGCGGGTTCCCAAGAGTTGTGCCCTGCGTCATAACCTTTCCACTTAACCAAGTATTCCAACTTCTTCCATCGAACCCGGCTGTCTAAGATCTCCTCTACTTCGTATTCCGGTTCGTCTTCATCCTCTAAGTATACCGGCTCTGGTGGTGTTGGTATTTCGCCATTAATGGAGTTACCTTTCCAGGGGTATAGTTTATCAACATGGAAGACGGGATGGAGGCGATCTAGGGATAGGGGAAGGTCAAGGCGGTAGTCTAAAGGGCCAATTTTCTCCAGAATGCGATACGGGCCAAGCTGTCGATCTCCTAACTTTTCACTGGAAAGCTGAAGGTTAATGTCCTCTGCACTGAGCCAGACTAGGTCTCCAACTTTAAATTGATGAGCTTTCCGCTTCCCGCGTTCGTATCCCTCCTTCTGTTGTTTCTTTCCTAGGTGTAAGGCAGCTCCGGCATCTTGTCGCGCTTCTCGGAGAATCCGTATACGGTCGTCCACAGCTGGAATACCGCTGCGTTGGCCCACTGGGATATTGAACAGGGGAAGATAGCCGTAGGTTAGCTCGAACGGGGACATGCCTAGCGCAGAATGAGTCCGTGAGTTAATCACAAACTCCGCCATGGGAAGGTGCTCTGCCCAGTCGTCTTGTCGTCGTCCTACATAGAGGCGGATGTATTTCTCTACTTCCTGATTTGCTCGTTCGGTTTGGCCATTAGACTGAGGACGGTATCCGGAGGTTAGATCTGATTTAATTCCTAGCCTAGCGAGAAGGGATCGCATGAGTTTAGCTGCAAACTGGGGTCCGCGGTCGGATTTAAAGTGAAGAGGAAGACCATGGAGACGGAAGATCTCTCGGTAGTAAATATCGGCAACGCCTTCGGCTGTGATGGAGCTGGTGCAAGGAATAGCGTGAATTTGTTTTCCATACAGGTCTGTGCAAACCAAGACAGCATCGTAGCCTTGGGAGTTAGGTAGCTGTGTTATCAGGTCAACCCCTACCTCTTCCCATAGACCGGATGGTACATCTAATGGTTGAGTTACGGCCCGTGGGTGTCGCTGGATCTTCTTACGGGCACAAACCTCGCATCCCTCAACGTATTTTTCCACAAAAGAGCGCAACGTAGGCCACCAGAAATGGGTACTGACCAAGTCAAGTGTCCCGTGTAGTCCGGGGTGTCCTGCAGTTGGATGGTCGTGGCATTGACGGAGTACCTCAGTGCGTAGGTCGTCATTTGCTGGTACGTATACTCGACCTCGGTAGTAGACCAACCCATTGTCTTCTTCCCATTCGGCTATCCCATTGGCTAAGCGCTGTAGTCCGTGCTCTTTGACTGTTTTGAGACCCTCCAATACCTGTGCCTCCCGTTCTGAGGCTTTCCGGATACGATCCTCTAAGGGGTTCTGTAGGATCGAAGCTGCAATTTTTACGAAGTGGCCAGGTTTAAGGACTGTCTGTTGTCGGTTATCATCGCTGTCCGATACATGATGAACTGCCATGCGGGAGAGAGCATCAGCTTGGGTGTTTACTCTGCCAGGGCGGTGGATCATGTGAAAGTCAAACCGTGACAGATAGAGGGCCCATCGGGCTTGTCGGCGGGTGAGGTCTTGTGCAGTGCGCCAGAATTCGAGGTTCGAATGGTCCGTAATGATGTCGAATGGTTGAGGGAGTCCTTCTAGAAAGTTCCTCCAATCCTTCAGTGCTTCAATGATAGCAAGCATTTCTCGATCGTAGATTTTGTAGTTCCGTTCCGCTGGCTGCATGGATGCCGATCTGAAGGCTACCGGATGCCATTGGCCATCATCTTGCTTCTGCATAAGGGCGCCTCCCGTGGCAAAGCCTGATGCGTCTACCTCAATTCGAGTAGGCCTGTCTGGTGTCCATAGAGCAAGGATCGGTGCAGAGATGAAGGCTTCTCGAAGGGTATCAAATGCTTTCTGTCGAGTGTCGGTCCAGGTAAAGCTGGTGTCTTTCTTCGTCAGGTCGTTCAGAGGTCGTGCTATTTTGGCAAAATTCCGGATAAAGCGTCGGTAGAAGTTTGCAAATCCCAAGAATCCTCGTAGTTCCCGAAGGTTAGTAGGGACCGGCCAGTCACGAACAGCCGCTACTTTTACCGGATCCATTCTCACCTCCCCTTCTGAGATGATGAGTCCAAGGTATTCAATCTGTTGTTGTTCAAATTCGCATTTTTCGGGTCGTAGGTAGAGGTCGTGCTTTTCTAACCGAGTTAATACTTCCCGTACCATTCGTCGGTGTTCCTCGAGATCGTTACTGAAGATAAGGATGTCATCTAGGTAGACTGCCACCTTGCCGGCTGCAATGAGATCAGCAAATATAGCATTCATAAGTGCTTGGAACGTGGCAGGGGAATTTGTGAGACCAAAGAACATGACCTTAGGCTCGAACAAGCCTCGGGTTGTTGCGAACGCGCCTTTCCATTCATGCCCCTTCTTAATCCGTATGTTATTGTAACCCCAGCGGACATCAAACTTCGTGAAGTATCTGGCTCCCTGAAGTCGGCTAATGATGTCAGCAACTAATGGGAGCGGGTATCGGTTCTTCACAGTGTACTCGTTCAGTTTCCGGTAGTCTTGTACGAAACGGAGTTTCCCATCCTTCTTCTTTACGAAGAAGACCGGTGATGAGATTGGTGATTTTGAGGGGACGATATAGCCTTTCCGTAGGTTTTCTTCTAGGAAACGATCCAACTCCTCCTGCTCGTTTAGGGACATGGGATAAATCTTGGTACGCATGGTTGCCGGTGCTCCAGGTACGAGATCAATCGCATGGTCCCAAGGTTGGTGGGCAGGTAATCGTTCGGAGGCGGATTCTGAGAAAACCTTCTTGAAATCACGATACTGCTCAGGGACCATTTCTTCAAAGGTTTTAACG